GTAGCCACTCCTGAGGAATTTTCGGAGGAAAGAGACCAACCATAAGAAAGATATTGACTCTTAAATGACGATAAGTGGCCTTTTTGTTGCTTGCGATGCACCATTCCCCCATTTAAAAAAAAAAAGAAGTTAGCTGTCGTTCATTTAGGCTTAAGGGTGCCTTCACACCAGACCAGTCTAGTCCAGTCATAGTTAGTCATGGTTCAGTCAGGTCTAGTCAAACCAAGTCGTGCTTCAGTCAAGTCACTTTAGTCAAGATCATTCATGAGCATTCACCATTACCAACGGATGCTTCTACATCAAATCAGTCAAGTTTAGTCACGTTTAGTCATTGGTCAGTCCAGCCACTTCGGTCAAGCTCAGTCAGGTGGTTACGCACGCACAATTGTAATGCCAGTTCACCATCTGCTCCAGTGGTGGTCTTGTTGAGCGGCATGAAACAGAGTGATGAAGAACTGGTGTCTACCCATGTTTTGTGGTGACGCTGGAGAAAGAGAAGGCGAAAGAACAGTTGAACGTGCTTTCGGTATTCCATCCAAGAAATGGAAGATATTGCAAAGAACCATCGAAACATCCATTGAGTTAACGGAGTCAATTGTGAAATGTACTTGTGTGCTTCACAATTTTGTCCAGATGGAAGCAGACAATACCTTATGTAAGTATGATGATGGCGAAGCTCATCATATTGCTGCTGCGACAAGAAAGAAGTCTCCTCCTCGCTCAAATGGAGCTAGTAGGGCAGCTCTAGCTATCAGAGACCATTTCAAATATTACTTTCAGGCAAAAGCTGGAGAACACTCCTGCTAATACAACATGATCTGATCGAAAGTTAAAAGAAAAAAAGCGAGACTTATTTCTGCGGTAGGGTGATAATTATTACATTGAAAAAATGCACACTCACTTGGATCTCCCATTTTTGTTTCTATTTCTTTCCATCTCCTTCCAGTCAAGTCCCTATTTGCATGATGTAGGTGGGCAGGGTCGTAGATCTCAGGCCTTTCGCGAACCAAAGATATCAGTACTTCCACTTGGGAACTCATTTCACGCATGCCTTCAAGCCCCACATTGCACTTGAGACTGATGACGACTGGCGGAAAAATAGAGCCCGTGCCTAATTGCGTCTTGACTAAACGTGATTGACGAGGACTAGACAAGACTTGACTGATGCGAACGAGAGGTTATCAACTCAAGTTGCGTAAACCGCAGGTGCGGCTCAGATTGAGGCAGAACTTTTTTACTTGTAGAGTGGTGAACGCGTGGAATGCGTTGGACGACGACGTATAGTGGCTGTCCCTTCCGTGCCGATTTTGAAGAAGAAACTAGATGCTTTTATGGACAAGCAAGAAGGGGGGCAATGTTGACTTACGGGACTAAGCAGTAAGCAACTAAGATATGCTTTTAAAAAAATCACAAAAAATACAAAAATATTTAGCTTTAAGAAAAGTAGGCCTACCCTAAATTTATGGAATGCTCGGTCTCGACACGTGGTATCCAAATGGGTGTTATCGCCTCTTGATACCACTAAACCATATTGAACCTTGAACTTTGATGCAGTGTGAAGTGGATATCAGAAAGAGCATGTTTAGCAATGGAGCTGTAAAAGTTTTGACTAGACTAAAGAGACATGACTCGACTAGATTGGACTATGCTGATTCGATGTGAAGGGAATGTAAGAAATTGAATGCTAAACAATGGGGCTCTAAACGGTTTGAATCAACTTTGGGGGACGGATCGGAACCAGCACTCTTGGGGTGCCTTCGCACCAGACCTGTCAAGTGTAGTCTAGTCCAGGCCAGTCAAGTCATGTCATCTTAATGTCATCGTGTTGCCAGATATCGTGCCGGAGTTATGTCAGATTCATGACTGCTTCGGCCTTCGTATCGTGTCTGGATCTTATGTTTTTTTTTTTTTATGAATAGGACAATTTTGCGCTGAGTTCATGAGATGAGCCGAGAATGAAACGGCGGTTAGTAGTGGCCAATCGATTTGGTGAGGTACGTGATATCTATTTTGGACATCCCTGAATGAACAGGATCGCACCATGCAATAATGGGTGCGGTAGTGCATAGAGAGTGTATAAATGGAGGGGCCTCCCCTATGGCGTGAGGCGCTGCACCCTTCCAGGTGCGACCGCCATCTTACATGAAAGCATCTAGTTTCTTTAAGAAGAAACTAGATGCTTTCATGGACAGGCAAAAAAAAAAAAAAAAAACAAAACAAAACAAAACAAAACAAAACAAAAATACAAAAATATTTAGCTTTAAGAGGGTTAGGCCCACCCTAAAATTAAGGAACACTCGACCTCGACACATGATATCGAAATGGGCGAAATCGCCTCTTGATGTCACTATCTTGAATCTTGAAAGATGAAGCAGGTGGAGTTGGGGGAAAATGGAACAGGCGAGTGAACACAGGCCGGCGAATAAAAGCGCTCTGCCGTCTTGTGTAACCTCAAGGCCGAGTTGTCCATACTGCAAACTGGTCCTGATATGGACATGGTTTTGTCCATATTTTAAACTTGTTACATTTTTTTTTCAATGAAGCTTAATAGCAGCTGATATCGTTTATTCAAAAGCTGTAAGTAAAACGTCGAAAGCAGTAGGTCACCCTCAGTATCGATTGGCGCCTTGGCCTAAGGCGGCTGTAGGACGAATTTAGAATATTTGTCCATATTTTGTTAAATTCAAAGGTGGCAACCCTAGAACCGACCGACGTGGATGTTTGCAGCCCCGATCTCGTCCGTTATCGTCTCGTGCGGCATCATCACGACGAGAAGAGTTGCCCGCTTCGATGACGTCACTCGACGACATCCTCGTGCCGAAGAAACGACGGGATTCGCGCACTCGTACTTCCACGCGGCGAACGGGATGCCTCCCAGATGTCGCGTCGGATTCCGAAAACGAAAACTCGGGTTCGTACGGGACACCAGACTTTATTCTCCTCGGGGAAAAAATGTTCGGAAAATGTAAATGGGTGCATGGCCGTGGAGATTTGGGATCCGTGGACGTGTCGGTGAGGGAAGCCGAAGCCAGCGTTCAAAAGCGCAGATCGCCCAGGTGAGAAGTGAGGGTCTCTGCCATCTCCTGCAACCTGAACGAACACGACGGAAGGATCAAGAATCCAGGGCGGGAATCCTATATCCATCCGAGGACCTCCAATTCCCCTCCAATTCCTACCTTCAACTCCGTTACTTTCCCTTTTTTACCGGAGTTCCACGGTCGAGGGGATGAAAGGCACATAGATGATGATGTTAAACACTTCGCGCGACCGTCTTTCTTAAAACCCCAGCAGTTTCCGATTCACGCATTTGACGATTCGAGCGTTTCTCGATCCGGAAGGAGGACTTTCTGGGGTTCGTCGCCGACCGGAACCTCCGAGGATCCGGCTCGATCGGACGCAATCCTTTTCGCAAGACGACGCGGAGTCGCACGACGAAGAGCACGGGCACTTGAACGTCGCGTAGCACCGTTAACGTTCGGTCGACGTTCGAGTTCCGTACCCGTCGTTTGACGGGTGTGGGCCACGGCGCGTCGAAATCCCCGGGACCGAAAGTGTTAACGTCCGACGGAAAAAAGACCCGAGCTTTAGCTTCGTGCGGTGCTCGGAATCGCATCTTCCCGTCCGTCTCGACGCGAACGCGGCTCCCGCGGATCGATCGACTGCGAACGATCGAGCGCGCGAAACGTCCGACGGAACGTTCCGGCGCGAAAGAGAGAGGAAAAAGGGCTCACGTTTGGACGATGTCGTTGACGCTCCGTCCCGTCGCTCCCGTTCGACTCAGTCCGGGAGAGAAGGAACCGCTGAGCGGCAGCATGATCGGAAGCAGCAGCAGCATCAGCAGCATCAACACCTGTCGTCCATATACCAAAACGATCGGTTTCCGTCGTCTCCCGAGTCTCGCTTTCGGGGCCGTTTCTGGGGATCATGGCGCCCAGGGAAGCAGTTCCAATGGTGTCCCCCCCCCCCCCCCCTTTTCCCCCCCTTCCCCCCCCCCCCCCCCTCTCCCCTTTTACCTCGCTATCGCCCCCCCTCCCCCCCTCTCCCCTTTACCCCGCTGGCGCCCCGGGCGATCGCCCGCCCCTAGAAACGGCCCTACTCGCTTTTCGCGACCTACGTTTCCGTTAAATTTCTCTTCCGTCGTCCCGTTTCCCTTTCGATACCATCGAAACGGGTGTCTCGATGAATGCGTATTCCCGAGCGAGGAGGGCAACGCCGAGAGACATCGATCGATTCACGTCCGTAAAAATCGTTCGCACTCGAGAGAGTTTTACATTTAAAAGGCCTGCTTCGGAATCCTCTTTACGCGTGTGTAAAGCACGATCGTTCCACGATCTTTACCGACCAGGCACGGACTCTCCGTTTCGGAATAGGCACGGTGCTTTCATCGTCGAAGCGCGGTCGATCCAGGATTTTCTATCTGCGTGCCCAAAGATGAACCTTCGGTGGACGGTATTAACTCCGGTTCGTCACGCGAAGCGGGTTTTCTCCTGTCGTGATCGCATTTACTCCAACTCGGACCGCAGTTCTACGAAAACGAACGGCTAAAGTACTCGCTGCAGCATCCTCCCCGACCGAGGAGTCAGTCTTTCGGAATGCACCGGGAACTTAAACTCTCCAAAGTGATGCACCTTGAAAAGTATTCCGTCGATCGCTCCGACCGTGAAGAACGCCTCGTCCGGGGTGAGTGAACCCCGATAGAGGATTTTTTGAACGAAGCGTTTTTCCTTTCGAAAAAGAAACGAGGTTACTCGATGCAAACCGGAGGATGTCGGCGCGGGGCTTCCGATGACCGCAGGAGCATCACGACTCGAAACTCGATGGGGAAGTCTTCCGGGCCGTCTCCAGGCACCCCACGGTACTCTCTAAGGAGGCTAACCACTCGACCCGGCTTTTCTACTATCGCTTTTATTGCGAAGCGACGTCGAGACGCACCAATGTGCATAAACGGACACGGAAGAACGAAACCTCGTGTTGGTTTCGAGGAGATGCAAGAGGAAAGCTCACGATGGGGTTGAGTCCACCTCCTCCGAGACCGCTCGAGCCTCCGGGTGTGACTCCCGAGCCGCCTCCACTTCCACCCGTCCCTCCTCCGATGCCTCCTCCTTGTCCACCTCCTCCCTGTCCGAATCCACCACCTCCCTGTCCTCCTCCTCCTCCTCCCAGTCCTTCAAAGCGTAGTCACATTTTGAATAGGTTACTCACGTCGCTTATAGATGCCTCTGCGTGCTTGGGATACACATAAAACGATAGCTAGCAGAATCCGTATTTTCCCTGTCTCTCCTTCCCCGATACCGCAGCGGCAAAACGTTTGGATTCTCTCCAGAGGAAGCTCTTCTCTGCATCAACTTAGCTTACGTGCAAGTAAAACAGGAATTTCATTATATTGCTCCTTACATCCTCTCCAAATCTCTTTCTCGTAAATGTGTCGAACCCATGAAAGACTTTGCTATTTTTCGATTTTTGCAATCGAGCGGCCACCGACTCGTGCCGAACGCACGAGGGAGTCCGGTTGCACTTCGGTATTCCAGGAAATGACGGAAATTTCGTGTTGTATCCATCCTAACTTTGTTCGCATTTCGGGTAGAGTAAACCCTGGCAATAGCTGGTATGTAAACGTGAAAGACGCTCGGCGCTCGGAATCCTTTCCATTGACATCTCGTATCTTTTATGGAACTCCTAAAATAGTCGTACGTACTTCTCCTCGCCGGGGGAACGGGGGGGGGGGGGGGGGGGGGGGGGGGGGGGGGNGTGGGGGGGGGGGGGGGGGGGGGGGGGGGGGGGGGGCTTGGTGGCGGATGTATTTTGATCAGAGTTGAGGGGCTTCAGTCTCCCCTCCTCGCTACGCCACAGGTTACAGTAACACCACTGACATTTTCATAGGAAACAGCCTGGTTACTGTTCCCGTCACAAGTCCCTACAAAGTAACTCGTTATCACTGAAATCACCGTAAATGTAATGAACTACTCTAACGCGTAACTTATATTTCGTTACAGCCCAACACTGGCCGCTGCTCACGCATGAACTTCTTCGAGACTCCTATACTCCCGGCCTTCCGCAACCGTGTTTCGATCACGATTCCGTCGGACTTGGAGATTCGTTCAAGTATACGGTTGGAGGTTTGTTCCTCCTCGTAGAGATCCAACTCACGGCCCGATCTACCGAAAAACCGTTCCTGAACTCGTTCGTACGAAAGGGATACGATGCATCCGATGTACCGATGCACTCGACTCGCCCCGGGGGGTATCTTTCGGGGGTTTACGTCTTGCACTTCAGAGAGCGAGACCGACAGAAGCGAATGCGAACTTCGGGAACGTTTCGAAGTTTCCTTCCCCGACGCTACGGTGCTCGTCGAGAGAAGTCGTGAGAAAGGCTCGTGCCCCTCCGAACGACGCGTCTGTCTGTTTCTGCGGAATTCGTTTCGACGAACGAGGCATCGAGCGCCTTTCCGAATTTGCAATACCGAAAAGTACATCGGTGTTCTCTAATAGAGGGGAAGCTATCCTTTCCAAGCGCCCGTCGAACGGTTTCGGTTCGAACGAGCTCCTCGCCCTCGTACTATATTTCTCGTCTCGGGAGACGTCGACCTCGGTCGAATCGGGAAAAGCGAGGGGAGAAACCGGGTGAAACGCAACGGTCGTGAAAAGAGGAGTTCGCTCACCTCCGAGAAGGCCCGTGATGAGAGGCCCGAGGAAATCCAAACCTTGTCGTTGAGCTGCCATCGTCCCGATCACTCGCCTCGACTGGGGAAGATAAGGGGTTCGTGGAACGGAGTCCTTCGCTTTTCTCGCGTCTTTCAGCGGTCCTTTCCACTGAATCACGCGTGACTCCACGAATTTCCGCCGTTCACCGTCCCGATCATAATGCGCCCTTTCCTGTCATCCGAGATGAATAATCCCCTTTTGCCCTATTTTTCTTCCGCATGGAATTCCTTCCAAAAACCGCATCGACGGTCGGAGGAATTCACTTTCCCTCGATCGTCGCGAATCCGTCTCCGGGATCGCCAGATCCACGCGGAAACGGTGGAGAAAGTCGCTCCGAGCGATTTCACGCGCGATCGCCTCGATTCCCACGTCCTTTCGTTGAGAATCCATCGGGAGAATGCATCCTAGAACGTGGAACGTCGTCTCCACGACATCGGAAAGCGTCTATCGAACATGATGCAGGAAATGATAACGCAGTCTGGAAGGACGAAAGGCCGAAGTCGAAATTCTAGAAACCATCCACGCGGTAAAAGCTTCCACGTTGCTGCCGATTCTCGAAGGAATCCACTCGAGATCCAGGGGAAACTTCCGAGATGATGATTCCATGGTTCAATGACGCGTCGCTAAGTTTTCTTAGCTTCCGAGCATGTCCTCCGTCTCCTTGAACGTCCTCTGCCATCGTGCACGTCCTCCTCTTCGGAGGGTTCTTGCATCTCGATGCAAGAGCCTCTCGAGACATCCTTTGTCGAGTTGTCACGATCGTCCCTAAGAAAGAGGGTCATGGGGCCCTCTATAGTTCCTGCTTCGCCACCACACGATCCCCTCACTGAAGCATCCAATGATGAGAGTGTTAGTGTAAATTTCTTCCCCGAGTTGTGTGCCGTAATTCAGTACAGTACGCCATATTTCGGTAAAACCGAAATACCGAATCGCCTCGGTACCGGTACCGAGAGGATGGTGCAATGCATGGAGACTAGCATATAGAAAGAATTAAAGGGGGGGAAAAATGAAACATGACTGCGAGGAACGCACAAGAGAGACATTGCATTGTAATACCTGGTCAATCTTAGAATCGTCTCGGTTTCCATGAGTGCTCCGTAAATAGTGATGCACAATATTTGGAAGGGCGGGGGGGGGGGGGGGGGGGGGGGGACTCCAAGAATCCGCTCGTCCCGGGTCTTACCGTACAACTTCTAAATCCGACCCTGGAGTGAGCCACGCCCGGTGCGCCAGCGGGATAAAGGGGCGAGGAGGGGAGGGGGGGGGGGCAGGAGGGGTTAAGGGTCACCCTCGTGGGAGTCCTTTCGTACTAATAACCTTTCCAGGTATATAAAAAGTAGGTTTACAGTTAGCTGTATATTACTTATTACTTACTATTTCTTTTTATTTATTAATTTTATTACGTTTTGCTGATTATTTTTCCAGTACGTCTGTAACAGCCATTTTCGTTGCTCAAAAGTCAGGTTCCCTGCCATTATCCTCTACCTGCGAATACAAAAATAAAATAAAATAACTATTGTATACCTACTTTTGCTCCACCCTGTATTTCTCGAATAATAACCCTCTGCCTCTGCCTGGAAGAAAAATTAGACCTAATTTATTCGATCTCAAGATTTCACAGAAAAATATGAAAGTTTTCCAAGTCATATACTATATAGTTTAATAGATTTTCCGAACGTTCATCATCTGAACATCCCCGCTCTTGGGGGGGGGGGAGGGGGAATGGGGGAGGGGGGTTGTAGGGAGTTTGTAGTAGCTACTGCTAAATAATCCAGAGATCCATGTTGATGTATCTTCAGATGGGTGTTTATATGTTGCTTTGGCAACTGCAGGCAAAAATAATTGTAAAATGTTATCAAATGCTTTAATAGGCAGCAAATGGTGAAGCTCATCAATGATGGTGCCACAATTGAAGAGAAAAAAGGAACTTTCTCAGTTTAAAATCTCCATAAATTTCATCGGTTGGTGTGATGTTTGGAAAAAGGGAGTTCTTTCGTGGGGAATGGAGGAATAATTAAAGGGAAATTAACAGAGGCAACAGAAGAAGAATTTTTTTTTATGGGTTGCTTCGGGAACTAAGGCCAGAAGGAAGGAAAAAAGGGTGAAATATAGTGCAGATCATGTTGTTGCACGAATAATATACTGGCGTTGATGTTTTCTATTTCATAATTTATGGAAAAGAGAGAAAAAAAAGTATAAAGCAAACACTTTTGACATTCTTCTCTTTTTTTTAACGGTTGCAATGAAGGTTCTCTTCCATCTTCTCATTTCTATCTAGAATTAGTCAAAGAAAGGAAATGGTTTTTAGTGAAAGGACCGCTCCGCCGATTTTTCCGGAAGAATCATGCATGCTCTAAATTTGAGACCGGGTACGACGAGTAGGATGGGGAAGCTGTGGAGCGGGCGCGGCAACAGGCCCCAATGAAATTCCCCCCATAGTGTCATCGAGAAATTCGTTAGGGAAGTGTCCAAATCATACAAAATCATTTTCGAGGACAAAATTTAGCGTGGAGAAGTGTCCAGGATCGGAAAGATTTGGCTCTACTCGTTCGAGAAGCTCACGAGAGGAGACCTCATCCAGGCATCCGAAATCATTGACGGAAACGATAACGTGGAGTTTTTTTTTCAACTCGATGGTAGCTGCAGAACGAGGGGGAATCAATTAAAGTTGCGTCAGACCTAATTGAAGCTCACATTGCGGAACGACTTCTTTATTTTTAGGGTAGAAAAAGCGTGGAATGCGTTAAGTGATGTACAGTAGTGCCTCCCTCTTCCGTGACAAACTTTAAAAAGAGATTAGATGTCTTCCTGAACAAAACAAAAAAGGGACTATCGGAGCTGTAAGTAACTCGGCAGTATGTGGATATGCTCCCACAAAAATAACTGAATTTAAGGTGATAGATACGTGAACGTTTGACCACGGCAGAGGACATCATGGTCGAAGATGCCTCTGGACGTCCCTACCCAAACATTAAAAAAGAGACACGAGGAATGATCCAAAAGTTTCTGGTCTGCGATGTAAGGAAATGTGGCCTACTCATATAACAAAATTTATTTATTTATTTATTTAAATTACCTACCTGAACACCAACACGTTTGCCATTGATGGGACAGGGCTTCAATCTCAAGAGGGGGGGGAATCATTTATCTATATTCTAAAAATGCATGACAGCTACATTAAATTAATTTTCACCTTCCCAGCTGCTTCAAGGAAGTTTTGCTTTAAAATGTACAGTATTGAATGGGCTGTTTTATTTGAATAAGCAAACTGACAGCATATGAATTTTTTTTTTTATAATAAAAATTGTATAACTGCTCTGTATTCAACTTTTTGCCATCATGAAATGGAATGATATTTAGCTGGAACGTGAAAATTTGAATTAAAACCAATTGTTGACTCCTAAAATAACCAAACAGGGTAAAGGAATAGGGTAAAACCACCAATGTTGGGACCTCCAAGTCAGGATAGGATTGTAATTCGCTTGTCACGCCTTAATGGTGCAACCCATATGCTTCATTTTTGGAGTCGACAGCATAATATGAGTAGGTATGAATGTGATAAAGATGACCATCGAAGCCTTATGTCTTCCAATGACTCCCATTACGTGGGTGTCCGAACTTAGATGCGAAAGAATGAAGTTCGAACACAACCTAGTTTGGACACACAGAAGGTAGGGCGAAAATGGGAATTTATTCACAATAAACTTTAGAGCCCGAACTTAGGTACTGTTCGAACTTAGGTGGTTTTACCCTGTGTGAATCAACTATCAGCCTTCTCCGATCACTTCTACTACCTCAGGGCAGAACCTAGGATCACTTCTACTGGCCATGCTGGCGTCATGACAACACTGTTCAAATGGTTGCCCCTGTGGGCAGAATCTGTAGAGGGAGCTTCGATACTGCACGATACGATACCAGGGGCCAAGAGGCTCTCGGCCTAAGATTGCTCCTTGTGTCTGGAACATTCCCTAACTCTCCCCGCAGCAACTTCACCTAATACGAGTAGCTTCTGACCTTGGGGAAGTCAATTTAGCTCGACCGGTTACATGGGATACGTTACTCTGATTCGGCTTTCCCCATTACATTCAGCATCGGTATCCAACTCAGAAGCCATCTCCTAGCCAGGTGTTGGTGGAGGGGCACTGGGTAGGCATGTGAAGAGACTCAATACTGTGTTATGCACAGCCACAGTACACACGTGAGTAATCTCCTAGCCATCCGTGCAGAAGGGCTGTTGGGCCTCGGCTACCCATCGGTTGTCTTTACTGACGTTTTGCTTGAAAACAACAAACTCCTGGGAATTCTGTTGAATTGCTCCAATTACAATAACCTGAGCCATAACCTTTATAACCGCTGAGTTTTGTGCTGGCGGTTTGACCCCTTGCACATTTTTTTTGTGGGCAGTACATATGCCATGAAGTTCTCAAGAGGTGACTAAAATTCAAGTTTCATATTAATGTATACACAATGGCAGCAGTAACAAAAAGGAAATTCAAAACATGTATGCATGTCAACAATGCAGACATTTCACGGATGTGTTAATGTGTCAATAGTAGTTGTAGGAGTAAAGATGCTGTGAACTAAAATTTTTTTACCCTTTGAGGAGTATGCTAATAAATTACATTTCAAAGTGTTTATGGATTTTCAAATTCAAAATTTTTAAAATTAATCTTTTATATTTGCCACATTTTTTGCCTATCATGTGTATCAATAGACTATTTGTTATAATATGATCAAATTCTTTCAATATATATTTCTTTGAGGGACCTCAATGAATTTGTCATTCAAAACATTCTAGGAGTATGAAGATAACTCACTCATCAAAGGGCTAAAGCTCCCTAATGCAGAGTTCCTTTAGAAATTTTGTCATGCAGGGAAGTCGGCATAATACATGGCTGAAATAGCTATGTACCTTGAGGCCTGGCCAGACCCCTCAAGGACAAGGGCAGGACCAGCAGAAGTAGAACTTATTTATTGAGAGGGAGGCAGTAGGTGGCCTTTCAACTTGGTTGCAATTGCCATATTATGTCTAATCAGAACTGTTATTCTGGGTCGTTATTGAATATGAACAGTCTCTTACCCACTTTGGACTCAACTGCTCAAAAGCAGCATGACTTAGCCTTTTGTAACTTTATTTTTGGTTATAGGGTGCCTCCTAAGGATATAAGCTAAGAAACTCTAGGGCCTGATAAGGCTTAACTGATTTGAGAACATTTGGATTTATTATGAGTAGGGACCATGCTTGTAAACAAAACAAACTTTTCCACTGGACAAGAATTAGCTGGTTTTGAACATTTACTAAAATGGAGCCTTAATTCTTTTTCATTTAATATCTCTCTTTGCTTTGTTGCTTACCTTATTCCTGTTTGCCATTGCAACACTGAAGCAAAAACAGCCTTCTTTAGATTGCCTATTCTGCAACATGGAATCACTTTAATATTTTATTTTTTTGCCACTGTCATACTTCAATATCTACATCTATCCAGTGCTTTGGAAGCCACTTTCAATGACTACATGCTCCTGGGCAAGAATAGAGATGGATTCACATCTCCAAGAACAAGAAAAGATGCCAGAGTAATAAGCATGCATCCCCACATGACATTAGCTTCTGACTGGAAGTTTCCTTTACATGGTCATCAATTATTTTTTCTTTTGTGATTTTTTTAAATCATGAATATCATAAAATTTAATGCATATGAAAAGAGGGCAGAATAGTGGCTTTGACAAATAATAAATTGCCTGAATTAAAAAGAAGGGTAAATGTATACTTTACTTAACCCAGTTATGTCTAGAATTCTGTATATAGGATTGCATGCCGAGATGCACATGAAAAATTCTCTAATGGTCCACATGTCAGTTACATTATTCAGAATCATTTGACCAGACACTAGATAGGAGAGAACCTTATTTTGGAAAAGTTTGTGAATAGTTGGTTTAGAGAGTTCTTCATCCTTGTAGGTGTCTGTAGAATGTGGTAGTGTATCTGTGATCTGATGGCTGTGTAAGCTCATCTTCCAAGTAGATTGAGGAAAGCAAGAAGTAATTGACTACCAAACTGCAAAACCTGTGCCATCAAGAAAACTCTGAAGGGTAGAAAGAAAAATGGTGAGTCAGATGCTTTTGTTGCACTATCATTTATACTGATAGTATATAAATACATTTGATATCATTTATACTCATGGAAGGATATTTTCGTGAATTTCTAGATTCGCTTCATACTGATCCAAAATCGTGCTGGAAAGACTAGACTTGCCAAGTGGTACATGCACTTTGATGATGAAGAAAAACAGAAGCTGATTGAGGAAGTTCATGCCCTGGTGACTATTCGAGATGCTAAGCATACAAATTTTGTGGAGGTGAGTCTAATTAGTGTATTTCTCACAAATTCAGTTTTTATTCTTTTTTTTTTTTTAAAGAGAGAGAGGGGGGGGGGAGGGATGCATAGTTCTTCTTTGGCGACTATAGACATATTTCATTGTTGCTTTGTCAGTTGTATGGACCTCTAGGAGTCCCAGCAGTCCATATCCATCGGTTTGATGTATATGTTGTTTCACAAAATGCTTATGTTATATAGGGGTGTGTCATGTCATATTGTACCCTCTGCTACTTACAAGGTCAAAGACATCCATGGGATTTGTATTTTTTTGCAGTTCCGAAACTTCAAGATAGTGTACAGGAGATATGCTGGATTATACTTTTGCATCTGTGTTGATGTGAATGACAACAACCTGGCATATTTGGAAGCTATTCATAACTTTGTGGAAGTCCTGAATGAATACTTCCATAATGTTTGTGAATTGGATCTGGTCTTCAATTTCTTCAAGGTATGTTTACTTTGTGCTATCTTACCTTGGGAATTGTAGAATAGGTCATATGAGAATGTCCTTGAAGTAACCCTTTTTCATCTTTTCTCCAGTGTTAGCAAATGTACAGAGCTTCCAATAGAGATTGAAAATAATCTTGATCCCAGTTAGAAGCATTGCCCTAATTTTGCCCTTCAGATCAAATTTTGTTTCCCTGTATTTCACAAGTGAATTGTGTCACAGAATTCAAGTATGGCCATGCTTTACATATTTTCATACCCATTTGAGCAGGAATGACTCAGGAGAATTGTTTCACCTTGATTTTCAGGTATACAGTGTGGTTGATGAGATGTTTTTAGCTGGTGAGATTCGAGAGACAAGCCAAACAAAGGTCTTGAAGCAGTTGCTCACACTGAACTCCCTAGAATGAAGTGTGTGCATGAATAAACCAAAGAGATCTCATTTATCCCTCAAAGTAAGCTGATCACATGTTTCTAATCAATGCTATTAATATGCATGAAGTATTTTACTTTTTAAACCTTCTTCATGTAAGAGGAGTGGACTTATTTTGAGTTCAGGTCTATCATTATGCTGAGAGACTAGTTCACACTTGTGCCATGATATTTCTAATGCCTCACATTTAGTTCTGTACTCCCTTGTTGGGTCCCTTATGAACCACTATATCACACCAATTTTAATCTTCATGGCACACAGAGTACAATGCCATTCTACAAAAAAAATGGATGCTTTTTCTTCTGTAAAAAGAAATAACTACTTTTGATTACTAACCAACTGCAAAATGCATTTTAATAAAATTCACAGCCCTATTATTAGCCATGAGTAAGAATTCACTTGCTCATGAGTGTGTTCAATTGCCTAGGTAATGATGTGTTTACTTGTGAAGTTGCTTGATGAGTGCAGATCAGTAATGTGTGAGTAGCACAAGTTTATTTATGGACTATATACACCAAAGTAGGGAGTTTTTTTTGGCTGCATCAGGATTTTTTATACTTGTTAATAAAGATAATTTCCCTTTGCTCACAAGGACTGAAGTGGTTGTTGGGCTGGTTCCTAAGGTCCTGGAAAAGTTATTGATATAATTCCCATTAGGAGTGAGAGACTTCTATGTTAGTACTTCTAAGGATATGGATTATTTCATAATGTACTCCTTGGAAAGGAAAATCACTAAGCCCTTGAAGGGTTAATACAAGGTTGTCGAAGCACCACGGCAGGATTTTACTTTGAGCAATGTTTGTCTGGACAAGTAATGGCTCAAAGATATTGAGGACTCTTCCTCAACAACACCCCAAGTCATACTAATGCTGGAGAGATGTGCAGTGTGTTTTGATGCATTTCTGTGTGTCATCCAAGTCCTGCCTACTTGTATACAATATTTATTTGCCTTGCCTGGACAGGAATTGGTTCATATTCATATTGGATTGAATTATGACAAGAACAGACATTGATATTGTAATTGAGTATATATATCCCTCCAAATGTACCCTGAATCTAATTTGTAAAATTAGGTCCAGAGTACATTTAGAGCAGGGGTTGGGAACCTTTTTGGCCATGTGAGCCATATTAAGATTGAGGTAAGTGCTTGTGAGCAAAGGATTTTCAGAACAACATACCGGTAATTTTTCCTGAAGTTGGCAACAGACATGCATTCTGAGGAAAAATGAGGAACAACCATGATTTTCAGCCATGACTCAATGAGCCATAGGTTCCCGACCCCTGCTCTAGGCGTTCATATTTAATTGCAACATAGGAAATATTTTGCTGCTTGTTTGTGAAGTTGAGTGAGTGCCTTATAGCTCACTGGGTTGCATATCTATAAGGATAACAGCAATCACTGCTGTTTCCTTGCAGGTATACAACCTGGTGGGTCTTGTAGCGTTAGCTGAATTCCACATACAGGCAGCTTCATATTATCTTTGCTGCATTTAAATACAAACACCCTGCATAGACACAATTCAAGTACAGTTAAAAAGTAGTCATGAAGAAATAGCCTGGTCTGACTAACTGCAGTGCTATTGTTCAATTAAATTAATTTTTTAAATGAATTGCTGCACACCAAGTATGTGATAAGTCCCATGATGTTAAAACTCCTTTAAAACCTTAAGAAATGTTGTGTTCCCCTGAGGCATTCTTACTGGTGTGTTAATGTTTCCTTTCATTCCCACAGATGGTTATATGTGCAAGGTGAATTCTACATGCCTGAGTACCACACATCCATAGCAGCATCATATCTTCAGTTATGTACTGCTGTCATTCTCTGTTGAAATATACCTGATATGTTGTATCAAGGTTCAGTTTCTTCCACTGAGGATTTTACAGAAAACTACTTGCCCTGGATACTTCTTCAGTCAGAGTGGCTTGTTGAGTTGTTTTCCTGCCCACTTTGCCAAAGGGAAGCCTTTCACTCCTTCCCCTTTTCCTGTTTGGCCTTCCTACATTGGCTTAGGCTTTAATTGTAGATTTTGGAATATAATAACCGATATCTAATCTTTTAGGCAAGGCAATTATTATTTTTTTCAAGTGACCATCAGCCAGTCACAAATTCCAGACATAGAGCAGTCACAAAATCTATATGCCTTCATGGTTTTGCTGGCTGTATATACAGGGCCTGGAATTTCTACCAGCCATCAACTTATCTTTCATTGAAGGCATCAAGGACAATGAGAAATAAAAGAACCTCATTTGCTCAATTTGTGAATTGTTGCCATCCTGTCTTAATTTATTCATAAGACTGAAACTCAGTGAGCCATATCTGTAGGAATTCCAAGGCAGGAAAAAGCTGACCTTGTTAATTATTGGGAGTCACTTATGTAACTCAATATCTGCTTGAGAGGGGTTGTATGTTCACATGCAGCTTCTCTCCTGTGTTATCACTGCACCTTTGGTTATTTATAGTTGTTAAAATTCTCAGTTGAAAATGCCACAATGAATGGATATGAATCTGGAGTTACGGAGAGAAAAAGTTCTTGCTAGCTCTGTTGCTTATACAGGGTGTTAATCAAGTTGAGTCCCTTCGCAATATGCCTATAACCTCAGCAAAAATTTAAAAAATCAGGAATTTTATTAATACACAATAACAAGGACAGTTAACTGATTTAGAATCATTTAATAGTTTTCATTATAGCCGCCCTTGGCACGGATGACAAGGTCCAGATAAGGTGACCAGATTTCTGTGTCGCGAAAGTGGGACGCCCGATAAATACTTCCCTTGCCTCATAAAAAAAGAATATTAATATATTTGTTGGACTGACAGTTGTATTTATTATTGCCAAAACATGAATTAGAACTATTATTTAATTGAACTATTAGAACTATTATTTAATTACTGCGCTGGTTGCGCAGTAGCGCAACCAGCCCTAAAGTTGGGGTGGGGGGATTGAGAGTTTCGGGAAAGTTCTTTTGAGCTGTCTTTCAAGTGTCTCCGAATGCAAGAAGGCGTTATCAAGTCTTCAGAAGAGGAAAACGCGAAACGACGTCGAACACGCGAACATAGAAAATGAAACGGAAAGTTTTCATTAAATGGCGGAAACAAAATTTAAACAATAAATGATACAAGCGCATTCAATATTTGAAACAAAGCTAAAGCTGAACAGATTTAATTTCGAGATTCAGCCCAGATTTCACTGTGCAGATAAGCAACTGGAAATTCCTTAACCTGTACGTTATTCATGACTTTCATCCGAGTTGTGGCCCTTCCGTTTTCAGAAAAATGTCAGCAGCGTCACATGTGCAGGACGCTTTTGCGACATTTTCATTTTACTGCAGCGAGTAGCCACATGTGACTGACGTGACCCGCACCTTTCACTCCCATCTTTGCCCTTTTCTAGCCTCGCTCTCAGGTCTTTTGCTCAAGATCTCTTTCTGCTTCCCCTCGGAGGAGAGGGATCGGAAAAGATACTATCATGAGGGGTTGGTCCATTTTTGGCAAGAGGGAGGTCCGGCTTCCTCAAAAATTCTCTGGAGTCACTTACCCATACAATTTGAAAATATATATTAAGATATCAAATACCGGAAAGAAATCTCAGAGAACCATTGGATCCATTCTCGATTGACGCAAAACGAGCCAAGTCCAATCTCTGAAAGTTGACTCCTCGCTGAGGGGAGGCCACAGCTTGGAGGCTTCCCCTGGCTCATTGACAACTATAAAGGTATCATATTGTTCACGCAATATAAAAGTAAACGATAGCAGGGGGGCCGACCTCATCGTCTGCAGTGCACATGAGTAGGTGCTTGCTAGCAAAAGCTAGCATGGCTCTTTGTTGTTCGATAATCCGAATTCGCATTGCCAATATAGATCGCCAATAGATTGCCAATATATATTGCCAATATAGATCGCCAATAGATTGCCAATATAGAATTGATAATGTCGAGTGTGGTAGGTTTTTCCAGTTTGATGACAACAAGAGAACGAGAGGTAACAGACTTAAGTTGCGCAAACCGCAGGTGCGGCTCAGGTCGAGACAGGAATTCTTTACTTGCAGAGTGGTGAACGCGTGGAATGCGTTAGGTGACGAAGTAGTGGCTGCCCCGCGCTGTGACTATCTTTAAGAAGAAACTAGATGCTTTCATGGACAGGCAAAAAGGTGGGGGCAATGTTGACGTTGGTACTAGACAGTAAGCAACTAGGATAGTCAAATAACAAAAAACAGAACAAAACAAATATAAAAAATATATGGCTTTAAGAGGGTTAGGCCTACCCTAAAATTAAGGAACGCTCGACCTCGACACGTGATATCGAAATGGGCGAAATCGCCTCTTGATATCACTAACTCTCCTGACTCCTGAGATCTACGCAGTTGCCATGGATAAAAAGAAAAGACAGAAGGTATGCTACTCATAATCATGATATTCGCTAGGTTTAGCTCGAAGTGATATTCTTTGTAAGTTCTGAAACTCGCAAGGGAGGAAATTCGACCGTCATGTCATTCTCTCTTCGAGATTTCCCAAAAGCGGGACATATGGGCGTCCCGCCTACTTCATCGGGGGACACCGGGACATGTGGTCTGAAAGTGAGACTGTCCCGCCTAAATCGGTCTGGTCACCTTAGGTCCAGACGACCCATGAAAGCATGAACTGACTTTCGCAAGACTTCCCGTGGAATTCGCCCCCATTCTCGGTACTGGGATAGCTTGAGAGAATCCAAAGAACGGCGTTCTGTAGCTCATACTTTGCTCTCCAAGATCCTTCAGCGTTGGACTGATATTTTGCACAGGGCGCCAAGTATCCTTAGTACGGCGCTGAGCTCATATTCCCTATGAGAACCCCTACGAACAGAGTATTACCTTATCCGAAAGGAGTATGAGAACAAGGAAAATATCCGCGGCTCAATCCTCCATTCCCGCATCCTGAGAACATAATGAGGAAACGAAGGACTGAATTCGCAGATAGTCCGTAGAACGGTAAGGAGTGACCTTCTGAAATGTACTACAATTAGTACGTTCAGGGGCAGTCAACCTCTGTACTGTTCTATGTCTCCTGCTTATGCACGGGAGAGACTTGTGCATGGGCAAGGGGTTATACTGGTACAGGCCGTACTAGCATTGCACAGTGAAATGCCTCCACTGGAATAAAAAATATTAGGGAAAATATTAATGCTAATATTGGCCCAACGTTTTTCCATGTAGTAATGCCAATAATGGTCCAAGATAGGTGTCAATGTAGAGCCAATGGGCGTGTCTTTTTTCTCAGCGGTTCAGCTAGCTCTGCTGAGGCCTCCAGCATCCCATGACGTCATGTTAGGGCTGAGCTGCTCAGCGCTCCCATAGTTCGCTATCATGGCGACGGTCGATGAACGGGTTCTCACTGCAGTAAGTTACTGCTGGTCGTGCCTAGCCAACGCGTCTTTTTCGCTAGCAGCTGCTAGCGGCTGGAGAAAAAGACACGCCCAATAGGTATCATCTTGGCGGATCTTGACGATATGTATCGACCCAATATTGGGGTGCTACTGGGGATACAACAGCGGCTCCCAACCTATGGATCGATGTGGGGTTTGGTTTGGATAACCTCGGGCCTAGAAGGACCCAGGTTGGAATAAACAAAACTTTAAACTTATATCCTTCCTTATTTTTTTCCTTTTTTTCCCCTCCGCCTGTATTATTTTTCTATTGGCGAGATACCTTGCTTATCAGTTGCGGAGTCTTAAATGTGCAAAATACAGGTTGCTCTGTGAGAAAGGTCGCATATTCGCTGGTAAAAGCAACTGTTGGCGGTCGATTGTTCTCTTTGCAATGGAGCTCATAGTCTCGCTTCGTATCCCCACTAGGACTCAAAGTTAGGCCAACTTCCAGACTAATCCCTCCGCTTCCTATCATTGGATCCATTGCGTTCTATTGAGAGGCTACCACCATTTTCTATGGCAACCCTGACTTTCCGGTGAGAACATGGTAGCACTCATTCCCGGCAGCGGCGAGGCTCGATTATAATGTGGAGAACACCTCGACAACTAGGTCTAGGCCAATGCAGAATACCTCTAAACAAGAAATTGACGATGCGAGGTGGCGTGTTCGTTTCAGCGAATTCGAAGTGGACAATGTGAGTTGAAATTTTTTTTTCCCTCTCTATCTTGTAACGTGCTGGCTTAAGTCTAGTGCGTCAGTCAAGTATCATGGAAAGTGCTGATTAGCACGGCGTTGCCAGCATACCATTTGATACCTCCCAAAACACTGGAGCTGGCGTCCACTCCTTTATCGTGTGGATGATGCTGGGCCAGAGCATGCGCCCTTTAGCGATTCCCATTACCCATTCGTACATGTGGCGCTCAGTTGTTTCCGTGTTATTGACTAAAGTTGGGGTCAGAATACCTCGTTCTCTTTCCAAAATGATCCAAGAGCATAGCATGATGTTTCGTACTCTTTTCTGCCACCCCATGAAAGGAGAGGTTCGAAAAGTTGTGCAATGCATAAGTATCATTTTGAGGGTGATGCGAAGGATTTTATCATTATTGCCTAGCAATTTGTGGCTGGTACGGAAATAAATGGTAAATACTGTATAGTTGAGGACATTAATCTTTCATGAAGTATGGATGAAAATGAGACAGAGATCAATTGGGGCTTCAGTTGTGAAGGGATTAATTTGACTGACCAGTAAACATAAGATTTGCATTTTATTCTTGGCCATTCCCTGGTGTTATTTCACACATATTCCCATACCTTCATACATTGACATTTTGCAAATATTGTCAGTGACTGGTTGAGAACCATGTGATGACAAGGCTGTACTTGATGGTATAGCCTTGACAGTCCTCTTCTAATATGGCTCTACCAGGCAAAGTACAACCTTGCATATTCAAGTCCATAGATGCTTAGGTTTTCCTTAGTGCTAGAAGGGAAGAATGAAACTTTTATTGATTTAATTTTTTAGTGGTTTCGCTTAAGGATTTCATTTTGCCACTTCATGCACTCTTTTAGCATTATGTCAAATTCTTCCATTCTATAGTCTTTAGTAGAGAATATCATGTATCCTGGAGCATCAGTCCCACAGAGAGTGTTTTTCTCTGGATCCCATTATGTCTGCTCTTGTTGGTCTGTTGTTTGGCCTGGCCAATTAGAAATTAGAACCTTATAGAAGTCTCCTGACTTCCCCTGAACTGTATCAATCCACCATTTGTCCTTATTCAAGTTTTAGCAAAAAGCAGCACCCCTAATCTAAAAACACAATAGTAAGTTAATATTGGGAAATTCAACATTTCATATGTTCTCAGTTTCGTGCTTTGACTACCAGACACTGTTCAGCATGAGTGGTGTGGTATTTTGTTACTGAGGACAAATTTGGAGCAATGGCATGGAGTATGTTAGTTATCAGATTTTTAAAGTCATCAATATTAAATAGTCTTTGATGCACTTGCTTTTTATTTGACCCCCTCATACTGAAACCCATTGGTATGAGGTCCAGTGAGCAGGCTGACCACTACAAGACTGTGATGACCAACTTATCTTTTTTTGGTAAGTCATCAGAAGATGCAATGATGCCCAACCTGGTTCACAGAACATACAAATGTCAAGAATGGTCCATATCATGATGTGAAAATGTGATTGCTGGAGTGGATGTGCTTAGTTACCTTTGCACATCACTGCCATTTGCTTTTAGATGTCAAACTGAAGAACTTGCCATTATCCTGTTGCAATTTATATATTCTCTCTACAAACTCCAATTGGGGATAATGCAATTTCACTCATGAAATTGCATTGCCACCATTTGTGATCTCATTTGATACAGATTTGCATATAACATTTATATATATAAGTAACAGCAATATGGGCCTGTCCATAGTGTAGGATGTGACATTAGGAGTAATGTATGTTTGATATACAAAATGTATTTAATTATGGTGAATCAACTTATGCAGGCTGTAACAGTTTGCCTTAGGCAGTGACGGAAAATAAGTTTTTTAACTGTATGTAAAGAAATGCTCACCATGTGTAAAACTCTGGCAAATATACCATAGCAGTGAAATAATTCATAAGAGTGCCCTGAAATATACTGGGGTTAAAGAATACCCTAGAGCAGGGGTCAGCAACCTTTTATTAATTGCAGGCTAGATTGACATGGCTCGGCCCTATGGCAGGACAGAGAGTATAATTGATTGCTGATCTGCCCAGAGGCTTGGCGTGCTTGGCGTGCTGAATGAAATCTCCTTGCGAGCTGTAGGTTGCCAGCCCTTGCCCTGGTGGGAATTATGTCATTTTAAAGCTGAGAGGAAGCAGGGTTTAAAGTGATAGTTTAAATTAATTGAGTATTTCTTTTTCAGCAATAACAGTGTGTCAGTGGAAACTCATTTTGTGAGCAGACCTGCTTAGCAATAATATCCTCATTTTATGTTTTAATGGTAAGCTTACAGAAGCTGAAGCTTATGATAAAAGAAAGGCCAATGCCTAGGTTATTTTCTTTTAAATGAATAGGTGGGCAAATATCTGAATATAATTGCATTATTAAGTTTTCCTTCTCTTAATGATCTAGATCAATCTATTTTGAAATTATCCTGTATGGTGATGAAAAAACTGCAGTTAGAAGTTGCCCTATGTCAGAAAAAATTTTTAGCATCACAAAGTATTTTATATCCATTTTTCCAATTTTTTGTATTTTTTTTATTTCTATAGGCATCAAGTACTGATTTTCCTGGTAGCTACAAAGGTTATGATGATGCTTGGAATATTGAGAAATTCAGGGAAGATTTTGGAGTTAATATTGTTAGTCTCAATGGATCTGATATGGAGATGGACTTTATTGGAATGGACCCTGCCATTGGGAACAGCATTCGCAGGGTACTTCTGGCTGAGGTGAGAAACCGGGTCATCATTGGTTGTTTTCCTCTCTGACTAGCATTGTATGCTTAAATTCCATTACCAGTAGCAGTGTTGGAGAACCAAAAATCTGCTCATTGGAAGATTTTTCATATTAACCCTTTGATGCTGGACACTGATCAGCACCTTAATATATTGGTGTAAATTTGCTGCTCGACTCAGTAATCATCGTCAGATGATTACTTACATTGCCCCAGTTGATGGCATGGTATCAAGCTTTCATTCCAATTGCTCCTTGACATAGGCTCCTTCAGAAAATTTTTGTGAATTTTCTTTTTTTTTAAATTGTCCAAAATCATTGATGAATCAGCCATTCTTGCCTCAGAATGGGCAGCAGAAAGTTCAGAGTTGACAAGGCTGCTGGTTTTATTATGGCAGACTATGATTCTGGGAGTGAATTCTCAATTTCTAGTGATGAAGAAGACATTCATTCAGAATTGGAGAGTGATGACTCAGCCAATGAAAATGTTATCCATCCCATTCCAATTCGTGGTCATGGATGTGGTCCTTCTCATCATGGTGGTTGAAGTGCTGCCAGAACAAGGGCTAGAGGTGGTAATGCTGATCCTTACTCCTGGATACAATTGGATTGAGAGGAAGTGGTCTTATATACCAGAATGCAATTATGAAAGTCCTACTGGGTATTGTGGTGCATGGGATGAGTGATGCTGCTCCAGTGATAATGACTTATTAGAGCAGAGATTTTTACATAATTCAAGTTGACCGCCATCTGATGTCATCACATATGCAAATTAACTTCGGAAATGTGTTCCCATCATGAAGTCAAGACCATACCCTAGAACTTATCTAAATATACCATGGAACTATCTCCACTCCTTAGAGTGCTACAGTCTTCAAATTGGGATGCTTGGCTGAGTCTAGCAGATAAAAAGTCTGCAGGTAAAGGGTTAAATCTGGTTGTCATTTACTCCTCTGGTTTAAGTCTATTTTGCATGATGTCAATGCTAGTGAGCACAAACATTTTTTTTCCATTTCCAATACAAAGCAACTTTGATGAGAACATGATGGCCATGCTTGTGGACATTGCAACTTTCGGTATAAAGTCATAGATGGTGTGTCATGGCTATCTCTAGTATATTGTATACTGAAATGTAATAAAGAGATGTGTCTGTAAGTGAGGATGCAATGCAATGAAGGGTTAGTTATATATTCCTTTCCTCTGATCCTTGTAGCTTCCAAGTATGGCCATTGAGAAAGTCCATGTATACTACAACACTTCCATAATTCAAGATGAAGTCTTGGCTCATCGGTTAGGCTTGATTCCTTTGCAAGCAGACCCTCGGATGTTTGAATATAGACAAAAGGGTAAGAAATATTTTACTTCACCCGTGTTTTTTGTTAGTCATTTCTTGAAATTAAAGGTACCATGAAGTGCTCACTTCTCAATTTTATAATGAATTAAGGAGGGAAGTTAAGGTGATATACTCATTTGAATAGTAAAAGTTTCATGGGTTCAGAAATTGCATTATGTAGGATTGCCTTTATTCATGAGTTGTGAGTCATGACTTGCAAGGACACAAACTATAGCAAGCATTGAATCTGACATCACTTTCAAAATGTCAAAAGAAACTTTTAAAAATTAGAAGGGTCATCGAGCTTTATAACTTGTGAAGAAAGTGTTTTCAAATTCATTGATTTTTTTTTTCAAAAGTGATTGTGTCACAATAATTTGGCATATTTACAATTTTACAATCCAGCCCATGAGTATTATTTATACCCTACATTTCTATCCTGAACCTAGATACAAGTAGCTTTTGCTCTTTTCTGTATTTTCAAAAAATGGTTCAATAGGTATAATTGAGCATTAAGAATACTTAAGGTCTATATGCCAAAGCCAAATACTCTGATTCTGATTGTCATTCTGCCTCTTATTTTTCATGCTACATTCAACATGTGAGAGGGAATCAACTCAATGGAATTGGCTATCATATGAAATGGCTGTCTGATTAGTGCCAAGTGTCAGGTCTCCTCAACTGATTAGCATAATTTACTATCATAATGAGGAATCCTAGACCAGATGGTTGCCATATGTGTTTGGCTTAATATTTCCTCTAGGTGGTAGGTATGTCATCCAGAGTGTTCCTTTTTGGATGTCATGTCTGTTTGATTCTGGCCCAACCATGTCCCCCAAAAACCAATGATGCTGCAAGGGGATGAATGTAGGAAAATCCTGGTTGTGCCACTGTTAAGGCTGGTCTGAACTTCTGAAAAAGGTATCAAAGCTTGCTAAAAAAAAAAGAAGAAAAAAATACAAGGCCCTTATCAATAAAGATACTGGAAGTATTCATGAATAGAAGCAGGTACCGCTTGAAAGCTGAAAAAAAAAAGCTTCTATAATAAATTTTGAAGAATGGAAAGTCATGTGAAATAAGAGCAGCGCCTCATATTTCACAGGCTGAATTTCAGGAAAAATGTGGCAATCTATCTGTTAACACTAGAAGTACTGGAGCAGTCAAATTGACTGCTGTATTAAAGTAATATTCTGTAACTTTTATGTAACTCTAGCTCTTTTTCTGTAACTTTTTTTTCCAGTTGTTTTTTGGTATATTTAAAATGTTGATATTAGATCAAAAAAGTAAAAACTGCCATGGCCCTTAGTTGCCAAATGATCAGGGCAAAGTGTGTAAAAAAATTGGCAAGCAGCAAAATGACTGCTCCAGTAGTTCTTGTGTTAATGTCTGAATTCTCATCAATAATTTACATTTTTACACATCTGCATGTTGTGTGTAATACTATGCTCAGATTTAAAATGAATGGTATGAGTGGATAGCTTATATTCACCATGGAAAATGCATTAGGTGATTTTTTGCTTGTATTTGGTAGAAGTCTTTAAGATGCCTGTTCCAAAATGCTCTAATTTATTTTTAGTTAATCTCTTCCATTCAGTATTAGGAATAGATCAATCACTTGGAGCCCAATAATGAAAATTATCTTCTGGTGGATGAAATTTCATGATGGGGGGACAGAAATTAAATGTTGAGACTTCTTATTTTTTTCCTTTCCTCGAATAATGCTGTTTATTTTTTATTAATGACCCTGACAGATCTGACCTGCTTGTAGCATATGCACTGGCAGGTGAGTGATACATATTCATTAATAAACATTTTTGCTTATTGTAAGATGATATTATTCATGCAATTTTTTAAATAGGGTTTACCTATTTTCCTACTGTAGTTTCTATTGCTGGTGGCTATTCAAAGGCTGTGAGACTGTCATTTTTTTAATGCAGGAGATGAGGATGGAACACCTGAAGATACTCTTGAGTTTGAGCTAAAGGTCAAGTGCACCAAGAATCCAAATGCTTCTCAAGATGCCACAAGTTCTGATGATTTGTATAACAATCATAAAGGTTGGGCAAATGTTCCCGTTGCTTATGGGGAATTCCCCTTGCTCTCTAAATAACTAGTTCCACTGCAAAACATGGAGTTTGAGCTGGGACCTATACAGAGAGGAATGACCTTGGCAGTATGTTTCCACTCTGCTTGTTTGACCATTTTCATAAATATACCAGGTGAGGTATTTACATGACCCAGTTTTTAAACATTTCTCCCCTAGTCGACTGTTTGTGGAGCAACGTGGTTTACAGCACATATGTAAGGCCCATACAAGAGCTAAAGGCAAAAGTGTCAGTTTCATGTATAATGTGTTTTTTTTTTAAATTTAAACATCCTAACAAGTGAAAGAAAACAAAATTCAGTTTTTCATGAATCTACTGGACAGCTCAAATAAAGTTCCCAACTTTGCATGCTGTAAATGAAACACCATGAATGATGTCACCAATAAATTTACAGGGTGTCACATGTTACAAGCAAAAGCAGTTTCTTGAAACCTTCAATGAAGTTGGTTGCTTAGAACTTGAGTAATAGCTTTTTTCCATCACAATGTCAAATGCATGAATGTGTGTCTGCACATGTAAGGAAGAGGCTCACTGATGCAAATGCTCATTTGATTTGGTGCAGGAAAAATGTTGTCACTCCAGCTCTTAGCATCCATTTAATTTGCATCTCTTTGCAACTACATTTTGGGTGTGACACCATATAAACTTTCTTATTTTTATTTATCCCATCAATGTTGGAGTATTTCAGGAAAGCATTAAGGATGAAGCTGGCATTTTCATTCTTAATTTGTTAACTGATCCTCCACATATGCCTTAAATCATACAGCTCTATAATCACTTCAAAAATGTTTGCACTGTTTAAAAAAAGAGGGTAGATTTTAATGATATAATTTCAATCTTTTTCTTTTTTTAAACTCATTTCTCAAAGAAAAAAAGTTTCATGTGGTTTGCAAGTAATTTTTTAAATGTTTCTTGGATCTGTTCACTCCAACTTTCTTCAATGGCTTCATGTTAAGAACATAAAAGGATCAAAAGGTTTGCTTCCATGAAGTTAGCTACTAGTTTCCTTGGTATCTTGCAGTGTATACCAGTGACATAAAATGGATTCCTAAGGGACAGCAAAGAGAGTTATTCCAAGCAAAGGATGTCCTTCCCATACATCAGGACATTCTCCTGGCGAAGTTACGTCCAGGACATGAGCTGGACCTCAAACTGTTAGCTGTCAAAGGCATTGGGAAGGATCATGCCAAGTTCTCTCCAGTGGGTGAGTATCCAGTGAAAATTTCAATTATAGGGAAACACTGGGAAATAAAGCCATATCAGAGTTTATAATTGTATTGTTATGAGTTTATATTTCAAAATTTAATTTAAAAGTTAGTACTTGTTTATTCCTTCAAAAAAATGAAACAAGTAAATTTGTGGAAGGATGCTCCAGGTGAAAATATTTTCTTGAAACCAATCAATGAACCAATATATATATACAGGGTGTTTGTATTTAAATACAACATAGGGAATATTTTGCTGCCTGTAGGTGGAGGGCAGCGAATGCTATGAGACCTACCGGGTTGCCTATTGCCATGGAAACACCAGGGATAGGATTCATATTTCCAGATATGCAACCTGGTGAGTGGTAAGGCAAGTGCTGAACACCACAAACATGCAGTAAAATTTCCCTATGTTGCATTTAAATATGAACACCCTGTATATATGTGTGCACTCTTCAAAAGGTTAATTATAACTGTCATGGTAGATCTTTTTAAAGTATGGTTGCAACAATTATGCATATTTCCAATAAGGAAATTATTCATGGCCTCAACACTGAATGCAAAAGGTGTAGGGGTGGGTGTTGCTTCTGTCAACTTTTGTCATGAACTAGGGGGTGTTTTTCCTTTTATTCTTACCACAATTGATTCAGGGGGGGGGAGGGAGACCAGGACTATTACAATGGATGATAAAATCTTCATTGTCTCTAATTATCAAAGGTGACATTGTATCATGACAAACCTATTATTCAAGGAAGATGTAGCAGTTTATGCATTTGCTGAACTTTCTGTGAAATTATATTTTTTATTTATCTTGTCTTATTTCTTGATGTAATTTTCTTTTAGCAACTGCTTATTATCGAATGCATCCAGAAATCACTTTGAAGAAGACTGTTGAAGGAGAATTGGCTGAAAAACTGGCTTCCTGTTTTTCTCCTGGGACTATCACAATCATGGAATCAGAAGACACTGGTCTGTGACTTATGTAATGCCTTAACATTTTTATTATTATCCATTCTAGTATATTCTGAGGTCATACTTACACTGAGCCAGATCAGGTAGAAGAACTGAGCATCAGCATTAGTAATGATCCCAGTACTCTATAGATTTGAGCTCAAAATTGTTGCTGAAATAAAATTAATAGATTTTGATTTTTATGCAAATTATTTGTTGAATCTTAGAAGGGAAAATGATCAGCATGTAAAACAGCCAGAATACAATAAAGCTAGGAATTTTAGAGGAACTTTCATGCTATCATACAGGCCAGTGGAAAGCATGCCAAAGGATGTCATATTAATTATATTCCCTTCTACGATTGAAAGTACTTGTCCAAACCAGCAATCTATTTTTTAATTTTCTGTGTAGGAGTAAAATAATGTTGAGGTTTGAACATGTTTGCTCCCAACAAGTGAGAAAAAAATCAATTTTTTTCACATGTGTGTTATTGGCAGTGAATATGTGAACCTCCTCAAAAACAGATTGAAAAGGAAAAATGATTGGTTCCACCATTAACTTCAAGGCTTTTTTTTCTCTATTTGCACAGGAACCAGAATCGCAAAAGTTGATAATTCTCGTTATGACATGTGTGCACGCAATGTTTTTCGTCATGCTGAACTGGAGGACCTTGTGGAACTGAAGAAGATTCGGAATCACCTTATCTGTGAGTGTCCTTTTTTATTTTATTCATCTAACCTGCTGATGGCAATGGGTGATTTAGATTTAAAGGTTCATCCCTTGTATGGATGGAGGAAACATTTCTCACTAGTTTCAATGTTGCCTTCTGCATGGAGAAAGCAGAGACCACTCAACAAATTGAAGGCATGCAAGATGGCAAGATGCAGAGGGCTAAGGGCGCACTTGTACTTATTTTTCTTGTGTCAGGTGATGCCACCAATTCACATATTTTAAAACTTATCTGAAATAATGCATTAAGCAGCCAGTATGAACCATTAGTGATTCAAATTCTGCTGATCTTGTGCTTACCATGGGTCAATTTGTGCAAAATTTTCAGTGTCTGTTTGTAACCCCTTCATGGCTACACACTGAAATATCATCAGTTGTGTCCCAGGTAGAATTTGGGTAAACTGGACCGTGAAAGGTCCTATGACGATATGGTGACTAAAAAGAGTTACTATAGTCAACATGTGAGGCACACGTTTTTTTACCATTGCACTGAATGATGCAGGAATCTAGAATATAAACAACAAATAACTCTACTGAACCCATAGTGCCTTATAGGCTGCTGTGTACAGACCCATGAAATAGACCAATCAAAAACTGGATCCTTTCATATCAGCTTCATATGGTTCATTTTGAATTGGAAAAAGTGGCCATTTATTGGCTTAACTTATAGGTGCCTTCAGCAGAGAGGCACAGGCAAGAGGAGGTTGTGTTCCAGTCCTGTCTCCCCCCTCTGCAAAAAACAACTGGGAGGGGGGAGGAAATAGATTGGCCTTCCAAAATGTGAATATCATACAGTATGTTAAATTGGGAACTTCCTTCAGTCAACTCTGGTACAGTCATTGCTTGCACTATGAAACTCAGGGAGGGGTTCCTTTGTTATGCCTGAAGATGAAGTAGAAACAAAATACTGTCTACTGTATAGTATTGATTTGGGCATAGGCATGACTAATTGAAAACACAACAAATTGATTGTCTGCACATGCATGAAGGTAATTCTAATCTCAATGCAATTAAAACCATGTCCTGCTCCATTATTGGCTTGCTATGGGATGGGACTAACATGAAAATGTTGTATTTTCATTATACAAGCTTGTTTTTGGCAATCAGTACAAGAAAATTACTTCATTATTAGGTATATCTCATTTCATAATTTGTTACAACATTTTATCATTTGTATGTGCAGTATTGAGTTGAACTCATCATGCTGGTTTTGGTTCAAATTGGATACCCACAATGGAAGCCCCTGTAATGTGGTTGGACCTGAGATACTATGGCCTTCCATATCACTGGAGTCCATTCTCATGGCATGGACAGGTGAACCATAGAGGATGACTGCTGTGAAAACCATTGAATATACAATCTGTCCCAAAAAAATTTGGACCCTTTTTCAATTTTTAGCCATTCATAATTGGTTCAGACTATTGCTGTGTGCTTTTAAGGACTGACTAAGACATCAAATGAGCACATGCATGCAAAGTTATAACAATATTCATTTGCTAGTTCCTGAAATACAGGAGATTATTCAGAGCATACCAGCAGGAAGGGAATGCAGCCAGAACTGTATGGGTGCATTATTCCAAATTCATTATTGTGCCTCATACAGGATGACTGACATGATGTGCACAACCAAGATGACTTCAATAATTTTTGCTGTTTGACACTCTGATGATGTGCTTGAAATGCACCATGTCAGTCAGTGAACAGTCACGTGACACTGATCGAAACCAAAATGCTGCACGGTTCACATTCTCCTGTGACGTGGAAACGGTATGTTTCCACTCTGCCTGGCTGTGCCTGTGCTGAGTGAGACTGGTGGACATGGTCTGATGCAACCTGGCTTAGAATAAGCTACTGCATCTCTGAAATGAATGGATGGATTTTGATACAACTTTGCAAGCATGTGCTCATTTGATGTCTTAGTCAGCCCTCAAAAGTGCATGGTGATATTCTGAACCAATAACAAGAAGCTACAAATTGAATAAGGGTTCAACATTTTTTGGGACAGCGTAAATATTGATTATATGCAGCATGTGATATACAGGGTGTTAAGAAAGTTGTGTCCCACTGCAATATGCCAATAACCTCAGCAAAAATTTAAAAATCAGGAAATTTTTTAAATACACAATAACAAGGACAGTTAACTGATTATTCTAAATCTTAATAGTTTTAAATATAGCCGCCCTTGGCACAGATGACAAGGTTCAGACCACCCATGAAAGCATTGACTGATTTTCGCCAGATTTCCTGTGGTATTCGCTCCGATTCTTGGTTCAGGGATAGCTTGAGAGAATCCAAAGAACAGTGCTTTGTAGCACACACTTTGCTCTCCAAGATGGATCAAATTGGAAAATTTAGGGTGTTCACATTGGGGTAGTAAGGGGGCCATTGTGAAATCGAAATGAAGTCGGGGACATTCGTCCACAGTCACTCCTGGGTCATCCGTGCCTTGTGAGCTGGCCCTGAGTCCTGCTGGAGTCCTCCATCGAAATATTTTGTGGCTCACGGAACCAGGCAGTCTTCCAGGATGCTTTTCCGGTAAACATCAGCGTTGACCTTCATCTTCTCAGGCTCGAAAACGAGCGGAGTGCGGTAATCCTGGCCCAGACCATTACAGAAGCTGCCCCTTGATGCTGAGTGGCTTGAAAAAAATCAGATTTAGATTTTTCAGTATGGTCCATCTTGGAGAGCAAAAAATAAGCTACAAAACGCCATTCTTTGGATTCTCTCAAGCTATCCCTGAACAGAGAATGGGGAGAGAATTCCACAGGAAGACTTGTGAAAATCAGTCGATGCTTTCATGGGTCATCTGAACCTTGTCATTTGCACCAAGGGTGGCTATATTGAAAACTATTAAGTGATTCTAAATCAGTTAACTGTCCTTTTTGTTGTGTATAAAAAAATTTCCTGATTTTCACATTTTTGCTGAGGTTATAGGCATATTGTGATGGGACACAACTTTCTTAACACCCTGTAAAGAGTTGTAGATTGTCCCAATAGGGGATACAAATGTTTGGTCAAAGTCAGCAGCCAAACACTGAATTCATTGTTGGCCAAGAGCCAACAATATGTACAGGTAGATTAATGCAAACTTTTCAACTCTTGTATAAACCTATTTATAAGTTAGGAATTGGTTGAAAGAAGGGAAAAGACATGTCTTTTGTGTATTTGTGTCAAGACAAAATTTCACAAACTCATATAAATGCATCTGCTACCTTGGAATTACTACTATATCACCATGTCCCTTGGAATTTAAACACTTCCTAAATATATATAATTTCCTGTTTGTCATAATATTTATGCTTAAGTTATGAACTCTTGTTTCTCATGATGGTATTACATGTCTCCTTCCTCAGTTGTGGTGGAGTCAGTGGGTGCACTTCCTCCGGATGTTCTCATGGCAGAAGCCATTAAGCTTCTTCTCAGGAAATGCCGTGACATGGCAGTGGCTGTGGAAAACCTGAAGGTAGAAATTGCCCGAGTTAAAGCTGAGACTGAAGCTAAATCAAAAGAGGGCATTGAAATTGATTCTGATGTGAGTGACCATGGGGAAGCCAAAGGAAAAGATAGTAAAAGCCAAAGCTCAAGCAAAACAAGGAAATAAATTCATCCATGATTGATTCTTATGATTTTTATTTTAAGTCTGCATGGCTAAAAATTGATACTATGAAACTCTCTCATCTTGATGCCACAAGTTTCATGCAAAAGATCAACAAAGTTGATTTCATGTTATCAGTGAAAAACTTTCAACTGCAAAAAGAGGATTTATATGACTATAATAGGAATGATAGTCAGACTTGCTCATGCATCAAAATATATGTGAAGAAATGGCTGGAAGTTTGCTATCTTTTGTCAACCAGGTCCCTGCTGCCAATCCTTTCTGTGACAACCAGCTTATCACTTAAATGGTCAGATTGTTCTCACATATAGGGAAGAATCCACTGCATGCAATTTGCAGTCTAATTATCTGTCACACTTCAGAACTTGATGGGATACAGAACTTCCTTATTTGTGATTAAGAATCTGAACCAATGATCCTGGTCAACAAACCATATCTTGGAATGTCCTTCACCCTCCCTTGAAGTGAACTTTTGTGTATCCTTACCTTAAAAATCTTGACTCTTCTTTTTCTTGGTTTTTTCTCACCACTTTAAATAATTGATATAACAGTGCAAGTAAGTCTGCAATTCATTACTTTTCCTTTTTTCTGGCTCTATAGTTCCCACTGGTATTATATAAATTTGCATTGTTAGTGTGATGTCAGCAGTCATTATTGCAGCCATATCTCAAAAAGTATTTGAGAATGGGCCCCACTCAGGCGGCCTCAAGGGCTATTGGATGAGCATGTATTTTCAACAAGCAAGACTTGCATCTTAATTATAAGTTTCATGATAGACACAATCAGTCAATACTATTTCATTACTTTAAAACTAAATGACCTCTTTACCTGTCAAAATTGTGGCAGTGTTACTAAGCATGTATTGAAGCATGTGTGTTGTTATCAATTACAAGCAATAGAGGTCACCATTCTTGGGAATTCAAGAAGTAACTTGGGGTTGGTGGACCACATAGTGAATTTGGTTTGTTTTAGCATGCCAGTATTCATTAGACTCAACTGGCACTGCATCCCATACTCTTGATCAGGCCCTTAACTGAAACAGCAAGGAGTTGGCCATGAGGTGTGATTTTATGGACATCCTGTAGAGCTGAGTACCAATGCAGCATCTGCAACCAGTTATAGCTCTAAATTTTCAAAGCACCTATGCTGTAGAAGTAGGAACATACTTCACTGTACTTGTGTTCAGCTTTCTGTCACTGTTATCCATACCTCACATGTGTCCTTTTTGATGTGACTGGTGAACCATTATTATCAATATGAGGTACATTAGTTTTTGAAGATGCCATGATTTCATTAAACTTTTCATCTTCAAAAGCCTGGGCCCTAGTGTGCCTATTTGATTGAATGTAGAGACTGTCATTTTAGTTTCAGCATTGAACTGCTAACCACATGGTTTCTGTTTTCTTTTTTCCTATTCATTTGTAAATGTGTAATAGGTTACACAAAAGTATATTCTATACATTGCTGACTGTGGTGAAGTGGTAACCAGCACTTGTTAATCATCTCAAGATGGGTAGACCAGGTAAGTTGCAGAATGAGAGTAATGTATGAACTGCAACATTGCACTTAAGGATCACATGAGTGTGTCATATTTTTCCTAACATGTGCAAGATTCATAGATGTTTTTGTTGCCTTGCTACCATATAATAGGAACAATTATAAATTGGATATTGAATATTCAAAATTGCATGTAAATTTATTAGTCTCAGAAGTTGATTCATATGATTGTATTTTAATGGCTGTTTATTTTTTGTTAGCTATGGGTAACACCCCACTTACATGTTCTGGAAGTTTTGACATTTGTAGTTCATCCTTTAAGTGCTATTTAATGTTGTACTGGAGAGATGGCATGAAAAGGCTAGAAATTGAGACATGCATTTCCTCATAGGATTCACCCCTAGAGGAGGTTTTGGTGGTCGTGGAGGAGGTAGAGGTCGAGGGAGAGGAGGTTTTGGAGATCGGGGAGGTTTTGGAGACCGGGGTGGTCGAGGCGGAGGCTTCAGAGGTGGAAGAGGTTTTACACCACGTGGCAGAGGTAGAGGAGGCGGAGGACCAGGAAGGGGTATGTTATCTAAAGCTTTCTCTTGCAGTATTTAGTTACTTACTTGAGTCAGGTATTTTTCACTTGACATGGGCATGAAGAACATCCCTTGCACAAATGTCAAAGTCATGCGAGAAATTGCCTAACTCATGATAAACATCATAGATGGTTCTTTACTCTAGCTCTTTCATGCATATTTTTCTCAGTATCTACAAAACCAACTCTAAGTTAGGTCAAGTTGTGCATTGTATCCACTAGATTGCATCTACCTATTTAACCTGTCATTAATTGAATGCATCATCATCCATATATGTCCCCTTATGATTTATCTTCAGTATTGAAGCATTATGTAGCACCTTATAGCAAGATGCCAAAACTTTCATAACTTCTCCAAGTTGTCCATCTCAGCATTCATTCTATTCTTTTATTGTATTTGAAAAATAGGGCTGCCAAACAGTAATCAACATTCATCCTCGATTAAAGGGGATGTGAACTCAGTTTATATTGACTATGGGTCAGTAAGACTCAATTGCATACATGATTGAGTGAATTCATTTGATGTGGGACGATGAAATGCTGGAACCTAAAAATGCCATTGATGGTATCACTAATTTGCAAAGAGGAGGGGCCGTTATAATGTCATCCTTAGCCCATTTACGACTCTTGCCCATGTATCCTTTACTATGATGATTCAGACCTTGTAGCAAAGTCCTTGAGTCCTTTGACTTTGTAGCAAAGTCAAAGAGTTTCTAGGAGAATTTACAGCAAACACTGCCAAATTAGGCATGTCATTAAATTTTTCATTTAAGCAACATAAAATAGCAGTATTGCTGTGTCAGTATGACATTTAAAAAAATGAGTAAAGTGGCTGATATTCTTGGCTTGTGGTTAACTTCTACCTAATTCAAATCACTAATCTGGGATTATTTTCAGTTATTTTCTATATGCATTATGGTATTGGACTAAAAATTCCAACTGTAATTACTAACCTAATCCTAATATATAGACTTGTTGGCAATCAGGAAAAAGGTGTACAGCAGGGGTGCACAACATATGACCCACTGGCTGCATGGTGGCAAGGCCCTTGCCACCTGCCTCTCATGACTAATGACATTGTAAGTGCTACTATAGCTCCTGCCATGTTAATCACAGCTATGGTCAGCCAGACTATGGCCCACAGTAGGTGAGTAAAACTAAAAAGTGGCCCTTACAGCCTTTTTGAGTTGTGCACCCTGGTATAGAGTGTAACATGTAATAGATTGCTGGGTTTGTCACTCTTGTCTCACTTCTAATTACAGGGATTTGCAAATGAATTTGTTCAGTTCTTTTAAGGATACAACCCCTTCACACCTCCTCGGGTACATCAATCAAAGTAACGTGCACAGGATGCAAAGGGATGATAGTGAAGCCAACATCCTCTCCTGTTCTTCACAATGTGACTGTATCTACAATGATTTGATTATGAATATGCCTCTGATGATGAAAGTGATGTAACTAGTCCAAATACAAAACTGCAAGTACAACTGCCATTTGAAACCAGAGAGCAGTGAACTTTGGCAGTAGCCATAAAAGGAATTCATTTTCCCATTAATTATCAGGTGTTAATTACTGGTTCATTTCTTTGGCCCATAGTAACATCTCTAAAGCCACCAAGTGGCAAAATAACATGGAGAAAGGATTAAATTATTGACCATAAGTTCTTGCCGAGTCATTCCAAGGAATATAGGTAGCTCGGTTATATGAAGTTGATTTTTTACAGGGGGATTCAGAGGTGGGAGGAATGTTGTTGTGGAGCCCCATCGACATGAAGGAGTGTTCATAGCAAAAGGGAAGGAGCATGTGCTTGTCACACGAAATCTAGTACCTGGAGAAACTGTGTATGGAGAGAAGAAAGTCTCTGTTGATGTCAGTCATGGCAATACTTATATTCTGTTACACGTGAGCTGCATTGTCAAGGCGACCCTTACATCTTTCATTTTATTCTCAGGACGAACGTGGTGAAAAAATTGAGTACCGTGTCTGGAATCCCTTTCGCTCAAAATTGGCTGCAGCAATCTTAGGGGGTGTGGATCAAATCTACATGCCTCCTGGGAGCAAGGTGCTCTACCTTGGAGCTGCTTCTGGCACCACAGTTTCCCATGTGTCAGACATTGTGGGGCCAGTGAGTGTCACCATTACAAAGACTTCATTCCTATACCAAATACATGAGTTTTATTTTATAAATTCCTTGGCTCCCTAGGATGGGTTGGTATATGCTGTGGAATTTTCTCATCGATCTGGAAGAGATCTCATCAATGTTGCAAAGAAGCGGCCAAATATAATCCCCATCATAGAAGATGCAAGACATCCTCACAAGTACCGCATGCTTGTTGGCATGGTTGATACTGTGTTTGCTGATGTTGCCCAACCAGATCAAGCAAGAATAGTAGCCTTGAATGCTCAATATTTCCTCAGAAATGGTGGACATTTTGTCATCTCTATCAAGGTATGGCACATTTTGCATGTCATCCAAGTTTCTTCTGCTTGGCAGAGAAAAACTAATTTACACTCCTTTATAAATTTTGACTGGCTTCAGCTGCATGAAATGAAGATTGCTGAGTATTAATGCCTGTCAGCTCTACCAACTCTGACTATGAAATAACCATCAGTGAAGATGACAATTTGGTTATAAGCTAGGTATTAGTATGCATATCCATACCAAGGTATGATGCTTGTTTTCACACTTGAAACTCGATAGAGGCAGGCTTCCATATTCATGAGTTTGTCAATTTCTATTTATTACAAATCATGGTGTAATCAAGGTATTTTCCCAGTGTATTATTCATATGGTTTTTTTTTTCCCCCAGGCAAATTGCATTGATTCAACAGCTGAACCAGAGGCAGTGTTTGCTGGTGAAGTGAAGAAAATGCAGAGTGAACGAATGAAACCACAAGAGCAGATCACACTTGAGCCATATGAGAGAGATCATGCTGTTGTTGTTGGTGTGTATAGACCCCCAGCCAAGAAGCAAAAAGGTTGAATGATCTTTTGAAGGAATGACATCTTTTTGTTTTGGCAATAAATAAGAAAATCATTTGGAAAAGACAGAAAGCTTATTCGCAGCATGACAAGTTTCATTTGTATCAAATTTGGTTATCCCTCCCATAAAAAGTTCAGTTTTGCATGACTCATTTCAAGACCAGGTCTAGTGCATGGATTCTTAGCACCTTGTTGCAGCACTAACTCTAAATTTCAGAAGTCAGAATTTTGTCATTGATATTTGTTGGACATGAAAATCATGGACATGTATATGATTATAGACTCATGATGACTTGCCATATGGAAATTCTTGAATAACTCCATCCTTTGATACATTATGAACCTACATTTTAAATATTCATTTCAGCAAAAACAGGCTATGGAGCATCATTTCCTTTGCAAAGAGAGGAAGGTCACAAAAAAAAGGAAAGGAATTTATTGAAGAGCTTTCTCAAATTCATGTCCACATAATGACTTGTGTACATGGGGAAGGTCACCAAATATATCAGTTTCTTCACTGTACTGACTTGAAATGGTCATCATCAATGGTTGAATAAATGTGCCCTTCATTAGAGAGGTACTCCACAATGCTCCTGAAAGCAAAAAGACTCGCTCAAGTCATGCCACCACCAATCATCACTTTCAAATTTGAAACAAAAGCAAAAATGGTGAACTCACTCAATCTGAGAATTATCAAGCTTGCCTCGCAAGTTTGCCTTCATTTCTTGGATGGTCATCCCTGCTTCAGTTTGAGTATTCTGGATATGAAAAGAAGGAATGCCAGTTTATTGTAAACCATTTATTGGCTTTTTGTGGATAGTAAGAAATTTCAGTTTAGATTAACAGGAGATCCAAACCTAATTGCACATCTCCATGCATTACTGCAGGGTTTGCAACAAAAAAAAAAGTATATTTGCTATAAGATTAATATATTTGAATGGATTGATTTTAAAACTGAAATGGTATGCTGCCTAATGCGCTCTCCAAGAGCTGTTAAAATTGAATATGCCTCTGGCTGTCCACTCTTGAGTTATGGCAGATAATGTTGATGGTTAATATTCTGAGTGAAGAGGCATGCGACTCCTGTAACCAGGTGCAATTTCACACTTGCATGGAAATGCCTGAAAATTTACTCCACAAACACATCTTCAGATTGTGAAGAACACACATTTGACAACATCCAGTTAAGTTTTCACAATTTGTTCACAGGAACAGATTTGAAAAAAAAAAGTGAAAATCAAAAGTCAATTCATGCCTCACAGTGCTCCCATAGCTGTTAATTTGGAAATTGGACCATTATGAAAAAAATCTACCATAACTCAAGAGTGGGTGGCCATAGGGAGATTAAACTTTAACAGCTCTTGAAGAACATATTAGCATCTCATTAAATTTTCAAGTCAATCCATTTAAAAATATGAAATTTACAGCAAATTTTGAGTAGCTTACTTTTTAGACAACCCTCTATAATGAAAAATTTCTGTCTTCTGAACAGTTCATAACAAAAGGGTTTATACAGGCATGAAGACAGAAAGAGATCATTCTAACCTGAATGCCTCCAGGAAAAAATGGCTGAGTATTATTTTCTTTTCAGTATTCCTGGTGCTCATGAGAAAAATGAAACTGCTGAGATGCCATGAATTAATAAATAGGTTGCTGTAGGCATTCAAACTTCAAAGATACAGTTCTGCTTCATACACTATTTCAGCTGACTACATACTCCATTTTCCACATGTTCTGTGATTTAAGAATCTTTGTCTATGTAATATTGGGGATAATCTAGAATTCACAAGATGAGGACCCTTGGAATTTTGGATATGGCATTTATACAACAAAATCAGAGAACAGTCCATTTTGCATATAAATTCAAAGGAAATTCAGCACCCTCACTAAGCTATGTGATGGAGAGATTGACTTCAGAAAGCCAAGGAACAAAAAAACTGACACTATCACTATGCCTGACATGGAGGCAAATGAAACTTTGACACTTACAGCAATTAGGGAATATACCAACTGTTGAGCAGTAGTGAGTCCATCTATCATTGTGCCACTGGAAGAAGCTTGAAGGGTATTTCCAGTGGTATTCCCCAACACCAAGTTCCCTATCCTTTCACCTGTTGCCATCTCCTAAAGGCATGGGATAGGAATGCATATCATGGAAGCATTACCATTTGTCTTCAGAGGAAATGAGCACATCAAAAACATACATTATACCAGTAATATCAAACTTAAATCAAGTGAATATAAAACACGAAGTTTTGCTTTTGCCATGTTATACTATCACTTTTCAAAGCCAATAGAAAAATCCTTCATATCATGCTAACTGTAAAAATTAAGGTAAAATGCACTAGGGATTCTTGTTGCTAAACTTTTTATTTTTATGATCTTAAATCAGAAAATAATTATTTCACTTTTTGCATCAAAGTCAGCCATTGCCTATGGTACAATGTGTCATAACCAGCAACATAGAAAAACCTACATATCTGTAATAGCTGGAGGCCAGTAGAGGGAAGAGTTGGATGGCATGAGAGGTATAAAAAACACCAGGGAACGGCCAGGAATCAAACCCAGGCCTCCTGGTCAGTTGTGCTACCACTACACGACCGAACCCAGAACATTCAGTTGTGCCTCTCTATGCCATCCATTACACTACATATTCCGATCAAAACATCAGAGTAAAATAAACCTAGAAGTTGAACATTGCACAAAAAAAAAGAACAATGCCTTTCTCTTGGACTTAAGTAGAGTGGAGTTAATAATGAATCAAGTCAATCCAATGGTGACTGGATCAAAAACTTCACTAAAATTTGACTGTTCCAACTTCAAAAACTGAATTTCTCAATGATACCATAAGCTCCATTGCCACACGATGTCACTAAAAGTATGTTACTTGGATAATTTCATTTGAAACAAGATTAAATTTCAAAGTAGTGATACCATCCTAAAATTCAGCAAATGACTGTATGTGACCAATACAGGATTCCTTGTGGGCAAACCATTCCCATGCTTGATATAAAATTAAGTTTCAAAATTTTTACAATAGAAATGCACAGTATGTATTAGGTTGTTTCACATGAAATGTCCGATTTTTCTCTATACAGGCAGGCCTCGACTTACAACACTCCGACTTAGGACGCTCTAAGCCTAGGGCTGAAGGAGTCATTGACATGTAGGCGTGAGGCCTCCCCCGTATTACCGTCATATGTCGAGGACTGCCTGTACAATATGATGTCTTCAAAAGAATTGAGACTACTTTTTTTGTACGAGTTCAAATTGGGGCACAACGCAGCTGTAGCCGCGAGTAACATCAACTTGGTGTTTGGGAAAGGGACTGCTAACCAGCGGACTATTTGGCAGTGGTTCGAAAAATTTCAATCCGGAGACACGAATCTCGAAAATGAGCCCCGAGGAAGGCCTGAATCTGTTGTGAATGAAGAACATTTAAGAGCCATCGTGGAAGCTAACCCACAAACAACAGTTCGGGCTCTTGCAATAGACCTAGGTGTTTCTATTGCAACTGTTTCTTGACACCTGGCTGCAATAGGAAAGGTGAAAAAATTGGACAAATGGGTGCCGCACGAATTGACGGACAGCCAGAAACTGCGACGCCTGGACGTGTGTTCATCGCTGATGGTCAGGAACAACAAAGAGCCATTCTTGGAGCGAATCATTACCTGCGACGAGAAATGGATCCTGTACAATAACCGGAAAAGAAGTGGACAATGGTTGAATGCTGGTGAAGCTCCAAGACATGCACCAAAACCGCCATTGCACCCAAAAAAGGTCATGGTGACAGTATGGTGGTCTGCAAAGGAGTACAATAACCGGAAAAGAAGTGGACAATGGTTGAATGCTGGTGAAGCTCCAAGACATGCACCAAAACCGCCATTGCACCCAAAAAAGGTCATGGTGACAGTATGGTGGTCTGCAAAGGGAATCATACACTATTCTTTTTTGCAACCGGGACAATCAATTACAGCAGAATCATATTGTCAGCAAATTGAAATTATGCATAAAAAATTGGCCACCGAACAGCCAATATTGATAAACAGACAAGGACCGATTCTGCTGCACGACAAGCAGAATCATATTGTCAGCAAATTGAAATTATGCATCAAAAATTGGCCACCAAACAGCCAATATTGATAAACAGACAAGGACCAATTCTGCTGCGCGACAATGCTCGACCCCACACGTCACGAACCACCGTGGGAAAATTAACAGAATTGGGCTATGAAATTTTGCAGCATCCACCATACTCACCTGACCTTTCACCAATGGATTATCACCTTTTCCGTCACTTGGAACTGCTTCTCCGGAATAAAACATTCCAGGACCGAGAGGCTGTAATTGGAGCATTTGAGGAGTTTGTTAATTCAAAAAATGTAGAATTTTATAGAAATGGAATATTTTCATTAGTATCCCGTTGGGAGAAGACAATTTAAGCTAATGGAGCATATTTTGATTAAATGAAATTTTATTTGTTAAAAATATAGCCTTTTAAATCTCATCTTCAAAATCGGACATTTCATGTGAAACAACCTAATATTTCCACAACACACTCAAGCTTGAGATGGCTTGTGTAGCTGTTTATGTGATATAATGATGAACAACTTCTTTATGTCTAGCCATGGATCGTGATGACTCCTCCTAAGGTAGGTGTAAACCTATTGGAAGTGAAGAACACTTGCAATGCCGTTGACACTGGGCAGTATAAGAACATGGAAGGGAAGGGTACAGAACATCATGGAGATATTGTGATGTTTCAGGCCAGATGCTCCCATTGGGTGGGACATTCCTCGCCCTATAGCTTAGTGTCTCGGGGCCCACAACATCAAAGAAGGAGGTTCTCCCTCTCTAACACATCACTTACAGAATCGCTTATGGTCAATCAATTAGGTTTGGTATACCACAAAGGCTTAGGAATATATGGGTTCCAGAATCCTCCTAGTGGGATTTTTGGCCTGTGGTGAACATTTAAATGACTCTTGGGCAAGATTCATCATGAGGCCAGCAATGCACAGATAGCCAATGTGCTAAACAGAGTGTCCATTTATTACCATAGTGATATTCTTAGCAGTTATTGAAACTTGTCTGCAACTGCACAAGGACCTAAGACAGCCATCTATTTTACTTCCCTTGTAAGTTATGCCAATGACTGAGCCCAGGTCTACTGGTTGACAGGCCTGTTGGAAGACAATATGGGATTTTTGGTTGATGAAAATATGTACTGCTTTGTGCTTGGGTCAAAATTCAGTGTATTTCTACTGCTATTTTTCACATAGATCATGACAACAGTTTAACAGATTTTCACTCTAGTCAGACTATTTTTCACTCGATTCAGACGCTTGTGTATGGGACATTCCCCACGTATGAGTGCCTGAGTCTAATGGAAAAATGCTGGATGCTCGTGAAATACACTATAGATCTAACCTTAACCTATCCTTAGACTTAACCTGTGTGCCCATCATTGGATAACCCCACATTATGCCTATCATAGATTCCATCTGAGTTCATCAAGGAGGAACATTGGCCAAGGCCATCTGTTGACTTTTGTCGAGTCACAGCAAGCTTCAGACATGGAAGGAACATCCCAAGGACAGGCTAATGCCCCTCCATTTCAGTTCATTGCAGGTAAGATTAGGCTTAGGCATATACCTCGTATATAGGCCAGGCTGCAGAGAAACACATTGCTCCTTGGTTGAATTTAATTAACTGTTGAAGTCTAATATTGGACAGCCTTTTCAAAAAAGGACTCAGAGTTGGCTTGCATATGGCATATCATATGATCTGACTTTCTAGAAATATCCCAGATGATGCATGGTTTTGGAGATTCTTCTCAACCCTCACTTGAAACGGTACAGTTGGTGGAGCGTGTGACACTCTGTGAACTTCGTAAGATTGTTGCTCAAGCCGCTAGTGTAGCTGAATGGAGATGTGGACAGCGAAAGCTTGTATCCCTTGAAGACATACTCTTCTTACTCAGAAGGGACAAAGCAAAGTTGAAGAGACTTCTCCAAGTATTTGGTGAGGTATTTCTGAGTGTAGGCATAGTCCTAGAGTAATGTGTTGACTTATAAGTATTCCTGTGACACTGTCATTTGTGGTTTTTCATGTATATAGCCCGTAAGGACCAATTGGGAAATCTCAAAGTTTCACTGGCTGATGACCTTGAGGGTGGAAATAAGAGCAGAGTTGCCTTTGCTCTGCAGTTTCTCAATTCAATTGATAGTTCTGGGCAGCTATCATCTGCTAATCATGAAGACATCTTTGATGAGGTGGGCTGTTTAATATTTGAGCTAATGCAGATTCAGATATGTACAGCCTCATGTATGATGCAAAATTTTACTTTGTTAGGTTTTCCTGAAACTATCACAATGTATGTTTTCTTTTATCTGAACTGGTGAAGGAAACAGCTCTGAGTGATTCACCTGAATTTAGGTTGTATATATAGGTTCATTTGATGGGAAGCATTTTAGTAGCTTTTCTGAGAACTTGAAAGACTCATGGAACTGCTAATGGATGGTATACAAGATCTCTTTTCATGTGGGCTTGTGCTCTATTATAGGTGAAGAATGAGAGAGCAGAAAGGCTAGAGATTTGCTCCAGATATCTTTCTAAGGCTCAGTATTTGGAATGGACAGAAGCAAGGAAGATTTCATTTTATCAAAAGAACAGAATGTTGAAGTTGAGGGACTGGATCATGCAGGTAAATTCAGAGTCATATCTCATTGAAATTTTTCCTTTGTGTGGCTTCATGTAACTTTTTTCCTGTAGTGCTCCTTGCAGGTCTATTCACATAGGAAATTGTCAAAATATTATTATTTTTTCCTTGTACCAAGCCCAGTCATTTGAGAATGGTATGGTATCTGAATCTGTGTAGGATCCCTCATTCACTGTCCGTCTATCATCCGGGGCCCTAGAAATATTGCAGTACCTCGCCCATGAGACTGTTGCTGAGCTAGTTGATTTGGCCTTGTTGGTGAGAGCAGACCGCAGATCTGAGAAAGTCCATCCTCATACTCTCCCATCTGTACCACTTCTGGTAAGGTTCTTCTTCACTTGCACAGTTTATTGCTTATTACTTTTAGGCAGTTAATTAGATGTGAAATTCCTCCACCATGTAGGGGTAGTACATTGTTATATTTGCCTTATATCAACAGAGTAGATAGAGAATTGAGTAAGTTAAGAGACAGGACTTTGAAAAATCCCAACACTAGATGTCTCAACTAATCCTCCCAGCCTACAATTCCCTCCAATCAGAGGAAGAGTGATTTCTCTTCTATTTGCACCTGCATTTCTGCTCTCTGGTAGTTCTTTACCTTTATAATGATGTTCTTGAAATTTGAGAGCAGTATTTCTAAGCCAATGGAGCTAGGAAGTGCAGCATTCAGAACTAACACATGGTTAACAAGGATCTTAGAACAGATTAGTTGAGAATCACCTTCAACTTTGACTTTCCAGTGCCTCTGCACTTGAATGCTAACTGTTGCATAGAAATAAGATTGCATCGCTTTTCCTTTCTACCACAAGGGATTATCTTGACTACTTTTTCACCTTTTTGTGAGAATATAGTCAAAATCAATTGAGAAACTAAAAAAAGTAGACATTTTGGAAATAGTGTTGAAGGGGAAAGGAGCATGGCAGAAACTGCTACGAAGTGATGATAGGAAGATTTCATTTCTCCACTCCTCTCACTCATCTGCATGCAATACCAATGGTTTGCATTTGTGATCCATACATTTTTATTCCTAATAAAGGGAATGATAAATAACGCCTGCCAGCAAATTAGCAAGATCATTGCAGATGTTAATAATTACAAAATAGTGATACTACTACTACAAAGTTATACTAAAAAAAGAAGCCAAATGAAATGCAGATTATCTGACAACCATCTCCAAGATGGCAGATTTTGAACAGATGATACTTTGGTATTACAAGGTTATTCTTGCTTCCCAAATGTATTCAATTGGACTACTTGCCATCTATTCTCATTGATAAATTTAATGATTGATTGGCATGGGTTACACCATTCCATACCCCTTTAAGAGACAGAATTATTCATGAACTTGTTCATGGGAACTGATGAGACTATTATTTCTTTCAGCCTGAACTCCCAGAGACCATTACGAAGAAACCACAGGTGAGTGAATGTTTTATCTACATTGTGATAATTTCTTCAAGTAAAGTAAAAGGATTTGGTTGTGTGTACACTATGCAATTGATTCATCTGACTATTTATGCATAATGAAGGTTTGTGCTCATATCTGTCAGGTTAGGTATGCCCATCTACTTTTGCATGAAGGTTGAGATACCTCTGCAGATTTTTATGAACATGTTATATGGGTTTGTCTTGCATGTTAATTTCCATATTTTATACAAAGAGAAATTCTGTTATCTTCTTGCAGAATGATTGAACAGGGCAAAAGGGAATCTCCCAAAAGTAAATAATATGTTTAGTGAGGACTGTAAGTTAACACAAGTTGTACTATATCATGCAGAGCCAAGAGTTAGTCTGTGCTGCAAGGAGGGAATTGGATTTTTTAGTAATGAAGAAGCTCACTTTCCTCAAAACATACTGGTTAGGCTTAGATTTTGTGAAAAATCCAGAGGCTCATTAAGTAGGCAAGTGACTTTCCATGAGATGTGATATTGATCACTTTCATCTAAATAAATAATACATGTTTCTTTCTCATGTCTCAGCTTGAGTAAAAATGTCTCCTATCTAAGGCCTGACCCAAGAAATGTGCTTCACCATAGTGGGTCTCAGTGGCGTGCCCAGGAAATCCGAATGGGGGGGTCGCCATATGAAACACTGATTACCCACCCTAATGAGGGGGGGGGTTAACATTTAAAAAATCTGATAACCCACCCTGTATTTGTGGCAAAAGAAAAAAATTTGTGAGAATCAAATGTGTAAAATTGACCCCAAGGGGGGGTTATGACCCCCAAAACCCCCCCCCTTGGGCACGCCACTGGTGGGTCTTGCCAGAGGTTGATGATGGATTTAGGTTAGGCCCACTCCATTTAATCAGAAATAATATGACAGAGCTGCTGTTTAATTATACGATGTAAAAATAATGAAGCTGTTGATTGAAGCTGTTGATGGATTGAATATTTTAATTAATTGGGAGAAGGGAGTGGTCATAGACCTATAAGATATCCATCTTATATCTATATAATGGATCCTGGAAATATTTTCCCCTCACCTTTTTGATGGACCTTTTTTAATAAGTGCTGAATATACTTTAGTTAATTGTGAGCTGCTTCACTGATTAATCAATTTATCTCATATTTTATTTATGTTTAACCCATTTAGGAGTATTAACATACCGGTATGTTCATACTCCTGAAAGGTTTAAGAAAACTCACTCCTCAAAAGGGCTAATTGCTATTCTGGACCTAGTTGAGGAAGTATGAAATTTTAAATGTAGTGAAAGAAAGATTATTATTACCTAGATGACATTGCTCTTGTGTCATTTTCAATGGTGTAGCATAATCATAGCATTATGGATGCTGTTGTGTCAGCCAATCCAATCTCAAGTTGCAGTTATTTGGCATGCCATAAAACCAGTGGCACCTTGTGATAAGCAGCAGTAGTAGTTCTTCAGTGGAGACAGTTGAGGTTGATCTCCTCTGTCTCCACTGATTGCTGCATATCACAAGCTGCCACTGCATAAAACTGATTAATGAATGAGAAATGCTTCACCCATCCTAGGTTAGATCTATTAAAGCAGCATATTCTCAAATTTTTTATTGGCAAAATGCTTTCCAAATTATGGAACAGAATAATCTCAGAGAGGCAACTGATATAAACCCAACTCCATGTAATGTTGAAAGAAAGACTAATGACCAAAGCTATTACATGAAGAACCATGTTCAGTTTTTGTGAAATTTACCATGTGATTCCAAGGACTATGAAATCAAGTCTATTTCATGAGACTTATTGGGAGACAAAGACTGGATAGTTGGAATTCTAATATGCATCAGTCAACATAGGACAACATTTTTATTCCAGGAAACCAGATTTTCATGAATCTGAGGCTAATATCCATGAAGAAGTGGAATAGTATCCTCCTTGCCCTCTTTAGGTGGTAGATCAGGAAGAAGCTCCCAGCTTAACTGGCACCCCTCTTAGCCTCTCTCGGCATCCCTGGGTGCTATGGCACACTGCTTGAGAACCACTGCATCAGAGAGTCTTTCATTATCAATTTATATTCCATTAATCATGAATAGTCATGACCAAAAGGTGATGATGCAGTGGTTGTTCCTCCTGTGACTAACTTTACAAAAAGTATAGATGCCTTCTTGGAAAGAGAAAAAAGAAAACAAAAACAAAGCAAAAATAGAAGAATGTAACTACAAGTAACCAGCAGTGGTGGATCTGCTCATTTCTTCAGGTGGATTGGCCTATCTTTTTCTGTATGAAAGCTTGACCTTGACTTGGAATATCATGAGCAAAAATGCCTTTGATGTCCATACCCAAACCATAAAGCCAATCAACTTGGTAATACTAATATAAAAAATTCCATTATATATCATAAGTCTTTTGGAAGCTGATATGCCTCATGAAATATACATTTAGTTGTGAAGGGGCTGCTGGAGTTGAGTCTCTTGAAAAGTTTCTGTCTGTGTGCTCCTGTACTTTTCAACTTTTGAGCATCTTGAAAAGTTTACTTATCATTGAGCTAAAAAGTTTTTCAACAGCTGAAAAACTTGTAGGCTCATTGCACTCGTAAGTGAATTTCTTGTATTGTCTCCAATGATCTTAATTGCAAGATCAGGACATGCAAGTTATTTCTGTTTGTTGATACAAGTACAGGAGCCAGAATATCTTCCAATAAAGAAGGTTCGTCGCACCATTTCCTCAGCAGCTCAAGCAAATGTGAGTTTTCTTTCTTATTTGCATCATCATTTATTTGGCTGATGCTGTTATGGTCTTATTCCCATCTCTTTCAAATTCAAAATTCTCTCTACAAATAAATAAGTGAAGCAGTATTTTTTCATGCAGGAAGTTCTGTGCCCATATCTGATTTTTCTGACTGTACAAGAACGTTTTAAGGGCACTCTGCCTGGTTCTGCATGCATGCTTGAAATATCATCTCCCAGTTATCATGAGCACATGAATCCATGAAGTTAAATTAGTGTAGGTGATTGTGAAGTGGGAGTAAGGTTGACCCTTTCCTAGTATCACTTCATGCTTTTTATGATCTCAGTCATCCTCCCATACATGCCTGATGAATGGGTTCTCCTTTGAAATTGTTGATCTTCACATTGTCTTATGGTGTTTGGTTTTGTCATGTGCCATTTGTACCTGCTACTGGTATTGAATTGAAGAAAGCTTCCTATGCTACATGAGCTAAATGCATGCTACATTCCTTGGTAATTCTGCATAATTTATGTCAAAAATGAATATGTGATATCTGGCGAGCATTATGCCATGATTTAGTGTTTTCATGAAAGTTTGTGCAGTGAAGCTGATGAGTTTCTTGGTAAGAAGAGAACTGATAGGCCTTTAACTCCATCAAAGATAATATTTTGGGAAGGTACCATCCATCTATGAATGACTTAGAAGAACACATGTGTCATGATGATGACTGTTGTCATATCATAGCATGGTTTAGGCCAGGGCTTCCCAACCCAGGGGTTGCAACCTTATTTGGGGTCATGAACTGGCAACTAAATGCCAAGTTATACTTTTTTATGTGATTTTAGTGCATAGGTCTGTTGAACTTAAGCCAGTGCCAGGTCATGATTTGATCATGATTTTTTGGGTATATGTGAAAAAAAGTTGGGATGCCCTGGTTTAGGCTTTCTCTCCTCTCTTTGGCAAATAACCATAGAAGGCTTTGAAATTGAATGCTGCACAATGAGTAAACAGAAGTAATCATGCTGATCATTTGTGTGAAATGGGATAGTTCAAACTACTTCTGTCCATAATTCATGAAGAACCCTCAATAGTGTTTTAAAAGTAATTGGATGCCAGCTCTTTCATGTGCAGTGTGCAGGTTTGCTATTTGTTTAGTATGGATATTGATTCCTCATTCAGTTTTTTTTTTTACTGGCATCAGCTCTTTGCAACAAATGCCACTATTATCTGTGCTCATACACCAGTCAACAATAAACCCATGATTAAAAATGATGCTAATGCACCCTTGTCCTTGCCCTGCTAAATCTACTTCCATTTGAAGACATACAGGATGTCCCAAAATCAACTGAACATAAGGGGTTTGCATTGCAGGGTGTAATTGCTGTCCTCAGGGTGACCTGAGAGCAGATGTAAAAGGTGTTTTTCATCATCTTTCAGAAAGGATTTGCATTGCTTATATTTAGATGAGTTTCTGCTCAATGTGTTCTAAGTCATTGAACCTAAGTCTTGTCTTGTCTAAGTCTTAACAGCAACCATACCCTTTTGTTTTTCAGTGTGCACAGAGGAAAGAAGATAGTCTGCACATTAGAAGGAATAATTGAGCTAGTCTTGATTTACACAAAGGCAGAAAGCAGCTCATGAGCTGCAGTGGATATTTCCAAAAAAACATATCCTTATTGTCCTTAGCTGAAAATGGCTACCACAAATCTGCTCAAGAAGTAGTGTCTGCAGAAACAGTGTGCAGAATTCATGAAATTGCTCAAGAAGCAGTTCATGTGTGATTGCTGTCTGTCCACAACAAATAATTTGAGTGTTACCAAGGCATTGACAATTCACAAGTTCTATCTGTACAAGGTGCACATAGTTCAGAAACTGAGCTATGACAACTTTGATTGATGGCCAGAATTCTGTGAAACATTCATAGACAAATGCAATATGTATCCAAATTCTGTGTTGTACATTTTTTTTTTTAGCAGTGAATCAGTTTTATTCATCAATGAAATTTGGCAGTCATGCCCAAGGCACTTAAATCTGTGGCAACAAACATGCACTGCCACCTTGAGACACACAGCACCAGGACATTAACTCCTTGAATGCACCTGTTTGCATCATGGAGAAACCATGTTACCAATGCTCACAGGTTGCTCACAATGAGTGCTCACAGGGGATAAGTATCATGACAGGAAGTAAAATCAAAGGTAATTGCATTTCAGTTGAAAACTTCAATTGAAACAAATATGATATTTTTTTCAAATCACACTTCTGGCATATGACAGGCATTAAATTGTCCAATACCTGGTGTGTTCAAGGGGTTAAGAAAGCCTATGTTCAGTCAATTTTAGAACACCCTGTATAGGCAGTCTACATATGGATGCTCTTTCAGTTTAACCTTCATGATACAGATTTAACTTTCCTGCATACTCTCTGGCAGCCTGATTTTTTTATACACAGTGTGTAAACACTTGCTAGCCGAGTAGTGCAATTGTTTCTAAAAAAGAAAAAAATACATTGACAGTGAAGCCATTATTGATGTAGTATTAGAACAATTTCCCGAAAAGTTGCTGTGCAGCATTTGTACCTTTGGACCATGGGAAAATACATTTTGTCTGTGGGATTCTGCAGGACAGCAGTTGTACCTTTCATCCAACAAAGGTTAACCCAAAAATACAATACTAGGTAGTAATGAAAGTTTTTGTGCATGCAAACAACGCAACAGTCTATGAAGCACAAATTTTTTGTCACACATTCTGAACGAAAGCACGTTTTATGCCGCGTATAAATATATGTTGCTTTTTTCTACAAATCACTAAATTGATAAAAAATTACAGCATTCAGAATGTGTGACGAAAAAATCGTGCTTCGTGGATTGTTGCATTGTTCATATGCACAAAAACTTTCGTTACAACCTAGTATTTTGAAGTGCACTTTGTGGTAATTTTTTCTTGTTGATAAGGTCACTGATGCCATCCAGGCACTCAAGGATAGAGGATATTTTGAAAGCTATTTCAATGAAACATTCAGTGTGCCTTAAGGAGGTCTTCAAATTTCATGATTTCAGTATATGATGCAGGTTTTATCAAGTTCAACAATGCCTTTCAGCTACATTGATTTTCTAGTCTTTTTTTACCTCTTCTGTGACAAGATCAGTTTCTGTCACCTGTAGTTAGCTATATGCTAAACTCATTGCTACTGGTCAAAATTGTGAAGTTGTGATAGTTGGACTTTGTATATGCAAAGCAATTGAGTGGAAGCATAAGAACTTCAATATCAAAGGATACAAATCTTGGTTTTATACTGCACATGGGAAAGGTTTTTGCCATTTTTTTGTTTTCCCTCTTGTACATTCTACAGCTTGTCATTCCATATCAGGGTACTGGCACATAGTGGTATATTTGAGACAAGGTAAGGCCTTCTAGAACTTTCTGAGTATAGTTAAAACATATAAGTTAATTCTGTCTCCAGTCTCTTGCTACTGTTCATGCTTGTCCAGACAAGGTAATGCTTCATTGTGGGAGAGGTAGTTGTTTTTCTGGTCAGAACAACCATGGAATAATTAAACCAAGATACATCTTGTCTCTTTGTTTACAAGGGGTGATCAAGAAGTTCTCTGACTATTTGTAGCTTCCTTGCTCTTTGATGATGCACAGATGTAATTTCTTGCAAATATTTTGTGTTGGGTCTTAGGGGCACATGGATAAAATTTATTGTTTACTGGTTACAGGGGTTGCACTAGGTTTCTTGCCGTAGGGGTCCCCAGGACCCTCATGTCTAATATTGATAGATCCCCTGATAATTCAGAAGGTTACTTTCCAAGCGAAGCACATGGGAATCTTGAAGGGTTCCCCTAAAAGGAAAAGTCCAACAATCCATGTGTATTTGCCGACTTAACAGAACAGAGCAATATGATATTTAATCCAGCTGTCTTGGGCCTTCTGCCTGTGCGTCCCGGGGGTCCCAGGACCCCCAGGATGTATGGACAGGAGGCCATGGCGAGAATCCTAGTGCAACCCCTGGGTTACTATACATCTGTATGAAACAGTATTACTTACAAATTGCAGTTTAGGTCAACATTCATCCAGACAGGATGCACCTTACAATCACTAAAAATTCATCTTATGTTTAGAGATACATTAGTGATGCCACATAATCACTTTAATTGTACTAAAATCCATTAACACTCTGAATGAACTTCAAAAGTGCATCAAATGCAAATGCATCATTGTATTTAAAACCATTTTAAAATTTTCATGAACTGATGTTGATGATCTGGGTAACCAAATGTTAAATTCTTTACAGATCACAAATGCCATCCCTGCACTTTCAATTGAAAGAGATCCATTGACTGTAGAGGAGGTGAGAGAAGGCATCCGACGTTACATGACTGGAAGAAATTCAATGGCCCCTTGGTGCAGGTTTAACACACAGTCTTGGAGTACATGTCTTCTATCTTGTTGACATTGCTGTGATATTCTCAGAGGTTGTGAAGAACCTTTCATTGAAGTGAAATTTTGGAAATGCAAAGGCTTGTTCCTTTTGATCTTTTTTTAAAAAATAAATCCATTTTGACCTGGAGCTGTGCTACTTGAGATTGGAGTGAGATAAGTGCATCATCCTGTGACATGCATGGAATACCCTCCATGCATGCTGCTAAGCATGGCAGCTGTAGATCCAGTCAGATGGTTGAAGAGGAAAGTTATTTTCTATATTGATGTCCCCCAAGGACATCGATATACCATGAGGAATATTCAATATTCATGGCATCTTCATGTATTTTTATCGCAGGGGTTATCAAGAGGAGTGTCAATCAGGAAGGAGAGTGTCATGTGTTAGTGATATTAATATTGCCATCCTTTACTGGTAAGAAGTCTACATTATGGAATGAAGAAAAGTATATAGGTATTGCTGATAAGTGAACTGGGAGTGAATTGGAACTAGAAGAAAATTGAGAACTCTGCCTTGATCATGGCAATCATAGCTATGAACTACTTGAGAAGTGTGCAGAATATCCACCATCGAACTGTAGTCATTTTGAAACGATTAAAGTCCTCTGTTACTGTTGTGGGAAAAGAATTTTCAGCAGATTCCTGGACCAATGTCACCCCAAAAGTCCTTTCATATATAGGAAGAAACCTTCACCTACAGGAGCATCATCCCTTGTGTCTTCTGAAGAAGAATTTACTGAAACATTTTGACACCTACAAAACTGTGAATGGTGCATCCCGTTTCTCTGTACATGAAAATCTCAGCCCTCTGGTGACAGTAGAGGAGAATTTTGATTCTCTACTTGTGCCAAAGAATCATGTCAGTCGACAGAAATCTGACTGTTATTACATTGATTCTAGACATCTTCTCCGAGGTCATACAAGTGCCCATCAATGTTCACTCCTGCATCAAGGTTATAGGAACTTTCTTGTAGTTGGTGATGTCTACAGAAGAGATAAAATAGATTCAACTCATTTTCCTGTCTTTCATCAAATGGAAGGTGTTTCTCTCTTCACAAAGGAGGAAGTAAGCATGCTTTTCTTCTCAGCCAACAAACTAAGGGTGATTTTACAGGTTGTATCATACATTTCATTCCTGTTCATCAGCTGATGCTGCACCCAGAAACTCCCATGTTTGAGGAAGGAAAACGAACAGAAGATAAACAATCCTGCCATTCCTTGCCCACAAATTTGGCATTGGAGAAAGACTTGAAGTGCACTTTGGAAGGCCTTGTCAATCATCTGTTTGGAAATGGTTAGCCCTTGTGGAAGAATGTTCCCATTAGCACATAAGGACTTCATGTTGGAAATATGCTTTTCCCTGGGTTTTGAAGCAATAGAATATATGTGGGTTGAGGCTACATTCCCCTTTACCCATCCATCTTGGGAGTTGGAGGTCAAATTTGGAGAGGAGTGGGTTGAGATGTTGGGATGTGGCATTATGGAACAAGGCATTCTCTCAGAAGGTAAGCTTTCATTATAATCCCTGGTTGCTTATGCAAAGTTCATGTCTCTGACATATATGGCATTCTTGTATCATCATAGCTGGAGTACAAGATGCTGTTGGATGGGCATTTGGACTTGGCTTGGAACGCTTGGCCATGAAATTCTATTCCATACCAGATATTCGAATGATCTGGAGCACTGATCCTGGGTTTTTGTTGCAATTCCATGGGAAGTCTTCTACAGACAGAATTACCTTCAAGGTATCACAGCATTCCCTCAATCCAGCTCTTGATTGAATGTCATCTGATGAAGAGGTCTCTTTTCCATGCAGCCTGTGAGCGTATACCCTCCCTGTGTGAATGATATCAGCTTCTGGCTGCCAGAGGGCCAAGAGCATGATTTCGCCTCCACTGACTTCTATGACTTAGTTCGCACTGTTGGTGGTGACCTTGTAGAACAGGTATAATTCTGGTGGTTTTGCCACTTCATCTTCTACTACTCCAAATCTGATTCATTCATTTAATGTTTTCTTTTGATTTTTGGGTTTTGGTTTGTTTAGGTACAATTGAAGGATGAATTTGTGAATCCAAAGAATCGACGAGTGAGTCACTGTTATCGGATTGTGTACCGACACCTTCACAAAACACTCACTCAGGATGAAGTTAATGCTGTCCACCGAATGATAGAGGATGAGGCTTCCAAGAAGTTGCAGGTCTCTATTAGATAAGATATCCTTTCCAAAGCAGTTTGTGTGTTTTCAGTGATTCCAAGAATATTATATGGTACAATAGTGCCTTATTTCTAGAATTATTGTTGCATAATATTGCCCTTTCCATTCAACTTCCCACCCACTTAAACTCAAATCCATTCTCATGGAACCCAAAAATTGTATAGTTTCTTCATTCCTGGAAGTCTCTTTGTCTACCAAGCTTCATCTGTAGCAGTTGAGTAGACCCAAAGAGACTCAAAAGTCTGTGGTTGAGGATCTTCCTCTTGTGACAGCAAAGAACAGTCAGCCTTTGACTAAAAACTCTTAAATTGATTTTGACAAATGTATTACTGATGAACTTGTCTTGTGTCAGGTTTGTGCTCTATTGGAGTCTCAAATAATTAGTTCAGTTCCCAACACTGGCATGTTGCATAAAGTACTTTCTGCAAAGTGGTTTGCAATTCTGAGAAAATGTATGTATTTGGACTCATTTAAGCCCAAATGATTTTATTTTTTTTATAGCATTCAAGACTAAAGGAGTACTGAGAGTTCAGAATAGTAATTACCACAAAAAGTCCACTATTCGCCACAGAACCAAAACTACTGGGTAGTTGCTGAAATAATAGATACTGATGGACTTGTCTGCAGAGCAAGTTCTTTCAATGAAGCACTAAACCAATTTGAGTAATGAGACATTTTTGGATACAGTGCAAGGGAGTGTATTTTTGGTGTACTGGAAGCATAAGCATAGCATGAATGGAGAAAGGTAGGGGGGCAGGGACCTCCAGGACACTTCTCTGGCATTTCATGCGCCTTTTCCTTCTTACTTTTGCTCTTTTTCTGACGTCAAACTTTTCTCTCAGTCTATGGTTGGAATGTGTTGCAGGACGTCAGGACTCTGACGTAGTCAGATTGCAGTCCGAGAAAAAATAGGACGAGAACGAGAAATTCTGGGATTGTCCTTACCTATGAAATAATCTAAGGCTGCGCTAGGGTGAAGACCCTTGGGCCGATTTTGAGCAGACAGGTTCCTGTAGACGTGTCTTGCCTTTTATTTCATCAGTAATTTTGAGTTTGTACAGGTAATGTACAGGGTGGCCAAAAAAATGTAAGCTACTTTAAATTTCGCTGTGAAATCCGTATTTTTGAATAGATTGAGTTGCAAATTAATGCAACGTTGCCAAATATGTTCTTCAAGAGGTTGTAAAAGTTAATGCTCCTACGACAACTCATGCTTGACTTATAGCAGATTTTGTGAAAATGGTCAAATTGTTGAGTGAACAGGAATGCGATTTTCGAGGAGAGAACTCACATTGAAAAATTTGCTTTAAAATGTGATGCATATGCGTGAAGTTTCATGCGCCTTTGACCACCCACTCTTGGGTTACGGTAGATTTGGTCAAAATGATCAAGATTCTGAGTGAACAGGCATACGACTGCTGCTGTGAGGCACAAATCCACCATTGAATGGGAATGCCTACAAAATTTTTGCACATGCATGACATTTTCAGATGATGGAAAACGTTTGACAACGTCTTGTTAAAGTTTCGCGATTATCTGTACCGATAAACATTTTTTTAAACGGAAATCAAATGTGGATTAATGACTTGCAAACAGCAGTTGCATGCTGTTCACCGAATTTTGACCATTTTGACAAAATCTGCTATAACTCAATAGTGGATGTGCACGAAACTTCAGTAACTTTTGAAAAAAAAAACATATTTGACAGCATACTATTACATTTTCAATTCAATCCATTCTAAAATATGGATTTTTCAGCAAAATTAAAAGTGGCGAACTGTTTTTGGCCAACCCTGTAGAAAAGTACATGACTTGAAGGATTGGGTTTATGTGAAAAGTTGAGGGATGTCTTGACGTGTCTCAGCCCGATTGTCTACGTTTTAGGGGTGCCTAGGACTGAGTACTGAAAGCAATGGGAAGTACTTACAAATTTATAATTAAAATAAAGTGTTGCAGACTCAAAGGCAAACTTCTTGACGGATTGCCACAGAATAAATTCTATAAATTCGACTGTTCTCTGCTGTGTGATTTTTGTACTGCCAAGTAATATACCATCCCAAGAAAAAAGCTGTGGAGATGCAGCGGACGTGAAGGACTCTGCCATCTTCCCTTTGATCATCCTGTGGATATCTCTGCAAGAGACGTCGGAAGAAGAAGAAAAGTACTTTCCAATGATGTAGAACTTGCCGTGATCGCGGCATGGAATTTCGAGCCTAATGCGGGAAAAGGAAGACTTCTTTAACTCAAGGAGCTTGGGGAGCGTTCAGTTTTTTTTTTTTGGAATGCGATTACACACGGGCTGCTCCGTAGTGTTGGCCATTTTAAAAATAAAGGACACCTTAGTGTTGAACCGAACCGAACGAGCTTCTGTGCAATAATTGACATTTCTTTCCATTCTCGTCCCGAACACCTACATGTACAAACTCGAGCGAACCTGAACCATCCAATCAGAGTTCGTACCTTAGAGTTCTTATTTCTTTTTCCTGATCTTTGCAAAATAGTTATCCTAGAAAGCACTCCCTGATTCCTGTTCCTGCTTGGGCTAGTATATTCATGTGGAATCTTTCCCTTGTATCTCTCGAAAAGTGAAATTTGAGTCAATCTAATTTCCTTTAAATGACGTGACGGATACACCCGACTGAACAGAATGGATTCCAGGGAAATCATTACAGAACCGAACACGGCAGGTCGTCGAACTTCTAGTTATAAATAGAATGGAAGTACGTCGTACACCATCCTGAGGGAAGCAATCCTCGAGTCACCGGAATTGAACTGTGAAAACAAAGAATACACACACCGATTCACCTAGTACAGGGGTGCACAACATACGGCCCGCGAGGTCCTTGCTAGCGGCCTGCCATGACTGGTGGTGTTGTCAGTGCTACTATGACTCCTGCTCTGTTGGCTGCAGCTATGGTCAGCCAGACTGCGGCCCGCGGTATGTGATTAAAAGTCGCAAGTGGCCCTCAGTCTTTTGAGTTGTGCACCCCTGACCTAGTATATATAGAGTGGAATGCAAGGAAATGGATTAATTGAGTGACCGCATGAATATGAGATGATTACATAATCCATGTTCTTGCATGCCACCCTTAGACTGGGAAGGTGTGATCGCATGAGGAACGTAAAGGTAGTCTCGTACCTCCCTTTCTCCTGGAGTTTTCACGTTGTCCGATGAGTATGCCTTCGTCGATCTCACGTGTGCGTGCCTGTTTTTCTTTGCATTGGAAGAACTTCACCACTTCTTATTTCGACTATTAAAATCATTTAGCATTGATCCAATGAAAGCTGGGAGAAAGTTCCAAAGAGGTAAATGCATTAACCATTGGGATTTGCCTTTTGGGGGTAGAATACAATGGCCAAGAATTTGTGTAACCCGCTTTTTTTTACATTCTCCATACTAAATGTGTGCGATTCTAACTCTATTGAGCTGGAAGTCGTACCGTTTCTTCTCGTCCTAGCGATGATCCAGAAATAAAAACAAGAATGTGTCGTTTCTTGCGATATTAGCTTTATCTCTAACAGTTTGATTCGTTTCCAGAAGGCTATGAGAATAGCTGTCACGAGATCACGAGAAGTGACCAATGACAAGTTATGCGATGTTTGGAAAGCTGACCAATGACCAAGATGTCTGGTCTAGGAGCAAACTTTTCGAGATTCTTAAGCTTTTCTTCACTAATGCATTCATTGCAGGGAGCTAGGTTATGATTATGCCACGACTATCTGAAACATTCATGGCCCATGAAAGTATAAAGTAAAATAATTTTGTGATGTTTGAGGGCAGGATATAAAAGTGATTTTTTCCTAGGAGAAATTTATTTCAAGGGGAACATTTGCTCATAATCCAACAAAACTAGAAATACCCTTGGGAAATGAACTTTGTCAAAGGCTTTTGTCAGTGAAGAAGGTTATGATTGAAAATTTACGATTTGTCTTCTCAAGACAGCTGCAATTCTTTATATTTTCTGCAGTCGAACTAAGCATGCAGTCGAAAAATAATTTTCCTACTTGCGGGCAGCACGATAAGTCACTTGAGGTTGTTGCTTATGGTGTCGCCTTCTCGAGCATCTGGGATCCCCCGAAGAGTTTTTCCTATCGAGTCTCATGGAATCCCGCTTGGAATGCCCCTCCCCCCCCCCCCCCCCCGGAAAAAAAAAAGACCTTGGCAATCAAGCCTGTCACAATTTGTATTCTTTAATGTGCCCCATACCTACGATGGGAGGTTATCTCTTGAAAAAATGCTGGATACCTTAGAAGATATGCAATGCGAATGTTATACAGCCAAGGTGTTTTTTTTTTACCCTAGGAAGGTGTCCTTCCCCTCCCCCGTGACATTTCACACGGTTTCTGAATGTTTTCTTGGATCCTTGGAAGGTATAAGAATGCGTCGGCTTAGATGCTGGCAGTGGCGAGGGAAGGGGGGGTTATGGGGTCAGAACCCCCCCTTGGGCTTCCCGGTCAGTGACACTGACAGGCATATTTCAAACCTTCCTTGGAAATTCCAATTTTAGCTTCCCCCCTTCGAGGAAAGTTCGATGTCCGTCCACAGACCCAAGAAGCTAGACATGATTACTTCGAAAAGGTAAATTCCAGGTAGTGGAGCTAGGTATTGGGTGGGGGTGTCTACCTGGCTTCGCCCCCCCCCCCCCCTCCCTTCCTTGCCGATTTCCTGCCTACGCCACTGCGCTACTGGATGCCGGAATATCCGATCATTGTGGGTTCATGTATCCGGAAGAAACAATCTCAATTAGGGTCTTTTCCTTCTGCATCACTGGGGGTCCAGCCGAATCACCCTGCTCATCATATAACATAATCGCTTTTCAATTGACTCGCATCGTACCTCATTTGGGACACAGTGGAGGGATCATCACCTGACAACCATCCTTAGTTGCTTGGGGGAAAAAATGCTTGGGACAATGCCTGAGCCAAGGCACCTCGTTGAGGCCTGGTGGCGTGGCCTCAACCCCACGAACAGGTTTGAGGCATTCACTTGGGACGTCAAGTCGTTAATCTAATGTGAAACCTGACGACAGTCAAATGACGAAATTTGCCCGCCTAAGTGGTTTTGGATAATAAAATCGCGTTTAAAAATGGGTGTATTTTATACCATGTAAACTGTGGTCACACTTCATATCCATAGTGCTGTGCGTAGGTTACACATCATACCTGACACCATATGGTAGGTCACACCCCATACGATTACCCCATCCTTTATTTCCGTGCAAACTCCAGCGCATTTCATTCCCTCGATGATGTCCCCCTCGCCGTGCAAATCATCATAAGCATCATAAACTTTTCAGGGATGGTTTTCAGATTGACCTTCACTAGATGAGTGAAACCGAAGCCTACGAAGGCAGCACGACTCCAAACCTTGATGGTAGTAACACCGTTCCAACTATCACGAACGAAAAAGAAATTGAATCAGTGTGTGGAAATTTGAAGTTCAATATTCACCTGCCAACCTGAGGTAAAATTATTCCTAAAACAACGTTCAAGTAAGTTATTAGAAGGGTAAAGGCATTTTACCTGGATATTTCGTGCATGGAAGCTATGGTTAAAGAGTGGTACTGCACAACACTCACTTTTGAACTTTTATGATAGTCTTGGGAATGTTGGGCGGCTTGATTTTCTCATCCATCTTCAGCTGTTCCATAAGATGAATGACACTTATGTCGTTGTAAGAAGTCTCCCTGCGGGATCATCGCCACCACGAATTCCTCTTTTATTATTTCTCCGAAACAAGAAGGGTCCCGTGCACTCTGTCGTAGTAGGAGGAAGATATACTTTTATTTTTTTTTTTTGTTACTTTCTGTTCCTAGTCACATCGGTGCACATCGTCGCGATTCCCCCTTTCTGCCACTGCTTGACCACAAAAACCTTGCCAAATCTGCCTCACTGATGTTTGCGTCTTCGAGCAAGGAAATGGCAAGATCATCGCTATGCCCTTGGTGAGTCCATATTTACAGCAGTGGGAAGCTGTGATGGCATTCCATTCGTTGTAAATGACAGATCCGCATAGGTGAATTCGAACTTGTTATTCGGCGTTGGTCATGAGAATTTCCCTTTAAGGCAGTGGTGCACAACCTTTTCCCCATAGTGGGCCAAATTGAGATTTCGGCTCATGTTCGAGGGGTTCGAGGGACTGCGGCCCTCAAACATGGGCCGAAATAGGCCGCATATAAATATGGATCTTTAGAGACCAGAGGCATCAAAGGGGGAGCAAAAAAGGACTCTGCGGGCCGTGGATTGTGTATCACTGCTTTAAGGCAACGTCTCCAACAACGATCCCGATACCCAATATGCTCCTTCCTCTTCCTGACATTCCATATGTGCATTATGGTCTTGAACTGTTTTGACTTCTATGACGTTCTGGCATGATGCTGCCCCTCTCCCTTGAAACTTTGACTGATAGATCCCTCCAGAATGATCGTGGGACGGCAGCTGTATGTAGCAAGCATAACGAATGGGAGAATTTCCCACCCCACGGGCCCAGATGATCCCAATCACTCATTCCCCCCGCTGTTGAAGTGAATCCATCTAACATGTCTCGGAGTGATTTGATACCTTCCCTGGAGGGATAAGCACAGACCAAGCAAGCGAGTCCCATCCATTACCTTTGCCACTGGAGCCATCTCTGCATTCTTTTCCGCTTTGCCATTGAATCCTTTCAGAAAAATCTGTTTTCCCCTATTTTGACCTGAAGTTGCGTCTATGCCAAGCTTCACCTTACAACTTTCCATACTTTCCGAGAATATTAGGTGACCGCAAATCATACTGAAAGTATGTACCTGCTATAGTAACGGTTTCATGCAAGAGAATGGTATTTTCCCGGTTGCAGAGTCCCGGTCTAGCTCTCTGCCAAATTTTAGAAAAGTCTCCATAGTTTCAAATCGTTTCTTTGAACGTCCTCCTTCCAAATGAACGAAAACATACTTCTCGCTTCCGCTTAAACGAAATGCTAGTAAGGTCTGATGTGCTGTTCGTATTCTCAAGTTTCTATACTTCACTCACCCTGAAGTTTATTTATCCTGTGAATGATTGTTTGCAGAAGGAGGCGGTAGCTTATAATCACGGACGTGTAAGTATCCGAAGAAGGTGAGGAAGACAAAATGCTATGGATTCGGTCCTACAACGAAGGCGAAATTTCCTCACAACAGGGCTGATTTCCTCTCGAGAAGGGTAGGAAGCCACGTTCGGCGCCATTCCACGCCTTGTTTCCCAGATATCCTGGTCCTATAATCATCACGGACTCCATGTGCTCACCATTCCCCTTCCTTCACACGGAGTTCAGATATAAATAGGATGAAGTGGATATCGTAGGCGTGGTATGGTGGAGTGTCTGACGGTAGAGGTATCTACGAGGTACAGCAGTTTCCTTCCTTGCATCTGATATTTGCTTTGGAGCCTCTGATATTCTAAAGCTGGTGATGCTCCAACTTTCTTCTTTTAAGAGCTGATCCATACTTTTTTGGGGGGAGGGGGATGCGAATATTTCTCTACTGTCTTCGTTTGAGTCAATGTTTATCGCTGACATAAAGTTGGGATTTTGGTTGCACGACTTTGAGAATATTACTTCTCGATGCGGGCAACACACTTAGCTTACCGCAGCTCTAAAGAGAAATGTGTGACGCAAGGACAGGAAATACTCGGATTTGAAAAAAGATTAATGGTCGTCGTCGAGGTGCCACGGGCTAATACTAATTTCCTCGTTCGTTTCACTTCGTACCTGACTCAATCATACGAACTACTCAGAGCCGATCTAATGCATATTCTGTGGTAGGGTCGGTAAAATGGCGCTCACCATGAAACGTGACATACAGCTGCAGAATTGTAGCATAGAATAGAGGAGATTTTTGCATGAATCGGTCTTCAAAGATGAAGTCAGTAAATTTGATCAGGACAAATTTGCCACGTTGGCCTCTGAGGAGAATTTTTAACATGAAAAATTTAATGCACTAGGCAGGCAACGTCTCAATGAAAATCGCCCGTTGTATATTACGCACGTTGACGAATCTTGCGTCTTCAGTTCATTGGGAAAGTATGCGCATGCATGCCGTAGTCTCGTTCTGTCGAGATTCGTCATGGTACCCAGATGGCCTTGGATTTGGATCTCATCGGTCTCTTCGTGATATTGGTTTTACACTTGCAAAGTCTCGCAAAGTCAATAATTTCTCGGTCATAGCAGTTCTAATACCATTCCTGCATAAGCAACTTCTTCATGTCGTAACACCAGCATCCTTCCCGAGTTAATCATGTCACATTAGTCAAACCTCACTAACACGAACTCGGGGGGGGGGGGGGGGGGGGGGGGTCGGGGCGTGAAGNGGGGGGGGGGGGGGGGGGGGGGGGGGGGAATCGTCAATTCAATTCGCGCTAAGCATAATTCGTGTTAAAAGTACAGTTCTGATAAAACGTCCCAATCGGAACTGAGTCATTGCTGCTTTACTTTTAATGGAAATTACGCTTAATGAGAAGGGCATGCCCTTCTCATTACGGGAACCACCGATGCATCGATGGTTCCCCCCCGATTGGGAACAGACTTATAACGCAATAATAACACCCACCTCTTTATCCTGTTTCGACTTAAGATTAAAGGTTTGGATAGCGTGAAGTGACATTCTCGCCATTTTGACATCCCGATTCAAGATCGAGCGCTCATTCTAACCATCATCGAGCGCTCATCATTCTTTCCTTCGCAAAGGCCTACCTCTACAACAAATATTTTGGTGGGTGTGTCAATCTACTGTCTAGCTGCTTGCAGCCATATGGCTTCCTTCTCTTGCTTTGTCTACGTAGCATCTAATCTCTAAAAGCTATCTGCTCGAGGGACAGCTTCTACATATTCACCATAAGATGGCTCTCCACCCGTTCACCACACGATTAGTAAGGTATTCCGAGGCTTGAGCGTTACTCGAGGCTAATTTAATTTAAACCAATTTCCCTTTGTTCTGCTGTTATCGAGTCGTAAAGACGTCTCACGCTCCCGTTGTCAAAGCCCTTAATGATCTTTAGAACCAGGATAAATTCTTTCCGAGAAAACTTCGGCGAATACAGTCCCGGCGCGTCCAAACGTTGTTCGTGGGAAAGTCTTCGTGCCTCCTTATGATTCTAGTGGCCCGCTTCTTAACCCTCTCCGGCACCATTAAATTTCCTTGATTTGCAGGCCTCCAAATTAGAACACAGGTCTAAGTAGGGCCTTTGCGATATGTACTAAGGAAGAATAATGCCGGCCCGAGCTGTTATTAGGAATTGAAAAGCCAGAAATTTATGGATATTAGGTATTTATTATCGGAATGTGATTGTATCCGTTCACAAAGAAAGGAACTGAGGAGGCAGTTTCACCAAATACAAAATCTCAGGTGGCAAATTCGTTTCGGGTTTGCGGTCGGCACCCATACCTGCTGCGAGCTACAAAACATGATGGGAAGCTGTCTATGTTTCTCTCTGCATTAGACTGATCCCACATTGTACGCCCCTATAAGGGTGAGCATGGTGGATAACCCTGATGGGATGGAACAGAATAGGAAGAACGTCTGAAATTCAGACATCGATGATGGAATCCCGGCTTCCTCTTTTGCTGGGAGGCCCACCAAGTCCGATCCGTCCTTCAACCGATTCACTAAAGATCCCACCCTTTCCAGACGCTCGCAGCTTCTCCTGCATCTGCTGCAGCATGTCTTGCATTCGACGAATCTACGAACACATTCCACATATATATCCGTCATGACATTCCAAACTCAATTTTACATACAGCGTCACACGATAACATACTTCTTCGTCCTTCTGTTGCAGAAGTTTATCGGTTTCGGAGACCTGATCTGCGTGGATGGAACCCCGCTTCAGCTTGCTAATCGAGAGATGGAGAGAGGAAGCATGAGGGGGGAGGATGGAAGAGAATCCCGTAGTCAGTGGGGAGCTCCTCGATTGTAAAATAGGGCTAGACTCACTTCCGTTCTTTCCCCGGGGGCTGGGACATCTGAGAGATCTGTTGAGTCCGGAAATTCTCGTAGAGGACATCGTGGGTAACTTCCTTCAAATCTTGCATGTGTGTGGAGATGAGCATCGTTCGAAGTTTCACGAAGTCACTGTGCCCAGGGTCCTCGACTGATATAATAATTGGATGGGAATGAAGAACACAAGATGGGAGGATGCCAATAGTCGACGTTAGAGAAAGAAAGCGAGAGAGAGAGAGAGAGGTGGAGGTCATAAAGTTTGAGCGAAATGTCTTCTCACGCTCCTTCCCATGATAAATCTGATAGCTTCAAGGGGGAGCGGGGGAGGCGACATTTTCTCTCCTTTCAGTCATAGACTTATGTTTATACTCAGTTTCATCACACAACTCGTAAATACGAACAATTTTAAAGCACCCGTCCATACTGGAAATATCAATAAGTCTTGATAACATAATAAAATTGAAAATTGAAAGTTGGAGAATTAAATCCTTATTTTCCCCGTTTCAGTACAAGACAAGCTCTATCAAGTCATAACTCAACTCTCCATATGGCTGAGACATGATTGGGCACGTCCCTTCACACTTCCCTCTTTCGCTATTATATGTAGCGCGGGAATGGAGAAGTGATGAGAATCAACTGACCGTCTACGACTCCCCAGGGATATAGCCTGCCTCGTATTCGTCTCCCGTTCACTTCGAAGGTTTGTGAACTGCCGATGAGAGCGAACGGCACCGCAGTTTTCAGATCCCGGTCTTGCTTCCGGAATTCCTCATCTTCGTCGCTGTCACATTCCGGGAACTTGTAGATCTACGTGCACATCCGATTCCTTTCACATACACGGCGGTGAATACACCTCAGCTCGATTCCTACAAATGACGAACCTTAATGTGATGTTCTTTTATGTCTCGCTTGATACATTCCTTGAGGAACTTCACTTCAGGTTGCGTCAACATGTCCGCTTTGGCTATCACCGGGACGAGATTCACCCGTTTATGGATTTTTTTCATCACTTCGACATCCAATTGCCGGAGTCTGAAAGAACACGTACGAGTGTGCAAAAAGTCGAGCATGAATCGTAGACAATCAGAGGGAAAATACAAACACAGGAGCGACAAGTGATAAAAAGAATGCTTCGAAATGCACATACCCTCGACCATAGGGAGGAATGAAATACAGAAGGCAGTGGACTCGGTTGTCTTGAATGCTCTTTCGATTCAAGCCACTCTCTGCTTCGAAATATTGCTTGAATTGGTCAGTCAGGTACCGATCGAGGACTTGCCAATGTTCCTCACAGTTCACGGAGTCTCCGAAGCCTTCAACAGAAAAGTCACAAATGCTGTTACTCGTCCAACGACCTTGGTTGAGTACGTTTGCAGGAAGTGGATAGGTAAAATTGTAATTCCTTTCCTGACTTTCTCACTTTGAATATTCTGGAAGAATATTCAAAGTGAGAAAGCTCCTATAAAAAAAAGTAAAATATCTGTAACGAGCAATACTTTACTTATGGGAAAAATTGAGGGTCCGCAACTAGGCTTCTCCCTACATTGAGTCAATGGAAACTTCCACCAGTCAAGAAAAGTTATCTCTTGGCCTGTACACTGCCTATACGCTTTAAATATTGAAAATGTAAGGTGGGCCATCCATCGGCTATTAAAAGTCATGTACATGATGCACATACGACGTGAGGCTACATCATCTCGATCGCTTCAGAAGCAAACTGGGAAACGATGAAAGTGAGACATGCCAGTAAGCCGCAGATACGAAGGCGAACTCATTCAGAGGAAAGAGGGCGGTTACGTCATCATTGGGGCGTCCTGATGAATCGGTCTTTCAATGTATCATCTATTGAAAATCGATCGCTTGGCAAGGCATTTTTCATAGAGGTTCCTCTATTAGGGTGGCTCACCATTGTGATTGGGCGAGTCCGTGATTTCGCTCAACGCCTTTGGAAGAATGACTAAGCTGCGTCACGGAAGATGTTCCATGACGCATTCTCCCTATTCCTTCATTCTGCGGTTATTTTGCACCATTATCAGCGGGATCATTTAATGAGTTTGAAGAAATTCGGGCGTCAGATTAATCTGAAGTCGGCTATACATGCAGATTTCTCATAAACTACAAAATAAACTTCAGTCAGGGCAGGATATTTTGAGAGACAGGCCTCCATTGACCATATGGTCGACAATAAAGTCTCCATACCTGAATTATATCAACCGACTCAGTTCTACAGCATCAATGACAATTTTTTCTCATAGACCCCATGCTAAATCTCGATTATCTTGCTTCAGATTCTTCTTATCCAACGAACCAAAGATTGCAGAAAGCCAGATGTCGCACTCTTCACACTGTCATCAACAACTTTATTTTCAGCCTTACTTGTTTCGAGGGTTGCGCAGGTGATACGTCCGGGTTAGGTCTAGCCATCAAAACCCTTTTTATAGTTCTATATCGCAGAATGCAGATGCTGTAGGTTCGAGCGGACTCGAAGTTATTCCTCATAAATATTCATGAATTAAAACATGCTAATAAAGCAAGACTATGAATAAGCCATAAGCCTCATCTTTCCCATCCTTTCTTCTTTCTTACTTCTTCATGCTCCCTTATGTATTCATGACTGAGCAGAATGTCAAAGGGGAAGAAGAAATTCATTAATGGGACTAGGATAGAAGGGGTAAGCTCACAATTGGAACGTAATACGAGCACTGTTCCTCCTATATTTCATAATCAGATGAAATTAATCCAAATAAAAAATCTCGTCGTTCACGCGTTCTAGCAAATTCCAGTCGTTACTTATCGTTTCACAATGGCATATTAAAAAAAATCACAATACTTTCCAGTTCAGTTTCCGCAATTCAAGCGCCGATTAAATGATCCCCCCCCCCCCCTGAAAGCACCCACGGGATGAACGTTCCTGCACGATCTAGGGCTATCGCAGAGAAGACACGATGCAGTGAGAAATACCTGGAGTGTCCACGACGCTGAGCCGCAATCTCACGCCTTTCTCCTCGATTTCCATCGTCTTCTTCTCGATTGAAATAGTTTTCTCGATCCTCTCTGCACCAAAGAATCATTAGTGCGTTACTTGGCTGCGGATGCAGCAAAAATACTTTCCAATATAAATTTCTATGGGTTTCTTCTTCGGTAACGATCTACGAACGCAGACAGTGCAGCAATTATGTGAAAAGGCACGCACAGAAAAGATAGGGAGGGGGGAGAGAGAAAGAACAAGAGGGAGAAGAGAGGGGAAGATTGACGACGTATCTCGATGGGAGATCGGCTCCCTTTGCCGTCCGACCCTCAAAGCAAACTGAGAACCTCAGCTGCAATAACGAGAAGGCATGGTTTCTATCAGAAATCCGAAATAGCTCGGTGAGAGATAAGGGAAAAAAAAGCAAACAAACAAATTTGGAACGAAGAGGAGCGTGCTGAAGGATCACGCCTCGGCACTTGGAACTTCGACCTGTACTGCTGACGTCTACTTATTTACATTCTTTCCCCTCTTGTAAAACAAAGAGAAATATAAACAGTACTTGCCGTGAACATCGGGGACTTGTCTGTCTTTGTAGAGATCGGTGAGAAAGAGACTGTTAATGAGCGTGGATTTCCCCAGACCCGTTTCTCCGGCCACCATCAGAGTGAACTCGAAGCCTCGTTTCACGGACTTCCGGTGCACTTGCTCCGGTAGCGTCGCAAATCCGATTTCACCCTGTTGAAGGATGTCAATGGTGAAGACCACATACCCCCCAGGCGATTGAATAAGCAGGCAATCCCCTGCAGGTCGCACGGGGTCTGCAGATGTTGAAGGAAGTCCTCTTGCTTTTTCCCTCCAAACAGAGAACTCCCTGTCGAGACTCACCCGACTCATCCACACATCCCATCGACTTATGTAAACTCCGTCTTCTTTCTGGATCCGGGACACACGACGCCTTGTGCCTATGCTCATCGCAACGGATCTCCCAACGGTGGACTAATGCACACTCGTACGCATCAAGTTTTCTAGGGTACCGCTTTATTTAAGAATGTACCGGGGTGCCGCCCCTTGTATCCTCGAAACGAGATCCTCATCTCTCGTGTTTCAAATGGCGGGGGCTTCGTCACCTAATGACCCCACCAGTTCCTCTCCCCCCCAGCATGATGAGAATATAGGTTGCATGGTGAGGCTCTCAGGCATGACATCACATTTACTCGCGAGAGAGCACTTCCTTCTTCGAAGGCACGAATAATAATTTACGGAATAAGAGATGGGCGTGAACCCAGTCATTGACGCCCACACGGCATTGCAGATCATTTCTTCCCCTCTGCTTTCTTTTTCTCATCGCGAGCACTACTTCTCACCTTAAAGTGTCAACAAGACGTGGTTACTCTGGATCGACAAGGGAATTCAGAGAAGCGCCGCAGAAATCTGTGACCTTCATCATGGGCATGCATGGGCAAATAATGATAAATAACTTATTCCGCATTTTTAACGGAAACAGGTGTCTGCACACCGGAGCCGATACTGATACTCGCAGTACATACACCGAGGAAGCAGCTTTTCGTGCAAAGAATGCACAGAACTCTTAAAAAGTTATGCTTTAAAATATCGACGTGGACTGGTAAAAGTCATGCATCACTTTCGGATCCCCCTCTCAAAATAGTTATATTGAAAAATTTGTAATGCATACCTCAGCAACCAAATGTGTAGGAAGTGAAGAGATGACACTGACATGGGTCTTGGCATAGGTCTATGTCGTACTACATCCCACTTATAGCTCATAATGACCTCAGAGAGGTGGCCTGAGGCTAATCCTCGAAACAAAACTGACCCCACGCTCAGGTCGGTTAGAACTCGTCCCAGCTACTCATTCTATATTATCTTCTTTGAAATAATGACTTAACTTATTTATGATAATTCATTTTCCTATTGCAATAACGAAGAGGATGTACCCCGAGGTCCGTTATTTATTCAGGAGACGAAGTTTCTCATCCTGATATTCAGTGAATGGACGATATGAGGGTGAAGCAGCTTTAGTATTGCTTCTTTACTTCTATTGTATGAAAGCCTGACTGATGATTTTTCTAAATGCTAACGTTGTTTTTGAGCGTCAAGAAATACAACAACCAAGCCCAAGTCCATAAACAAAACCCGCCTGTCACTCACGTGGGAAGTCATGGGGACGACAGACAAAAGCGAGTCTCACCTGAGGCAACATGACGATCACAGCAGGCTGCGCATAAGTTTCGAAGAAGTTCAACGTTCCACGAGTCGGGGCATGGCACGATGGCAGAGGATGAGACCCACAGACAAGAGCGGAGGGGAACCAACAGAGAACTGTAATAGGGAAAGCAAGGAAGGAAGGGAAGCACGGGGAAGGCTGACAGTGCAGTGTGGGCCTCGCAGCCCCTATTTCCCTTTCCCTCCACCGGCCCCGGGCTCCCAAGTATCGATCCCTTCAGTCCCTTCCCAAGCCCCCTCCCACTATAGATTCTCAGATCGGCACGCTTTCCCACGGTAGCTTTCGATCCCGGAATCGCAGGCGAAAGGTCGACATTGATAGACCAGTGAGCGAAATGTGACATGGTTCTTTCCATCCTCCAGGCGAAATGTACGCGATGCGCAAACCGTTTCGTAAATTGCTGGGAGTTACAGGCGATGCTATTTTTTTTTAATAGAAGAATTCGCCATTCGATGGCGAGCTTTCCTCCGAATGTGCATGAATATGAGTATAATTATTTCCTTCTCATTGCAGCACAATACCCCAGGCGGTCATTGTGATCGATCTGAATAGTGGGAACTTCACCCACCATGCAGCAGATGGCTTTATCGTTCTTCAAACAATGCATGCAAGATACGTTTGCAGAGTTCTGTCACTTTCCTTCTCTGCTTTCGATGCGTCTGTGTCATTTGTCACGAACAGCGCATCATGAATCATTTTCTCATCTATTGGAGTTCATTGTTCGAGAAAACCCCACGATCCGAACAGCACATCAGATGGGAAAAGGTCCATACTGCGGGAACTGTTTATGCGAGTGAAAGGCAAACGAAAGAGCTTCCACAAATCCATGCAGTAAACCGATCTCAAGCTTTGAGAACATGTGGAAAGCATACTACGTGCCGGGATCCTCGCATTTGCCTGTCAAATGAGCTGCATTTGCACCGATAGCATCACGTTCTGTGACGTCTAAAAAAGAGAGACCGTACTTTTGTATTCCAGTCATCGAAATGAAAGCGGGAAAGAGAGAGCCACGGTCCTGGCATCACCCGCTCGATGTCACGAAAAGATCCGATCCGATCACGTACATCATGTTCCCTGAGGAAAAGTCAAATCCTTCTATCTCAAGATTGCTCATTCTTTTAATTGTGCAATAAAAATGCTGATGTTTCCTTGGCCATTTTTCATATACCAAAACCAACTGCGCCCTTGTCCAGTAGAATGTCAGAACTGCCATGCGAGGAAAACTTTCTACTTCATTGGCCTCATTTGTCTTGATGAAAAATCGTTCAGTCGGGTCGATCTCGATTACAAAAATGGAGAAATCGGGCTACGACCCATATAGGGGTCGATATCCGCAGTCGGCATATTGAGTCGTTGGCATAAATATGCGAGAACAGCTGAGACTGAACGTCGGTCAGCCTTTATTCTCGGGTTTGTCTTCATTCTCGGGTTTCATCATAATATTTATCTTCATCAAACTTCTTGCTTTCGTGACCGTTCCTGACGCGCTCTTCCAGCTTCCTGCACTCCACCGTTTCATCAAACAAGACCCAAGGTGAAAGAGAAGACCCTTAGTCAGTTACCGGTACCTCTGCCATGGAACCTGCACGGAATGACGGTCAGAAACAATAGGAAATAATTTTCTTAAGAAAGTTGGCTTGTACCCGCTGTCTACCCACTTGTATGCAAGTGAAAGAGGACTTCGTTGCATGGGAGTGAAAGCGGGTTTTCTCCCCTTTCCCGCCACGGCATCTTAAGTACGCATGCCATAAGAAAAATTCATTTACATGCATGGACTGTTGTTCCTGTCCTGTTGCCGTAACTGTAGTGAACTATGAGAACCTTTTTTTTAAATAAAAAAAAACCCTTGCGTACAAAGCAGATTTGAGAACCGAGTGGAATAAAACAGGAAAATTATATTTCGGAGTATGCTTCAAGAATCATTGTTGAAAGCATGAAGCATCTGTGAGGTTCAGTCGATGTTTGAAGCATTCGATAATGCTCCTTTTCCATGGTTGTGGCATCCCCAGAAAGCGACTCGCCCGGTTAGAAGTGCAAAGGAAACTGGGGGGGGGGGGGACGACCACAGTTTCCTTTGCACTTCTCATCGTATGCATGCAATCATGAGTGAACATTTTCCATGCGATTCACATTCAAACCTGTCTTAAGGGCATCTTCATGGAATGACGGTAATCTACCCCATACTCGTGGACAAGTCTGAGCTAGAATACATTAGTAAATACAACGAAGAGAGCTTTCTTTCTTGAAGATCCTGTCTTTGCGATTGTTGTCATTGTCAATCCCGGTCGTAGAAATCTATTCATTAATATACTTCTCACATCTCCCTCATGAACTCACCGATTTCATTCTCTCCACGGCCACTCAATTTTTAAATGTCATGAGACTTCTAGCTCTGTATACAGATCCTGGAATACATGCTATTTATGTAACTGCTACGTTTTCTCACCCTGTACTCAGCGGATATGAAAGGGTCACCTGGCAGCAGTGAATCTGCCCTAATCCCATGGTATTCCGCTTGACTAACCCACCCCCCTCCCCCCAGTAGGGAGAGTGTTGGTCAACGCAGCCTCCCCCTTCGCCATATAGGGGGAGGGGGGGGGGGGGGTTGAGTGGGCAAGCGATAAGACCCCCTTCTAGCCCTTTTCAACAGTTCACGTTCATCTTGTGTCGATCCCATAGCAGCTGCGTCAAATTTTTCAGTTGGCGCTGGAGATTCGAAGATGCAATAATTTTGCGAAAATAAAAAATAAAAGCATTCAGAATGCCGATTCTCACAAACATAGACGCTATGGAAATAAAGAAGATTGGATGGATACTCCGTCATACAGAATGTTCTATATTGGAAAAGAGGTCCCCGATGCCACGGCGCCGTGCGTATACAAACGAGAGAATGAAAACTAAAAAAAAAAAATTTTATTTGATGAAACCTGTTTAAAAAAAAAAATAATGCAGAAATATCAAAACTGTAGTTTTCTTTCACTTCATCGAGAAGCAAGGGCACCTCCAGCTCTTTTTTTTTATCATAGACGTGGAGTAATGAATGGACGATGCGAAAGAGCTTGCTCGATAATACCATAGAGTACAGAGTGTAAGTAGAGGCGACACTCCGAGGGATAGGGGAGGGTCGAAATATTACAGATACAGGTGGGTTATTATCAACAACACTTCCATGAAGCGTGCTTCGTGACAGCGGAATCGGGAATCGACTCATTCGGGGATTCGACCCAAGGGGATCCCTCAACGTAACACGCGTTTCTCGTTAAGTCCGCTGCTCGGCCACGAAGGAGTTGTTGATATGCGCACGCTAGGTGGAGGATCGACAGCGACATCTATCTTGCGACCCTGTCAATGAATGAGATTCGAAGCTTTATCCCCCTTTTAGATCTCACTACGACATTTTTGGCATTATTTTCTATCCCTTTAACTTTATGTTGCCGCTTAGTGCTGCCGCTGCCATGCACGGCAGCACTTCAGGCTCATGGTCATGATGAATCGCTTCGACGAACGTGAAACTCGATCGAAACCATGAAATCTCCATTCATGGCATACGCCTGCGGATGAATGTTGTACGAGTATGAAAAGAGTCACGTCGCGAGAGACGGGTAGGTCTGAACCGACGACTCGTTTTCAGAGGTAATGCATCATTTGTAATATATTCCATTAGAGAATTCAACTAATGAGGCACTATTTTTACGAGTCATTTCCGCTCGAGGAGGGTGGGGAATGCCACACTCCCAAATCGAGTCCTTTGTCCCTCCCTAATAACCTCTTAGAAACCAACAAAAGGTGGGGGATTTCAGCTCTAGTTTCTTCCTTATTTTCCTTTAAAAAAATCGAGTCAGCTTGCCATGCATTTATCATGAGATACAAAAGCTTGTTAGGGCTTCACAAACGAGTCTATGTTTACTTTCCTCGCCCATATCGGTTCGGGCATTCCAGAGAAGTGCTTATCCAAGGAGATGAGATTCAGGACAGGCAGACTACCAAACCGAGTTAAGTCTAATAGAGTTTCATACATGTGAATTGGTCATGTAGCTTTCCTCCTTTATTTGGTTTTAAGTCGGTCGGAGTAAGTTGGATACGGCTATTTTCCCTTAATACTGAAACCTCTTTTAGTTAACGGTTCTTTAAGAATTCATGGGCTCCTATGAGGGGAAAATAGCTCTTTAGTTTAACAGAGCCCTTTTATCTGGTCTGAATGAGGTTACAGAGTTTGTATCTAAGAACCACACCACGGCACCGAGACGAGTAGATCGGATACATGGGACTCTGTAAATGAGGAAATGTAGCGTAATGCACAATACAGTACTGTCTTTGGAATTCTCTACTCATTGGTTAAACATATCCAGTACGCGTCGCATTTGTGTCTTGAAGTCTGGTGCTCTTCATGCAGGAAACGCGCAGCGCGTGTCAATAGATTCAGACCTCTTTCAAAAGACCGCAAGCGTATAGTCATCATGGTCGCGTCCTTAAGAACACGTGTGGTCCTACGAGTAGTGTGGTTGGAGGCCTGTGCCAATTGTGGTTCATGTTGAATTAGGAACGTAAAACCTGACTAGATCGATTTGACAGAAGGAAAATGCCAGCGAAACGCTCCGGAATACGCTGTGTACCTGGTGAGTGTCACTCTGCTTAAGCCTAACGTAGAAAACTGTGGTATAGGCAGTGTTGAGTGGAAGCGAAGTAAAGTAATGCGTTACAGTGACTACGTTTTACTGCGATTTCAGTTTTAATGAGTTACTTTGCAAGGGCTAGTTACGGAAGCAGTAACCTAAGTCATTTTCCAAGGTAAGTGTCAGTGGCATTGCTGTAAAACGTTACTTTCTTGATGACAGATTCAACTTCAGATGATAGTGACAAACGCTGTAGTACAGCATTCATCCTTATCATCACTGAAGTTGCAAACGAAGCTGATGACGCAGTTCACATATGTTACATCCAACTAATGCTGCCATGGAGAGGCTATTTAGAGTCAACAGGGACATTTTAATCTGTAAGAGAATTTCTCATACCAGCGTTGAGAAGCAGCTCCTTTAATAGTGGACTCAACAAATGCAAGTGTGTTATGAGCGAGTGTGTTGCATGCTCCTACCTCCCAGAAGAGAGCCAGCCGATGTTTTATGAACCCTTGCATGAAAATACAGAGCTCTATTTCTTGAGAATACTTTCATGGACATGAGTCATCCATGAAGAGGATTCCTTGTGCTGAGCATCTTTCATGCTTCTCTACCACCATGTGTGAACTCTCTCTGAGATGCAATACTAAGCTAATATAAAATTTTTTTGTGTGATTCTTTTGAATACTACAAGAATTAAGAGCAGTTCTAAGTTGAGAGAGCTCTGAAAAGTAATTTACTCCTGTTAATAATTACTTTTTACACATGTAATGGGGCCCACAATTGACTATAGGCCTATGCATTGGCCCAAAACTGGTGTTAATATTAGGCATTTTACATTGCAATATTAGGTCTGGTGCATCATATCAGTTGCTTGTAAGCCTATAGGCATAGCTTAGCATTTTGACCTGTAGATTTCCCATAAAATTCTAGGGCAGCGCCTCTGCTTTGCTGATGAGCTACACGTTGGAGGCCATGGAACTTATGCAAGAGATGGTGTCATACATTCATCTTTGACTGGTGTTGTCATGACTGAGACAGACAGTGATGGAGTGAGTTTGGAATTTTAGTTGTTGATGAGACTGATAGGCATTGACTGTGATTTGCAGATAAGTCTGTACCATCTTTAACCTGCAAGTTTTATCTGTAACATTCGTGTAAGCAAAGAGGCGAGGAGATAGCTCCTGTGGAAGTAATGTTTTCAGGGCTAACTGCAATTGAGATGGGCCTACACTTGAAATGTAAAGTCCTTAGTATAACCCATTCAATTAATAATAAAATATAAGAGCTCAATTAGAGAAAGTATAAAGTGGATCTGAAAATGTACAAAGTGAATACATAATCACAGAAAGTCTAAGATATTTGAAAAACTGGACTTTTAGGCCAAGGTTGATAGGCCTCATATTGATAGAATAACCTATGCCAGTTCACTATTATGACACTACCTATATAACTTATTCCCTCCAATTGCTGGTACCAGTAAATGACAGACAAATGAGGGTGATGAGAGAGATATGTCAATCATATCAATCTAACTGGGGAGCAAGGGTGTTTCCAGTAGAAGGGTGAGGGCAGATACCTGCCTTCTCAGGTCTGTCAGGTTACAGATCCAGGGCAGTTGGACGTTGGAAGCTGTTTTATTTTTATTTTTTGAGTTTTTGGGGTTGAAGGAAAGAGGCAATGCCATTGATTTCTATCTTCACTTCCCCTCTCCCCACATTAATCATACAGTTTCTCATCTTGTCCCAGAGCTACCTGACACCTTAATGTCAGGTGGCTCTGAGACATCTTTGCTTATATCCTCTAAACCTGTGATTTGAGTGGATATATTATAACTAGGGAGTGGATTTTTATGCACTAATAAGTCCTAAAATATGCAAATACATATGTACTTAAATATGGGAAAATATGCATGAAATATCCATGAAAGAGGTAAAATATGCATAAACATACTTTTTAAATGCTGTACGAATTTTTCAGAAGGAACTTCAAGGTACATTACATGCCTCTACTGGGTATAGTTGGTTTATTCTTGTCACAGCCAGTGGTGAAGCCAGTGGAGGGCTAAGGGAAATGAACAGGGGCTACTTTTAGAAACTTTTCATGAGGGATGGTGGTAGCGGATGGATTTAGAGCAGAATTTTAGGGCTTCACCACTCCAACCAGTGCATAACTGCTGGAAAATTTTCATAGATTACTCATAAATAAACATTTTACTGGAAGACTCTTACTTCTTTAAAAATAAAAGTGGCTAAAATATGCATAAATATGCACATGTTGAGAAAAATATAAAAATATGCTTTTTTATGAATTTTAAAAATGGTAGAAATTGCTTCCTCTACCAATAAGACATGTTCCTATCTGGGTTGTATGCTCCTAGGAGGCTGCAGAAAAAATATGCATTTGCATAAAAATCCACTCCACTCCCTAATTATAACTAGGGCTGTCACAATAGCAATTTTCAAAACATCGATGCATTGACCTAAAATATTGATAGTGCATTGATGCATTGGGGGGGGGGGGGCCCGCCGGAGGATTCCATCTTTTCTCGCCGCAATCGGAGCGCAGACTTCTATCCGGCTTCCATAATCTCACGCTTGTGATCAGGGGTGCAAGGGGAATGTGACCTTCGCAAAGAATAATGAAACCTACTATGCCTCCGACTAATGAAGTTGACATCCATTCATCGATGGATACATCAGGACAGCCTAATTTTCTTCGTTCTACACTGTCTTTGGACATCGGCACCAGCAGATAGGAAACCTGCTGATGGTGCCATACCAGCGGTTGCCAAAACATCCCAACAGCCCTAGAATAAGCAACATCCATGTAAAAAATTCACTTTGATTTCACCTTAAGTAGAGATAAAACGTCCCAAGACAAGTTAAAAATTAAGAAAGTTAAGCCTGCATACTAATGTGATAGACAGGAATATAGAGAGGAGATTAACCAATGTACGTTTCAAAATGAAGGCAGTATAAGAACAGTCCACTTCCGCAGTATGCACCTGATGAGATCGAGCTGGAGACTGAAACTGAAGCTAAAAAAAAATATTATTGGCCTTTCCCCCCCCTCCTTTCCCACTTCCTGTCTCCGATCCGACTTTTTTTTTCCTTCCCGTCTTTCATATAGTCAGTCTCAGCATTTCCAGAATTTGATTGTGATAAGAAATTGCTTGCCCATGCGTGTTACGCTGCTTCTTCCTTTCCCCGCCCGGACAGACTGCATTGTACAGTGTGCACCTCAATCCAATGGGACATTTCTCCTTTAAAATATTTTGTCGATGCATCGCGATGGTCGAAAAAACTATCGGTATCTTCAACTATCGATAGTGGTATCGATGCATCGATCTTTCGTGACAGCCCTAATTATAACAGACCTATCCATCTGTATCTTTCAGGGGTCTCATGGAAACTAAAATGGGTACTGTTTGTACTTAAAATCTAAAAAATATAGAAACTCAGTGCAGGTGAGTGGCTCAGTTGGTAAGGAGCCTGGTCCCCCATGCAAGGGACTCAGGTTCAAACCTAACCAAGTCCAGTAATTATTTCCAAGTGCAAACCCCATTGTGCTTGGGAACAGAGACCCCTGAGCACTTAGGTCCAAATGCTGAAACCACTGAAACAGTCCTTTAATACATGGTCTTATACATGGTCTCCTATGAGAGAAAAAGAGCTCTTTAGCATAAAGGTCCCTTTATCTCCCCTAAATGAGGTTTGTGCATTTGGGCCTTTGTGTTTTGTTTTACTCTGCTGCAATTCTCTGCCCCTTCAATAGTTTATGAGCATGTTCCATATAGTCTTGGAGGTTTGCCCCAGAAGACATAGAATTTTGAAGCATCTTATGAAGATATTTTTTCATGTTTAGGTTACACAAATATCTGTGAAGAGAGGTGACGAGCAACATGTTGTGCCTTCAACAGGAAGTATTGTCACTGCCAGGGTATGATTCATTTCCCTTGCTTTCCACATAGACTATAATGCTAAGAAATGCCATCATTCATTGTGAGGTATGAAGTGCAGTAATTTTTTTGTTGTCATCCTGAATGAGAAGGCAGTTGCAATCCTTGTTGCTGTACTTTTTCTACAAAGTGGCAGGAGTGGTAGGATACTTATTAGTTGCAGGATATCTGGTACTTCACTATCCTAGACTCAATTTCAAGTTATTCTGGGTTGTAATTGCTGTTCATTGGTTTATGTCAGTAGGAGTATCATGTCAATTTTTATACAAGAAAATGGACTGCTCAAAAAGATTTTGTTACCAGATAGAAAATACATTTTTCCATCTGGACTTGGTGTTAGGTGTTTACAATTATCTCTAAGGAGGAAAGGATTCAGGATTTTGTTTTGCATTTATGTCCAAGTCATCAAACTGATATTTTCTTTAATTTCAGGTGACTTCAGTGAATCCTAGGTTTTGCAAATGCAAAATTCTCTGCATTGAAGACACGGTATTGAAAGAACCATTTAGAGCAATCATAAAGAAGGAAGATGTTCGTGCCACTCATAAGGACAAAGTGGAACTATATAAATGTTTCCGTCCCCGGGATATCATCCTGGCAAGAGTTGTATCCTTTGTCCCCATTTTCCTAAGAGCACAGTGCTCAGGATTGAAAGAGAAAAATGAAATAGGCTATGTTTGGTCAGCTCTTCACTGTATAGTTTGAATTTTATATCCAAGAGTCATTCCAATCCTTTTTACTCAGAGTTTCCTATTAGAGTGCATAAGGTTGTAATAACTGATGGACTTTGAAATTGTAATGCTTTTTCATAGGTATTTTTCATGAACCCTTAACCTTTACACACTGACCATTTCCATATTCAAACAAAGGATGTAAGTGGAAAAATGTGAATTTTGCCTTATTCAAAGAGCTTGGAATATTCCTTTCCACACATATAAAAGGAAGATTCCATGCTGTTTGAATATGGAAACATTCAGCATCTAAAGGTTAATGTATTTCCATACTGGATGTGATGATGATTCAAGTTATACTTTAGCCAGTATGCTTAAGTCCAGTGTGGTCATTACAAGCTCTGGTATAACTAATTTTAATGCTTGTTTTAACGACCTGAAGGTTCAAGGTGAATGCATAAATCCTTAATGCTTGTAGCTATCTCTTGGTGATGCCCTCTCCTATTTACTTTCAACTGCTGAGAATGAATTGGGAGTTGTGATAGCACATAGTGAAGCAGGTAAGTCTTGTTTTCTTAAGGAGACTTAGTAGGTTCTTCCTTACATGCAGAGTTTCTTCATGGTTTCCTTTCCCTGTTCAGGTGCAGCAATGGTTCCTGTTTCATGGACAGAGATGCAGTGCCCAAAAACTTTCATGAAGGAACCACGAAAAGTGGCAAAAGTTGTGCCTCAGGACTTTTTGGAACCTGCTCAGGCCCCACCTGGAAGAGAGGAAGCATGAAACTGGAGATTTTCAATTTTTTTTGATTGGATCTCATGATGTGATTTCTGTTTAGGAAGCAATTACTGACTTTACCAAAAAAGGGAGTGTTGTCATTTCTGTCACTAATTCATATTTGTTTAGATAGGTATAGACAGGCCACTCATAAGGCTGACACCAGCAAATTTTGCTGCCCCATCCATCATCCTATTTATGGTGGGGGGTGATCCTGAGAGGAGTGCTAACTCCAAAAAATCAGAGAACCCAAATTTTTTTTTTGCCTCAACCTCATAAACTTGAGGGCTTGCTTACAGAGCTGCAAAGGAAAAAGGGCATTTTTCGCCCTTTGCATGACAGTGTCGTTAGTGTCATTGTTCCTTTGAGTGTCAGCCGAAAGAGTGGCCCTACTATACCTCCAAGAAGTATGATTAAAATAAAATACTATCTGCATGACAATATTCAAGTTTCAAAAACTGTTAGTGTCCTGTATGAGATTTTTTTTTTAACAAAAGAAGCATGTTATCTCGAAAGTTCAAGCTCAAACTCTGTTTTAAAAAATGCAAAATATCCTTCAACCTTTTTATAGCCACATCAGCTATAACTAGAGTGAATTAAAGTTGAAGGAAGAATTGTGATGTAACTACTATTATAATAATCAAGACATGGAATTCTAGATGTCATCTGTGATGTTGCAAAGAGCAACTTACGTATGATATGGTATGATGACAGTAATGTGGATACTAGCCTAACACCAAATACCTACCTGGAATTCTTCATTTTCAGTTTCTGGATGCATCATCTGTACTGGGATTTAAATATTCATCATTCAGTCAGGAAGGGTAAAACCATTTAAGTTCAGACTGTACCTATGTTTGGACACCATGAAATAAATTGTTGTAAAATGAAGCATTTATGAGGTCACCCTCAGAAACATCTCTTCCAAGCTATGAAGAATTGTTTCAGAGGGAGAACTCACTGATGCTTGGTTTTATAACACTGTACAGGGTGAATCAAAAGCACATACATTTTTTTGGTGCTGTATATGGTATCAATCAATTTGTCTGCTCCTTCTGAGCAGTTTGGTCTCATATTATTGTGGGGCAAAAGATACTTTGGAAGAAACGATTGAAAAAGAGTCATAACTAGTGTAACATTGCTTGACTCTTGGGGTCACTCCACACCAAATTGACCAAGTAGCCGATGTTTACACTTGCCATTGTTGGAGCTTGTGGTTACAATACTTGATTCATCATGAGTTCCAACAATGGCAACTGTAGATATCTTCCCCTGAACTTAAACTGTTTGATTTAGTGGAAGTACTTGTTTTAGCTTCAGAGAATTATGTCTTAGAACAATCTAAAGACAGCAGTTTCACAATTAAAATGACACCATAATGAAGCTTTTAACTCAAATAGAAGAGAAGTTATTGCAAAAATAGTCTTACCATTCCAGTCCATATAGGCACCAGGAGCCAAAAATAGGTGACACTCAAATGCATATATCTTGAGATAAGAGCTAGATTTAAAAATCTCTGGAATTTATTTTCTTATAATCAATTCCTCTATATGCATACAGATTTTTGTCAAAAATTGAAGATGGTTGAGCTCATCCTCTGGTCGATTTGGTGTGGAGTGGCCCAAGAGTCAAGAAATGTTACACTAGTTATGACTCTTTTTCTGTCATTTCTTCCGAAGTATCTTTTGTCCCACGCTAATATGATACCAAACTGCTCAGGAAGAGCAGACAAATCGATTGATACCATATACAGCACCAAAAAGAATGTAAGTGACTTTTGAATCACCCTGTACATGATAGTGTCCAAACTTAGGTACTGTCCAAACCTGGATGGTTTTACCCTAGGATGGGTTTTTAGGGGAGAGCTGTTATAGGTTAAACATTGTTTTTCTGACCAGGGATTTTATTTCCTTTATCAGCTCTAATAAAAATTATTTTGTGGTATTTGCATTGGCTGCTGAAATATGAAAGCTATTTTTACTCTGATAGGGACTTGATGGTGAATTTAAAGAAAACAGAATGGTCCAAATAGAAAGATGAACCTCAGTATACTCATTCCATTGTTCTCATTACCATTGACTTTTCAATTGTCTGAAATAAAAATGCTGACAAAAAAGGATGCATCAATACATATACCATTGTTAATGTTATATATTATAGAAATCATACCAACTTTAGAAAATTATATAAAGAAGTTCTTCCCTTAAGGCTCCTTTTCATGTGCAATCACATGGTCTAATTTTTTCTATTCTCACTAAGTTATTTTCCACTTGTATAGGCAGAAAAAGTGGGCTAAGTTCCAAATCAGACATTAAATGTGGCAGGTTTTGAAACAGCTATGAAATTTAGATCTATATTTTAGTATTGCTAGATGATGAATAGATGTTGAAGTGAAAAAGTCAAGAAAGTGGGTGAATAGAATGGTTTTTCCATTCCAGGGATCTTAATTTGATCTCAATAGTTACTAGCCTTTTCCTTCATATTTGGAGCCAATAATAACTTATGGATAATGGTGGCCTAAACAGATGCATCCTATTTAAACCAATATTCTGTCATTTACAGCTGACATTTTGGGCCTGAAAATTTAGCTGAAGTTTCTTTTTAACACTTTCACAATGAATGCATAGACTGATGGTACACTATTTTGAGTACCTGTTGCACCTTTTGGACCTTCTCTGACATTAAAAAAAATTGAGTTTCACTTATATGATGGACCTCAATCAACAATGACCAATCTTTAGAGGGATGTTTGCAAAACATCACATAAGTAAACTTTCTTTCTATACACAGAAAAATACTTAGAGTGCTAAAAATTGTGGAACAGTTTAAATGGCTGGAAAATGAAGTTGAGCTGCTGGGGCAAATCATGTCATTTAAATCTGAGTGCAAAGGATTAATAATTAGGATCTGGGTTCTCTAGGTTGTGTGCCAGTGTAACTGTCCTAGCCCTTTCACAGCGTAAATTTTGGGCAGGTAATAGAACCATGGGCAATTGAAGACTCCTTTTGCAGGGGAAAGGTTAAAATGCATGGATGGTTGCAACTCCTGTAGCAAGTAATGACATTGAAAACTTTATAGGTGTATACTATTTCCTCTAGGCTTCATTCCATTCCTGCATTAAAATGCAAAAATAAAAAAATTAGACAATTTTAAAAAGACAATACATGGACATTGTGATTTTGACTTTGAGATGAGGCATGGCTATGTAAAAAAAAAACTCCAATTAGCAAATTTAAATTGACTGAGGAAATTAAAATCAGAAGCAGCCATCCCAATGCACACCTTGCCATTAGATTGCCAACTCTTCTCTTTTATGGAGTTACTGCATCAGGAGTCTAAAGTGACCATACTTTAGGGTTGAAGTTATATGTATTATACCAAGTTATATTAAAGTCTTTGAATAACTTGAGCACCAGAGTATATAATTTTTTCCTTCTCATGGTTTCAATCCATGATAACATGAATATCTCCTTGTGGAATTGCCCTTCCTTCAACCATAAGGTATTAATTGTGCTTAAAAACCAATGTAATGGTTATATAGCTGTACCAATTAATAGGTATCCCACCTCTGATTTTTCATCTGAAAAGTGAAAAAAGAAAAAGAATGGAAAGGGATGACAGCCTCAATACCTTTTGTGGGACTTTAACTGTTTCATTTAGCAAGACTGCATAAGTTTGAAGGAATTCAAGTAACATGAACGAGATGAGACTCCAGCTGATTACTGAAGGGCAGAAGGTAAAGTGACTTGGGAAGCAACTTTTTCCTCATGGCTTCCTGTGTATTTTCCTCTCCTCTCTTCTCTCTGCTTCATCTGCACACTTGGAGAATACTCACACCAACTTCTCCCCATGGGAACAGTGTAGTAATGACTTGAACAAAAGCCCAGCTATGATCCATTGTTAACAGGGTCCAACATGATCTTTAGGTTCATCCACATTAATGAAAACCATCCTTTCAATGCAATACTTTGCAACTTTGCTTCTTGATGGAAGTTTACTTGGAATCTTGTCATTATTATGGAGTATCTATGTGAATCAGTGAAGACTCAATAATTCTAACAGTCTGCCAGATATACTAATGGGAAAGGTTGGGTCATCCTGACATTTGATAAACAATGAGAGCATTGACTAATAGGCTTCAGAATGAAAAGATCATTATCCTAGGGTGAACATTCTAGGGTGCCATTGATTTCTATATTCAAAACTTTAAGGTGTGATTGTAAAATGCAAGGCCTTGAAAATGCCTTCAGCTGAAAGCTGATGTCAAGCTATGCACTATATACTGGTTACAATGTGATTATATTGGAAATGAAGTAACATTGATGTTTCACTGGGATGAACAGGGTCTCACATTGCAAGGAGCTGAACATGTTGTATAATAAGTACAGAGACAACTAATTATAGCATACCTGGTAAAGCTGATGTAAACAGTGGCTTGTCATTCATGACTTTCTGCAGATTCATATCCTGTGATAATGTAGGTATGGTGCTTAATCTCCCAGTGGAAGTGCAAGAAAAGATATTGGGATATCTAAATCACAAAGATCTCATTGCTGTTTCACAAGTCTGTGATTTATGGGAGCAAATATGCAATAGGTAAGTGTTGCACTAAGGCTCTGGTACTTTGTTCTTATCTGCTGAACATTAGTCACTGGTCAGGATTCATATCAAGAGAGAGTATAAACAAAAGTTCATCTTAGCTTGTTCACCCTTTTTATGCTTCAATTTAGAGGTAAGAAATTGGTGCTGAATCCATGACACAATTTGAATAGCAAGGCTTCTGGTGAAAGCTGATAAAGCTATTTAGGGGAAGTTTAGTAAAAATTTAAACTTTAATTTTTTAATGTTTGACTATTAGCTACAAACCATGGCTTTTTCATTAGCTCACTTTGAAAACCAGATAGTTCATAGGATTTGCACTCAAAAGGTCATTGTGACTATACTTACACTGTCAGATGGATAAATGCAGTTATGAACAATGTTTGACCAGGAAAAAGGTTCTGGAGCAATGCCATCCAACCAAATCCATAACATGCTAGGATTGCACACAAGTATATTTGCAAGATGCATATGGGATTTGCTTCCTTGCATAGACTTGTATGCATTTTCTCTTGGCATAAACATTTCTTCCAATGATCACATTTACCTCCACCTTCTTATAGTCTGTGGACATATCATTTACAGGGATTTGGAAAATATCTAGCTATTCTTTTAATGATTGGAATAGACCTTAGCCCATTCCAGTCAAAGGTACCATTAGAAGGAATTAGTCTTCTCTATCACTGACCTTTTCTTCATAATGGTTTTCTTTATAGACTGATTCTTTGCTAGGTTTAATGGGAAAACAAAAACTGGGAAAGATTCAAATTGATGGAAGAGTTGTTCATCCCAAGACCATCCCTGATACTTTGAAGAATACAAACTACATATCAATAATTATTCAGAAATAACATAATACCATTACTCTGTGAAGATAGACCAAAGATAATAGTATCAATTATGTAGAGGTTCATGCACATGTTAATGAAATAGGGAACATTTACTAAGAAAGAGTGCCTTCACCTTCAGGAACAGAGTTGGAGTGTAAGTCTTGTAATGAAGCTACACAGTCTACAAGTAAATGAAATGCAAAGATCCAATTAAAGGTTACACAAAGACTGATCACATCCCCTTGGCTGATTTCATGGGGTAAGTGTGATCAGCCTTGATGATGAGGAAGAATGGAACCTAGAAAGGACAAGTTTGAAGACCATTAAATATGCTTTACTATTATACCAAAAATGGATTTTTATTCAGCATTACTGATCATTTAAGGCAAGTTAAAATAAGTATGCCAAATTAGGTACTGGATGTGAAATTGAGCTCTCAAATGCACAGTAAAATAACTCTTAGTTGAGATAATTGAATTTGACTGGCCATGGAAAGCATGGGATAATACTTATTACATAATTCATTGATGCTATAGTACCAGAAATGGGTATGAGCCAAACTTACTCTGAATGACCTTAATTCAAGCAGCTTTCCTTGATAAAAAGTATCTATTGTGTTCATTGAAATGCAAATTAAAATTAGTAATTCTGAATTTGAATCTATGAATGTAAAACAGTGTGCATCTGGGTACAGGTTGTTGAGGCTGAACTGTGAGTGGCACATCCCAAGAAATGTCCTGATGGAGATTGCTTCAGAATGCCCTATAACACACTGGAGGGAAGTTTGGTTGAAGTGGTATGAGGGAGGGCTTGGAGACAATTCCTCCCTTCCTCATCATGTAGGTGAAAGAGAATTTCCTGCTGGTTGTGTCACTTCAAGTGGGGGTCAGTTCTGTCAAACCTATCATTACTGAGTGCTATGTAAACAGTTTTCTGTTAGCATTGTGAAAGTAGTAATAGAAACAAAAATGCATGAAAATGCATAATGCCTGATTGACTCACCAAAATAGAGAGGCAGTTCTTGTGGAACACTGCAAGATGTTAATTACTATAATCATCAGCTCTCAGTGTTGTTCTCACTTCAGTAATAGCAGTGCAAGTAAAAGTCAATGTTCTGGAAAGAGGCAGATATCCCTGTCTATGCATCAATTTAGATTCATGAAGAGGGAGAAGGAATTCCCAGCCTCTGAGGAGTGAGGTACTCTGGACCTGTTTTGGTTGTGTTTTTTCACAGTAAAGTGAATTGGGTGGAATTTCAAGCTTTTTCCACAGTCTGATGTAAAAGTCATTCCATGTCAAATGTTCAGAATCTGTGTTCATCTGTCACAGATCTTGGAAAAGTTTATGTTCTTAGATATTGTGGATAATAGTATAAATCCAATATTTTAGTTTTCCAGGCTAAACTGTTCCCAAAATATTTCAGTAGAAATTTTGATAAAATTTCTAAAATGATGTATACTGTATTATTTGCAACTTTTTCCCCTATGACTACATGACCTTCAATAATACCTCTAATAAAAACTCATGGAAAGAGCTTTCTCATATATGAATGCAATGCATGGAAATTTAAAAAAAATACCAGCAACTCCATAGGAAAAGCCACCTTTTTGCTGGCTTTTCTATGATCTAATGATCTTGGGTTTAGTACTAAAGTGGATGTAGATTTAGTTGTCAATAGTATACCCAGGGGCCTGAAGCAGGCTAGGAACATGATGTATCCATGAAACAATGTGGTGTATGCAGCCTTTTGCTCAACATTTTGTTGTTATTGCTTGTCAAAATATGACTTTTTTTTATCATGAGTTAAGTACTGAAGTGTATGGGAAGTGTATACAATGGTAGTACTACTCAGAAACCACTAAGCTACAGCAGAAGCCTGTGCTTGGGGTAGGTGCCCAGTGGTATTTCAGATTCTGCAAGTCATAAAGGCATATGAACAAGTTTGCTGGTCCATTAAGAGAGGCTTTCATCAATTGAGCCCAGTTCTTTCAACCATACAACTTCCAAAGCTGATGAAAGAAAGAAACCCAAATATGAGTGAAATAGACCCATGACCAAAATGGAATTTTTGTGGCATTGATGGCCTGAGGCACCAACTTTACTGCAATATTTCTCAGCAGTGGCTCAACCATAGTTGAATCTGAGACTTGCAATCATCTAATGAAGAGCAGGTGTATAAATACATTTATTGAATATTGCAACAATGCTGTTAATTTTTTTTTTTTAAGTTGGTCAACCTTGGGTGGCTTTTCTTGCAGACTGACATTAAATAAAAGCTCCAAATTTTTACTCACCAATGCCCAATGTAGGGAGGGGGTTGGCTGGTAACTAGACCCAGTGGACTTTGTAGTTCTCATATAGCTCTGAAAGATGCAATTTAGGTTCAACTGTCACTTCCATTCCCACAGGGAGAAATTGATGTCACCGCTCATCAATTGCACTGTCTGTCACATATTCAAGAATTTTGCCCCATGCTTCAACCCTTTACTTTGGTAGTTCCTCCAGAGCATTGATTTCAGGCAGAATGTGGTGGTAAACCAGCAGTTTTTCCTTTGAAGTCAACATTCTGCTCAATCTGGTAGCAGTCATTTTGAACATTACTTTGCATAGATGTTCTGCCAACATGCCACTTGTCCCACCTTGATGAAAACTGGCAGATATCATTTCACTTCCTATTGCTGAAAATATTTTAAATTTATTTTGAATGGTTTTGGTGAAGTGTTAATTTTTTCACCTGCTTACTTTCTTTTTGGTTCATTATGTACATGTTATATATAGTGACACCTAAATAAAGATTTTACACTAATTAGAAGATAAGATGTAGTTATTATGGTATGCATCACTTTTACCATTTTTCTCCAAATTTTGAAGTATTTTTTAATGCTTTGATGAAGAAAATAAAAATTTTGGATTTATCTTATTATATGCAATACAAGGTGCAGCCAGAAAGTTCATGCTGCTATGCAGTACCTCATACCAACACCTGCTAGAAACAGAGCTTTTGCTGACAATGGACAAGTTGCAACCAGAACTGGCCAATGGAAATTTCATCTTCCACCAGGACAGTGCATCACCACACACTGCCCACATTGTGACAGAGTTTTTGGCTGGAAGGGGTATTCAACTCTTACCTCATTCTCCCTATTCACTAGATCTTGCTCAGAGGGACTGTTTGGCAAGCTCAAGGACCATGGGAGGAAAGAAATAACCTTTGAGACAAATTCTGGGCTCTGCAGTCAATCAGTGGTTCAAGCATACACCTAAAGATGACTTTGACAAGTGCTATAAAGACTGGTTTAAACTGTGGCAACTGTGTGTAGAGAGAGAAGACTATCCTGAAATGTGAGGGAAATGGGTTTGCAGAACTTAGTATACTTAAGGAGTTTCTGTATAATGTCACAGACTTTCTGATTGCTTCTTATACCTTAGAGCATGAATTTATTAATTAAAAAATCTGCAATGGTCAAGCACAGACTCAAGACATTTTGCATGGAATGGCCAAATTACTGTAAGGGAGGGGACCACCATTTTCCCAGTAGTGTAATCAGTATTTTGAAATAGAACAAGTCACCTAGAATTGTTCCAATTCAATTCTGAATAGGCTTTCTATGGAATCATTCTAATCTCCCCAGCCAGAATATCAATCTGACAAGAAGTATGTGCTGGAAGACCAAGCTTTATTTGGTTTTACTGCCAAGCTCATGCCTTTCATTGCAGAAAATCTCAAGGATGTGTGGCTTTGAATTTGAATTTGAATTTGAATCAGCAGAGGTCAGTGGATCTAACTACATCCAAGAAACCTTTCCTGCAAGATACGTTTTGCCAGGGAAGAAGATCAAATCAAAATAAAGCCTCCAATTTGTCCTTCATGGACAATCATCACATTTCCCTGTATGGTGAATAGGCACTGAAAACAAGAAGAGAAGGCAATACTTTCTGAACACCCCTCATATCACCAATGAGTAACTCATGGGAAGATAGCATGTCTGCCAAAATGCAAAGAGAAGTTGGGATGTTTTGAAAGAGGAATACAATTGAAGTAGACTTGATAATGAAGTTAATGTAAAAGTGATTTGGACTTGAAAGTATACATTTTGGTTCAGGGAAAAGGAAACAGCATTTTAGGGATAGTCTGATAATTCCTGAAGCTTTATCATGTTACTTAGGGCTTCTGCTTATCAGTTTCCATTCTATGCAAATGTCCTTTTTTCAGGACTAAGTCTGTTTTAATTATCCCCAAGAACCCTATATATAGTTTTAAAACTCACCATATGTTTTAGTTTGTACCATCCATGTGAGTGAGATCCAAGGTGCAGTGTTTTTAAATGTATCCTGTTTTTCAATCATAACTACCTGGACAGATAAGACAGGGTCTTAGTTGATTCTCACTGCTTGCTAGGCATGTTCAACATGAACTCGCTTGTCAGTTTATCTCCTCATTGACAGCAATAGATTGTCCAGGGAATTATGAAGGAGGAATGTGACGTTTTTTGGATGTAGAACATTAACAGTTATTAATGAAGGTGCTTCCTGTTTCGACCCATGGACCAGATGATGGATGATGGATGTTTTTGCTGTTAACTTCTGCAGAGTTATGTTCTATTTGCTATTTCACCAGAGGCCACATTTTTGGTTGGTCATGACAACCAGGTGCATGTATATCAAGTCAAAGATTCCTCATTGATTCATCAAGAAAGCTCAAGTATATCAGGTGTGGACTTCAATACCTGTATCACAGAAGTGAGTTCCTTCTTCAAAATATTTTTATGTTGATAACTCAATTTCAAAGCAATTGGCAACATTTCAGATTATGCTTATGGAGAAATGGGGACTGATATGGGTTACTGTGAAAAAGAACCCTGAATATGAACAAGAGACTCTTCCTCTCTTGATGAATGACCTCAGAAGAGGACCATTGCTCTCAGATAATCCCCACGGAAAGTGCATGAAGTGAGTTGCATGCAAGTCCCTCAATGGTGTCCGGGTGAATCAAAAGTCCTGCCCACCTTTTATATGTTAATAACTTTGCAATGCTAGATCTGATGGAGACGTGGTTTATATCATTGGGAAGATGAGACAGTATTCTAGAAAGGAAAGGGCCTTGAATTATTTTGTCGATCATATCCTTCGGAGATGAAATTTCTATTCTGAGGGTTATGTAAAGGCGTTGGCATATGAAAACACTCTTGTGGCACTGTGTCCAGTTGTTCGAGTAATTGTGCCTCCGCTGTGATCAATTCCAATTCAAATAAACTTGAGGAAAATGACCGAAAAACGACTGATTATCGATACACATTTCGCAATTGTTCGGCCTTACTCCGAATTCAGGCAGAACGCAACGGAAACCTCTCGACAATTCGAGAAGAAATTTAACGAAGAATCCGTCAGCCGCAATTTAATCTTCCGTATCGACTCGAATTTGGGCACGATAGGAACATGAGCCGACCTTCCCCGATTTGGACGCCCACGAACGGGTCGCTCTGAGGGAAACATTGAATCGGTAAGGAGAAGATTTTTGAATCACCTGAAAAGATGATGCGGCGGCATGTCAGCAGACACCACAATCCCTCAATCTTTGGCCGAGCTAATATTGCGGAAGGATCTCAAGTTTAAGTCATATGCTCATCGTACCGTTCAAGAACTATCTGAAGATAATTTCGACAGGTGTATTGAGTTGGCTGAGGAATGGATTCGACGGGTCCATGAAGATCCAACCATTGATGAACTCATCCTGTGGTTAGATGAGGCAATCTTTAGTTCGTATCAATCGCCACAATTGCATCATCTGGAGCGATGTCAAATCATCACAAAACTGTCGACCGTCCTTGCAAATTTTCCGGTCTCATGATGTGGGCCGGAGTTATAGGAGACTAGCTTGTGGGTCTTCTTTTTTGAAGACGGCGCTGTGTGTGGCGACCGGAATCTCGGTATGTTAGAAAACCAGATGTCGTCAGCGATTGCTGCTCACGACCTCGACACGATGTTTTTCCAACAGGATGGAGCACCCGCTTATTAGTTTCGTCAGGTGCTTGAATGGGTGGACGAAATTTTCTATGGTCTATGTCAGTGATGAGCAACCCGCGGCCTGCGGTCCTGGTGTGCGGCCCGCGGGACTTTGCCAACTGAATTTTTTCCCCCTCTTGTCTGCCACCGGAGTAGAGCGCACGTGCGCACAAAGATTCCGTTGCCCACTGCAAGAGATACCGAAGCAAGAAATATAACATAAATGCTATATTTCCGCTGCAAATATCCCTTCGCTCTCTTCTAGGTCAGTGTATCACTGCTCTCGGAGCAAGCGGTTTGCTTTGTATTTTGCCCAGTAAAAAGATGAGAAAATGTTTCAAAAATTAGTTCTTTGCATATAATTAGCATAAATTATTTTACTACCTAGTTTACAAAGCCGGGCTTAGGATTATTTTGGTACTCTGCAGGCATAAAGCCTGTAATTCAGTATTTTTAAAAATACATGCGGCCCGCCGGGAACCTTAAAGGTTCACTTGCGGCCCCCAGTCAAGTTAAGGTTGCTCATCACTGGTCTATGTATTGGGCGTCGAGGACCGATTGAATGGTCACCTTGTAGCCCTGATCTTTGACTGTGGAGTCACTTCAAGGATTCCGCCTTTGCTGAGAAACCGCACAGTATGGAAGAATTGAAAACTGGGATTCACCATAAGATGAAGGAAACCCCTAGATGCACGGATTGCGCATGCAACCGAATCTGCTACCCAGCGCGCTCATCGTATGGTTGAACCTGACAGGCATCAACTGAAGGATTGATATTTTTTTGCTCATAACTTTGAAGTATCGTCCATGTTTAAAATAAAAGTTAAAAGCGCCTGAAAGAGATTTCACTGGCTTCCAAACGACCTAAGTCGGATTGTGATATGATTATTTCGTAATGAGCAACAGGTAGGCAGGAACTTTTGACTCATCCTGTATAATGACATCTTTTTTTAAAAGCATATTCTCTTCTTATGGAAGAATAATCTTTTACGATAATGCTATATGTTGCTGGATGGATCTTTGCAACATTGAGATGGTCATTTCTGCTCATTTATCATTCTTCCACTTCTAGTGTTCATGGAGACCTTCTTGCACTCCTGATCCCTGATAATACATGCAAAATCTACAAAGTCAATTTTCTCCATGGAGATACATTGGATTTAGACTGCATTGATTCGATCTCAAGCTCTGCCCGCTTTCTCTCTGCCAGCATTTGGAACGACCAGGTGAGACCTTTTCCATCCCTACCATCAAAAGTTTTGCTACATGGGGACTTTTTCTGTATCTGAGATTTCGTAATTTAAAAACAATTGCCAACATTTTTTTAGGCCCGTAGGAGAGTATCAAGAAGTATGATTCTATCATGTAAAAGTTTATATTATGTGAACTCAAAATATGACTTTTTCAGCTTTATATCTCCCAATACTTGAAGATAGTGAATATGAGCAAAGCTGTATTACAGGGTGACCCATGAGGTTTATCTCAGGATCTTTGGGTCGCATGGTCTTGAATATTGGTAGAGCTGTTCACGGTGCCATGGAGAGGAGGATTATGGGTTTACGTCACCAAACCATTCGCTTTGTAAAACCGGTGGGAGAGAAGCCCTCCGTGACGAGTTGGAAAGGGCGAAAATGATTCCCAACTGCTACTCCCTACTTTTGAAATAGATATCGAATGGGATATGCACACATCAAAAAAGTTTTGCACCACCCCCAGATCTCTACAGGGTGCGCAACTTGTTCTTGCCGCAATATTTTTGGTCATAACTTAGCTGTATTTCATCCAAATTCCATCCAAATGTTATCAAACATAACAAACACATATGACAGTAGTGTGGATTCGCTGAAGAAGGGTTTTCTTAAGACTTGGGACAGCATTAAGGTCAAACAGCTGACGACCATCGTGGACAATTTTCCAAAGCGTTTAAAAGCCTGTATCTCAGCCGACGGTGGACATTTTGAAAAATCCTTAGAATATATTGTTGCCATATGTGTTTGCTATGTTTGATAAACTTTTGATGGAATTTGAATGAAATACAACAAAGTTATAACCAAAAATATCGCGGCAAGAACCCTGCAGAGAGGTGGTGCAAAACTTTTTTTTGTATGTATTTCGAACTAGCGATTTGGCAGCAGTAGTGAATGTGTGATGAAAGCGAATCGGAGTGGCAAACGGAAACACCAAGCGGAAACACCACTTGGATACATGTTGGATACCAGAGGTAGGTCGGGCTGTTACTGTCAAGAGGTCCGCCTTTAGGGGGTATTTCCACTAAGTCAGACCCCTTGAAGGCGTGCTGCGCTACGCGTAAAGCTGCTGCTTGAGCTGTGGTCGAAGCGAGACAGTAGGCGAGGAATAAATTTGGCGATGGCTCTAGCAAAACCGGAAACATACTCTCCGGGTCATCAAAGTTCTAAACGGGAAGATTCAAAGATTTTATCCACCTGATTTCGGCTTGTCAAAAGGCCCTGGCCTCCAAAGCGGAAATAAATTAGAGAGGTAAGGAATGTTTCGCAGAGCTCGTTAACCCGCTCACGGCAAACTGATGTACCCTCTTCGGAGCTCACCTGCGCGGAGAATAGCCTCACCATAGAGGGAATTCCATAAGCTATTGCTAACTTGACGGTAAGTTGCTCGTAGTTGCATAGAGTATGTCAAACCCCATGGGAATCGAGGGTAGCACCGATGAACTGACAGACCCTTGTAATGGTTCCTCTCTCCAAAGGGGACTCGAAAGAGTGCACCAATTACAGTGATTAATCTTCCCAACATATCTGGTAAGGTGTACACCAAGGTACTAGACAAGAGAGCTCGAGCGGTCGTTGGGAGAAGCCATCCAAGAAGAACAAGGCGAATTTCCTGAAGGACGCAAGCACCTTGGGCCAGCTCATAATTCTCCATCAGATGCTTGAGACGCACTAGGATTAGCCAAAGAGATTTGCATGTGTTTTGCGAATCTTGAGAAGGCATATGAACGTGGGGAAATTGTGGGGAGTTATGCAGGAGTATGGGATAAACTGGCAGCTACAGCAGGTCATTCAATCTTTTACCGTGACTGCAGAAATGGCAGAAGTTGCGTTCGAGTGAGCGGGATGCGCGAATGATTTTTTCTCGGCGCTGTGTTGGGCTCCGCCGGGGTTGCGTTCTCTATCCTTTCATGTTCAGAGTGTACGTGATCAGGATCTAGAGGCGCAATCTAGATCTCGAGGGAGTCAACATCATGCAGTGGTATCGAGGTAAAGATGCTTCTTTTTGCCGATGATGCTGTCCTTATGGCCAAGTCACATGATGGATCGGTCGACTCGGAACGCACAGCGGCTGGAATGAAACTGAGCTCCCACAACATATCTCAGGTTATGGTCTCGAGAAGTCCTGTTCAATGCGTCCTACGTGTTAGGGTGTCCCATTGGAAGAAGTGGAGTAGATTAAGTAATTCGGGCTCTGGTTATCGAGTGGTGGGTAGATACGAGATTGACAGTCACAGTTACAGGTTGAGGTTTCCGCAGTTTGGCAGGAACTTTGGCGGACAGTGATTACCAAATCTGTAATTTCTAAGGAGACGAATATTGGCTTTTAAGAGTGTTTATTCCTCCACTCTCACCTATGACCATAAGTTCTCGCTAATGATCGGAAGAATCCGATTGCGGATACAAGCTGCCACAATGAGGTTCTTGCGCCCAATGACTGGTGTTGCGCTTCGTGATAGGATGCGGAGTGTCGTCATGGGTAAGAACAAGGTCGAACAGCTTGTTCGTGTACTTCGTCTGTTGCATGTTTCACTAGAAGATTTTCCAGTCTAAAATGACCCGCAGAAGACCAGGTGGAAGGACTTAATTGCGACTTAATAAAGCTTTGTCGCAACAGGTCCGACATTCCCCTTGCCCGTTGTCCACGATCGGGGAAATTGGAGGATGCTCCTCCGACTGTTTAAAACTGTGACTCCATTTAAGTTTAGTTGGCAATGGAAATGTGTGAATGATATACTTCACACTGGATCTATTGTCATGGCATAAAACTGTGAACTGTCATTTGGACTTGCAGGTCACCTTTGTGAAGGAAGATGGAATAATCACAATCTACAGCCTCCAAAACAAGACAGTTCTATTTTCCTCCAAAGTCATTCGAGAAATTCTCTACATGGATTCCTTTTGGTTGGAGCGTGGATCTATTATCATCTCCAGTGCCAATTTTGCACGTCTGATGGGTAAGGCATGCACAGTACTTGTGGCTGCATTGGGAAGGGAGATAATTTTAACACGCACTTTTTCTGTTTGAGACATTCAAAACTGAATGCTCGGATTTGTGTAAATCCGGTCAGGGCCCTAGGGCGGAGCGCCTTTAATATTGAAAGGTCTTGCGTTCTGATTCTAGAATGGTTCTTGCGATTCTAACGCTCCTTTCCGCTTTTCCTTATCCCCCCCCCCCCCTGCCCCCGGTTGAGATGATATGGCCCATCAAGTGCCGTTCAGTCAGGGCAAAAATAGCCGAGACGACTGAAACGTACGTCAGCTTCAGTTGAGTCAAAACTATCCTCTCATCAGTCAAAATGGTGGACCTCATACCCCAGATCACCTGCATAGCGAAGTTCGTCGTTGTCGTGTGTAGGCGATACTTTCCTTTGTGATGACAATGGCTAGAATGTATTGGAGAAGCTGGTGCGCAAATGTAGAAGACAAATTGCAATACAGTCGAAACAACTACTTTAAGTCTAAGAGGACTTGCAGGACTTAGGCAAGTTCAGACACGACTTCTGCCAGGTGTTTTCGCGACCCACCTCTTCGGCGAATATTTGGCATTCTATTGTCATGGTTATGTAATTTCCCAAGCGTCAGATAAGGACCAAAATATGATAATTTTTCTTCCAGCACATCATCACTGAGTAGCCCCCCCTGCAGTGTAGATCCTTTTGCATGTTGAGGGTGTAACATAACATTCTGTTTAGTGGGTTGCAGCCCGAGCGAGGTCTGATTATAAATTTGAATCATATGTCGTTTTATGTCCTTTTTCATTTTAGATTGATGTAGTTGATTCAGGTATGGCTATTGTGATAGTTGATACCAAGGTGCAAAGAATGATTGGCTGAATTTGAGCATAACTTGAAACTTTGGAGGGAGGAGCTAGTTTCATCAACAGATCGCTAGAAAGTTGAACTGCAGTGAAAGATGCATGACTGAAAACTGGAAGAGGGGCTCATGTTTCCCTGAATTTGGCAATGGCATGCCAATTACTCTTTGCTCCTCAATATCGCCATCCACAAATCCCATACCTGGATCAAATTTATACAGAGTCGACTCCATGTAATGGAATACCATTGCACAGAACTGATTTACATTATGATACAAAGGGATAGTTTCAGTTATTAGAATACTCTGAGTGCACTGGTCCCGTAAGTGTTCCATTATGCGGAGTCGACAGTATCTGAAATCAGAAAAATGGACTTTGAAATGATATATGATTCAAATGTATTATCATCGGTCTAGGGCTGCATCCATTAGCAAAAGGTAATGTTCATTTAAGTTTCTGAGTTCTCACCAGATTGTCAAATACAAGTGAAATAATGCTACTAGTACCTCCTTGACTTGTTAACATCATTATTACATCAATTTGTAGAGAGTACATGCTCCAAATCAGGCAATATTTGGAAGGCTATGACTCATCCATATGTTGTCAGATCTTAGCACAGAAAATGAGGTTCCACTTCAAACAACAATATCTATCCACCTTGTTCTTGCTGTATGGAGCCAGTAGATACCAGGTTTGATCAATGTGCTAGAGTCCTTCCAGATGTCTTCCTAAAGAGAATAATGAAGCAAAGACCATTCAAAAAGGGAATTTGAACTCTCAGTTGATTCTTTATGGAATGTCAATAATGTTCAGTTGTGAGATCTGCTTCTATTTGCAATGGTTTCTGAGATGTAAAACTTTTTCTGACACCATTCCATAATTATTTCAAGTCATGCTTCAAATAGTAATACTCATATCTAAATATCATATTTCTACCAGTGAGATCCTGCTTTTCCCTCACATGGTAAAATTCCTTAATGACAACTCAATTCTCAATAGGGACTGCAATCTAACACTGTCATGTGGAGGCATAATTTTGATATACCAATTCTTCCTATGAAGCAGAAGAAAAGTACCTATAGGATATCTTTCCCAGGAAATCATCCTCACACAAATCAGAAGATAACAACTCAGTAATTTAACCCAGCAAAATCTGAATGTTTCATGTTTTCAACATCTAAAAAATAGTCATTCTGGTCATTTATCAACTTCATCTTGGCACTAGCTGTGTAAATAATCGTTTCAAATTTGAATGCTATCTCCATTGACAGAGGGAGAACTAATAAAATGTGTGCATAGGGTCTTCCTAATGTCACTCCTGCTGTTAAGGCAGTTGTGAAATGCACACTAAGTGACATAAGATAGGGGAAATTGGGTGTTGGACTAATTTGACCACATGGAAGCTGATGCATGGAAACAAATCAGGTATTATGATGGTGTATCCCTCTGCAACTGCAGCACACAGCCCAGGTGCTTTTTAGAGAAAGGCTTGATCTGAGCTCCATTGGTGGTTAATTGTGCAGCAGTAAGTTCTACTTCTTCTGCATATACTACATATCTACTTCTTGAGGAATTAGATGTATCTCCTGACATGTGCTGTCTTTCAAATCTGGGAACATGTTAAAGGTATCAGTGGTGACTTTAATCTCCACTGTGTGGGCACATGACACATTGATGGTGTCACCACAACTAATTTGTGTGCTCCTCATCTGCCTAAAAAGTGAAAGTGACATAAAATTTATTTCATACATGAGGGGTTTAACATGTTGACCAGTTAACGAGACCTTTGATATCCCTTTTGGTGAACCATATTTTGTTACATGGTCATACTTTCCAGGCTGACTAAATGGATGCTACTGTTCAGAAGGTATGGGTTATCACTTAACCATTTGGTGGTGTATCTCCAGTGATAGTTCCCCTTATGAAGTGCACTCAAGATTTCATAGTCTTGCCCCTTGATGTAATCTGATTATCCAAAACATATTGTGCCAAAAGCAGTTTTAAAAGAAAATGATATCTTCCTCCAACAAAAGGACATTTCAAAATGAGAAAGGGCCGATTGCATGAACGATGTTTTCCCGGTGTTTTTCGAAAGTCATCGGTTAACCAATGTCTAAGGTCAAAAATGGATTACATGAACGCTATCTTCCTTTAACCATTGTCTAACCGATGTCTAACAGAAGCTGAAAAAGGTGTCGTTTCCAGACAAGGGATGGGGCATGTTTTGCCGATATTTATGCCAGCGTTCGTGTACCATCTTGATGAGTATAGTACTGCAGTGTACTGGTGAAGCACAATGGATTCTGTTTATGGATCCGCTCGATAACGACGATGTGCTCTCGTTGTTGCATGGGAGGAATAAACATAGGTTCTGGGCTTAATCCCTTTGAAGAATATGTCAATTAGAACTTCCACGTGAGATACCAATTTGGAAAGGGATCAGGGTATGATGTCGACCTGCTTCATGCTGAACTCGAATGGAATGAAGATCGTGGAAAGGATCCCTTAACTTTACATCGACAGATAAGAGCAATCACTGTTCGTGTGCAATGAATCATGATTTGTTCAAGTACTCATTCCCTGAGTAATTAATTAATATGACTCGAAAGTAAAGAGAGTATCATGAAAGCCTTTCTATTTGCATGCTGTGCTGACCCTTCGATTTTATGTGGCGTTGATTCCTAGAAATGGAATGGCGCAAGCCATTGCCCATTTGCATCGCTCATTACATTCCTAGGAGGAAAAAATGGAGTAGTTATACAGAGATAATTATTTGATATTGTCGGATTTCCAGGAGTGATCGGTGTCATCAATGACTGTTGTACTTGAATAGGATGCCCAGACAACTTTAATCTATCGCAGATGCTTCTGTTTCATCAATGTCCAAGCAGTGCGCGATGCGGAAGGGATTATTACTGAATTTGTCATCACATGACCAGGATCCACGCGCAATTCTCGAATACCCTCATTTTGCAATTGTACACAAATGATACTCTTATTTTTCACATTTCCTACTTCTCCGTGTGTCCAAAACGAATCCTTGGCTTTACCTCTGATATATCGAAATACAGAGTAAGGTCAGAGGAGAACTCACCACTTTCCAGGCATTATTTGTTGTGCAAGGAAAGTGCATTCTGTCTCTCTCTATCGTGAGATTCTCCTTTACAAGCTCTGTGAGATGTACTTAATAGTCTGAGAAATGGTTCTCCTTTTTCACTTGATTCGCTCGTTTTTTGTGGAGTCCGAAGGATATTACTCGACAACCGAGGAGTCAGAACGTGCTATATGTACCATGAGGGGTGTTTAGCCATCGTCTAACCATCGGCTATGAAAACATGGCTTAGGGATGGTTCACACAATCGAAAGTAGACAGCGGTTAACTGATGTTTTCGTAGACAATGTTTAAACAATTACTATCGATAATCAATGTCTAAAATAAACATCGTTCATGCAATCAGCCCAAAATCTTTAGCATCTATTTACCTCGACAATAGTCCCTGGGAAGCATTCTTATTTCAAAGAATAATAATTAGTGAATTTCACACAAGTTAATTTTTCTTGAAGACAATGAATATCCCCTTGATCGAACAGAAATTTTCAAGTAACTGTTCATATGTGTGATAGAGTTGGTTTTGCATGAGAAGTCCATAAGTCTGATTGTCTGAATATTAATTTAGATTTCTTTTATATCTTATCTCTACTTTCAGCAATTTGGCATCTTCATGTTCCCTCAACCTGTGTGGTTGGATGGAAGACCAGTGATCTGACTTGGTGCCAAAATCCACTTTTGAAGGATATTACTGCAGTAGCTGTCAAGAGGCGCATTCTTGTTGTGACAACTTATGAAGGTAATTGGAATGAGACTCATTGCAGGCAGGTAAGTGTCTATTTCCAGGTCAAGGAGAGAAAAAACCTATTTTTTATTTCTAGGGTCGGCCTATTTGTACAACTTCCATGTAACCTCTGAAAACATATCTGAGGTGGCACAGTTTGAATTGAAGGACCCTGCATTGCACTGGTGCATCACTGGACCTGCAGATCCATGCCAGAAGATCTGTTTGTTTTTCTCAGAGAAGACCACAATCAGTGGTTCACAGAAGACACTAATGATCCTTTTCTTGCTCTCTGGATACATGGCATCCCTGTATGAGGTGGTTTTGGGTCAGTGATACTTTCTATGTTATTCCTGTGTGTTTCCTGAGCTATTTGATGATGATGAAAAATAAATAGGCTACCCGGCACTAGAGGCTCAAGGTCCTAGAGGATTCAATCTGGAATCCTCCCATATAAGCCCCACTCCCTACAACCTGTAACCACAACCTGGTAAAACCCAACCTTTTGTTAAGTTGAAAGTTAGCATAAGCATGGCCCACAGAACCAATATACTTGCCACTACTTTCTTTACTAGCTCTTTCCTGTACTTGAGACTCTTCACTAGGTCTATTGATTTCTATTAAAATGTTACTGCCCTGTCTTGCATAACTTGTATGCTACTGGTGCCAAACTATAAATGCATATTGGATCATATGATTTGCATTGATATGCATAAAATTAATTGAAGTTGAACCTCAGGTCATCAAAAGTTCAAAGGGATAGAGCACCATCAATACAGTTAATGGGAAAGTGGATGAAAATCATCATTGATATATAAAGATTAGATGTATGGAAGATCAGTGAGCTTTTGCATTTCAAGCACTTTTGAAGCAGTGAAATGATTAGTGGAAGAGGCTGTGTTAGCTATTTCATGCTTCACAAAGCATCTCAGAAGCTAGGCCATTCCAGAATTTTATTGAGCTGAATTTGAAGATGTGGAAGAAGGTTGCCAGATCATGCTGTTAAGATGGCATGAGTGCTGCTCAGCTCTGGCTTCTCAGCCAGCTGAAGCCTGTCACCAAATTTTCATTCATATGAGGTGTGGATTGTCAGTTGAACTATGACAGCATATGATGAATGTCTAAATGGTTTTTAGAATTTTGGATGAATTTACTGCCTTGTCAAATCATTGGAAGCAGTATGTTTTCAAAATATGCAAACAGGAACAGGATTTTTGTCAAGTTGGCATGGAATTCACATTTGACCATGTAAATTGGGGATGTGCAACCTGTAGCTCATGGATTTGCTTCTAGCAGCCCAGTAATGTGTAGTGGAATAACATAAAATAAGTTCCTTTGTGGCCGAAGGCTGCAAAAGAAATTTATTCATGGTCATCTCTTAATAACTAGAGATAGACTGTGAATACTTGCACTTTCCTCTCCTAATTATTTTTCACACAGGCGGCATTGCAAGTGTCCAGAAGAAGGAAGTTCTGTGTGAAGGCTATTTTTGGCATTGGAATTTCCTAGGGGTGGGGAAGAGGTGAGAGTCATTGGTCAATCAGCATGACCTTATACCCTATGTCCTGAGGGCATAAAAGGAAGCCTTTTCTTGTGCATTCTATGGCCCATGTGAGAAGTCAGACATTTCATACAGCCCACTGCAAATAAGGGTTGCACACCACTGATGTAAATAAATGAAAAACATTCAGAAAGTTTTGACCCCATTTTTATTAACAGTGCAAAAGCACAGTGGAAGTTCTTCCTTGACAGCTCCTCACAAGCTATCAGAACAAGTTGAACAAGTAAAATCTCTTAAATGCATTTTCAGAGGGCTGAAAGAATGCACTCTTCTCAAATTTCTCCATTGCTACAATTCAGTATTACTTAAAGCCACAAAGCTGAAGGTCATCAACAGGGCACAAACCAGATCCAGTGTATCTGTAACTATCAGTTCTTTTTTTCCCCATTTAGGAATTCCACTGGTGGGAAAGTCCTACCAAATGAAAGAAAAGGTAATGGGGGCTTAAATTTCCCTCCTTGCCATTAAGATAATGATTTTTCAGATGCAGCACTTTGTTGAACTCTAATGGCCAACATCAGACAATAGAATTATTTTTGGAACACACTCAGAAGTTGAAAACAAAGGATCCCAAGAAATTTTCCTTCATAAATTCCTTTATAGGCAATGGTCATCCTATGAATCACAAAATGGTTTGCAACTCCAAAAATTCAACAGTTCTTAGGCTGGAAAGGGATGGTACATTATCCTGATGACCATGGGCATTATCCTCATCATTCATATTGCTATTCATGAATATCCTCATGTGGTCATTCTAACTACAATGCAACTGAACCTGATTCAAGTATATCAATATTGTATTGCACAGATTCATCCTAGCCAACATGATCAAGGGGAATGGAACTCTGTTGGTAATCATGCTCCAAAATCATGATTTCTTCATCTACATACTCTTACAAGCTTGATGGTTGACATTTATGAACTTGGAGAACACATTTGTATCCAAAACTCTTACCACAAGTATCACATTTGAAGGGTTTTTCCCCAGTATGAACTCTCAAGTGGACTCTCATATTACCTGCCTCTTGAAATTTTTTCCCACACACAACACATATGTATGGTTTCTCATTTCTATGAATCTTCATGTGACGTGCCAGTGCTGGCCTGGATTTGAGATTTTTTCCACATGTGCCACAGCAGAACTTCTTTCCCAGATAATGTTTCTCCATGTGAGCCTTCATACTCCTATCTGACCTCCTCTCACCACATATAGGACACACATATTTTTCATCCTCAGGTTTATGTGTAGCAAGATGATGTTTGTAACGTATATATGTAATCATCTTCCCACATATGTAACAAAGGCCAAGGTTTTTTTTCTTCCCCTTTGGTATTGATTGCTTTGCCTTGGACTTTGATGTCATTGAGTATTCATCTCCAACATCAAGTCCATCAGCAGATTTCCCCTTGTCATATGGCTGAGATGTCTTCTTTCCACATTGCACAGGCTTTTCATTCTTCACCAATTTTTTCCTTCCAATTTGAACAGTCTCTTTGGTTCTATGCTTGACAAATTTCCTAGAACATCTCTTACTTCTTGCAAAGGGTGGACAGGGCTCATCTTCATCATCAAAGTCCACCTTATGGGAGCAGCAGTGTTTTAACAAGGATTCTGCTGATGGAAGGGGTAGATCACAGTTGTAGCAAACATGCATTCTGCTTCCTCCTTCTTCCTCCTCTTCATCATCAGATCCTGTAGGACCAGAACAAAATTTTATGAGGTTCAAATATACTATGCTTTAGGAGCTGCAAATCCCCATAAGTAAATAATACAAGTAGGTTATCATTGAGCATCTCTGGGCTCACTACCATCTCAAGTGGGAGGTAAATTCATGTAAACCTGCCGAAACTTCATGATATGAATGTAGCAATATAGACACCAAGCAATTATGGCATCTTTCTATGAAAAAGGCAGACTGGTGCTTCTACTTTTGCTAAATTCAGGTCATTACTAAAGTAGGGTTCTGAAATATAGACCTCTCGTTTTGTACCCTGAACTGCTATAAAATACTTCAGTGCAATCAGAAATACTGTTTCTGAGACAAAGACTTAGTTCAAGGTCAACATTGTCAGAGATTGTTAAAAGCATATACAGGGCTAATTGTTAGAAGAACCACCCTTGGTTTCTGTCACAGCCTGTTGCAACATGTTCTTCAATTACTTTTTGCTCAAGCCAATTATGTGAGGATTCCAGGCATCCTGAAGTCTTGAACAATTCATTACTTAAGGAAAGTTGTTCCCTTGCATCTTCCTGTCAATGACCCCCCCCCCCCCCCCTTCCAAATATGTTCTATTTGATTGCTATCAGGAGCATCTTGGTTAATAACAGATACTACTTTCATCATTTTGCTGCCAGATGTGGCACATAACCAGATTAGGAAATTAAGGTCATGCTAATAGTTTGCCTGAGTGGGGTGCCATTGAACATAAGTCAAGGAGAGATATCCACCTTCATTGGTTGCCTCCATGGCAGTGCATGGTCCACAGAGAACCATCTACAGAAATAATAAGGGTTGAGATTTTTCCATGACTTCCAGGAATGTCAAACTATTGGGGAATAAATATTTTTATTCAATCCTGTTCAGTTGGTCATTACATACTTTTCATCTCAGTCTGTTGATGCAATGCACATGGCTGCATTACAGTAGATACATTATTGACATTGGCACATCAACAATATTCAGAAATGAACAGAAATTCTCCTTTGACTGCAAAGCAAGGGGGGAAAAATCTATGGAGTTGTTCAATTGAGTACGCTGCCTTTTAGTGATGGTTCAACAAATATTTCTTTTTGTTGAGCTATTTCAACTGAAAACAGCCAAAGTTAATGGTAAAACAAAGCAGGGCCAGCTAAAAAATATTCAGCACTCAAATGCAAGTTCAATCAATGAATGTTCACCTTGCATATGGTGGTTGTAGATATGGCTTCCAACTTGTACAAGATCAAAAAAGACCTCTTCACAGCTACCACATTGGAACTTTCTCCCTGCCACTTTCATCACATGACTGATGCGAAAGTCCTCTTGTTTGCATTGATGAGACTCAAATTTTGCAATTTCAGTGAAAGAGCAACCACATACAAAACATATTACCCTTTTCTCTGGCCTCTCCTTTGCATGTCTCAATCCTAGTTCATTTGCTGGCTCCTCCTGCTGAAGAAGTTCTGGGTTTTTGACCTGGATGACTGCTAACACTATCCCTATTGAAGGCATGTCTGGAAGTACCATCAGGTATGATGGATGATGAACCAGGTTAAGAGAAACTGAACCAAAAACCTTGACCAAAAAATATATGCAGAAATACTTCCAAAAATGTTAATAGTGCTAAGACTAAGAAAACAGTAATACCCGTTGTCCCAAAAATAAAAAGTCAGGATGACAACTTAGAGAATCATTCACTGAGATGAAACTCACCCAAGTCAGATACTCCCTTGTATTAAAAGGATAGAGGAAATTATTACAAGCCCATGAAGCTATTGTTTTGATAGAAATACCATGGTCCAAAATTTAATCTAGGAATTTTCAATTTAAAAAAAAAAAAAAAAAAAACAAAAAAGAGGAATCAAAGAACATTGATGGCTCTACATACATTTGAGGTACATAGGAATATCCAAGATAGATTCATTAATATACCAAATGCAGCAAAACCCAAAGGTCTCCTCTCATGTCTCAATACAATGTTAAATTTGAGTTTAGGTATATAACAAAATGCTGAAACACAGTTGGCTGAAGGCCATTGTGCCTAATTGAAAATGTCAAATTCTGAAATGCCAAAGAACTAAAATGAAGAAGCACAAAAATGCCCAATGCCAAAAAACGCCAATGAAACATTTTGCTTCCCAGTCTTAAATGGAATGTAGTAACCAACTTTCAAAGAGAAAATAGTAATCACATCAGAAACTAAGAGTTAGAGGGGATGTGAGTGTGGGATCAAGGAAACCTATGTTCAGTGAGTCCAGGGGGACACATTGTGACCAACAAGCCTCAAGTTGGATGTTATGTCACAAGTTCCAAAAGTCTCACACACTCTTGATCTTAGAGTCCTTTGATATTTCATTTCTCTTTCTGAGAAGGTGGTTGATTTCCAAGAGTTGAACCTTGTGATCAGTGTTCACTTGCTCCTCATGGAGTTAATGGAGGAGGATGATGTTGGGATGGCTCTTGTCAAATACAGATCAAAAGTGTCTCCACCAACCTTCCAAATTATCAGTGGTACAAGGTTGAGGGCATGATCCCTTACATTTCATAGAGCAGGAGGAAAGAGTGGACTTGTTCTTGAGTGCCCTTGCATTGGCCTCCTTTCAATGTAGTATTCATGGAAGAATGTGACAATTGGCACCATTTCTGTTAGCATGACAATTGTCTACTGGCTACTGGACAACATACTGGACTCATAGGATCGCTACTGCACCATCCAAGAAAAGGAGTGGGAAAACAGGCCTTGCCATAGATGCAAGATGAAATCTCAGACTGACACTCCAAATCTTGCAGTCACCTATCTATCTGTGTTTAAGGAATTTTTTTTAGAGATGAGGTTACTTTTAGTGTGTTCAACATTAGACAAACTGTGATACTCAACATGTATGTTGTTCCACATTCTTACCCATACCTGTTCTGTACATTCATTGTATTTGGCCATCAACAGTTTTTTCAGCATTTTGTTACTGACCCTTTTGGTTTCACTGCAATTTTATTCATTTCCTTCCATCATTACTCAAAAGAGAAGAAAGACTTGAAGTACTTGGTGTAGACTACTTATTAGGGGGATTTGGTTGGACAGGGGTCTTGAGTCTTTCAGCTCAAAGATCCATTTCCCACAAGGCAACATGTCAAGAAATGTTATACACCTAGGGCATGTAAAAATCAAGGCAGGGATTCTTCCCACAAAGGATGACTTGAGAATGGAATATGCAGTCACCTTTACACTGAATTGCAAATGGAGGCATATCTAACTCCTTCAGTGCTATCAAAAACTTGCCCTGCCCCCCCCCCCCTCAAAAAAAAGCCAATAATCACTGTTTTAGTAAAACTTCAAATGGAACTCCAGTTCTAAGTGGATTCAGATAGGAAATTGAAGAATTTTAAGGCAATGGAAATGGTTTGTATTTCAGGAACTATTGCAGAGAGAGGGAAGGTTTTTAAAAAAAAACACTAATGTTCTGATCAGTGTTTTTCTGAATATGAAAGAGCAAAAGTAGCAAATTAAGCCTTGCTTTATTTATTCATCCAAGGGCATAAAAAATTATCCAGGTCATAAGCTATTCATTTTTTTTTTCATTTGGATGGAAAGGGCAGACATTCAAACTGACTAAAGGGAAAGAGACCAGTCTAACCCAAATTTCATAGGCAAACTGGATTTCTGTCAAGGCCATCTTTATCCTAATGAAATAAATATCTGTCTGGAACTTCCCACATTAGATTCTGTGAGAAAAAAAAGCTGTGGGATAAATGTTAATTTCTATTATGTAGCAATTAGTAACACATCAAGTAAGTCATCTCTCTCTTCCCTTTCTTCTTATTTGCTTTTTATGCTCATGAAAACTTTTCATGCATGGAATGCTATTGAGATAAATTCTTAGTCAGCTATGCCCAGAGATATGCTGTCCCTTCCAGTAGGCCTAAATGGAATGAAATATGGACCTTTGGGCTCCTGCATACTGTAGGTGTTTCTTCAAATAATGGGCCTCTATCTGTTTTAGCAAACTTTTACCAAAGTAGCTAGTCTTCATTATATGTTGAAGCAACAATGATAGAATTTTCATGATAATTTTTGCCATCAATTTCGCCCATTAAAGTAGAAATTGATGATCTAAGGGATTTGCAAAGCTGAGAAATTAGGCTAGACCTATATCATTTCTGCTCAAGCAAAAGGATATTAACAAGCTTCAAACATTTTTATAAAAATAATGTAATTCACTACATACAGTTCTGGAGAAGTATGTAAACCTATAAAGTTTATTGATAGTTATTTTGAAGGGTCAATGAGGTGATATCTGATGTTTGCGATGCAAACACCTGACCCAATTTCCTCGGCAGTATAGTGTTTCAATGCACCAATTCTGATGACCTGAATGAAAAACCATGGGGATTCTAAGCTTCATCCCTGAGATACAAGCACATGTAAATTTGAAATATCATCTTTGGCTTGGGCTATTGGTATTATCATTATAGCTTGTAATTTGTAGTAAAAAACCTTGACCCTGAAAAAAAGTGAGTGCTGAAGCTAAAGAAACTCAGCATCTTGTAGCTAAATGCCCTTTCTGATGATTCCTCACTACTTGGAATTTATTTTTCCCCTTGAGACAGTTTTCACAATTCAGAAATATGCTTCTCTTGGTATAGGAATGAGAGAGAATTCATTCAAAATTATGCCAGCACCCTGATTTAAATTTCAAATTTTACCTAAGTGAGGGAAACATCATGGTCAATTGATCAAAGCTGTTAGCTTTGAGCTCCTCCTTTCCAACATTGCTTTTTGAGGAAGAATACCCAACTACACTGCTAAAAAAAAATAATTAAAGGGTAACTTGTGTTTCAAACTTTTGGCATCCAAAATAATACAATATAAAGTACAATACATCAGAAAAATTGGCATGGAAATCAAGAAAGATGCTCCCAATAAATATGGTATGGTCTCTAGTGGAATTTTGAAGCTGATTTTGGCCCATTATACCTTGTCCAAGGACATCCTAGGCATGTTCTATAAGATTGAGGTCTGATTGCCTTGTAGGTAAAGACCACTCCATACATGTGATAACTTTGGCCTCCAAGAATTCGACTTCTAATCTGGTGCAATGTGGACATGTATTAATACTGGTACGAAATTAAACCCTGTGGCCTCACAACATCTCATCCCTGAATTTGTCCTATTTTACTTCACCACTTGCAAATTTATAGATCTCTGCAGCTTTTCATGCTGATACTTGCCCATACCAGAACCCCAGAACCACTACAGACATCTTTACATAATCAAATTATGAGTGGGACAATGACAACAGAGTCCCAACACATGCAAACATAACAACAACCATTTTGTAAGCTGAATCAGGGCTCATCTATGAACAGTAGATGTTCACATGTGCATAACCCACTACTCTTGCCCATTACATCATTCCCACCAACTCACCAGATGATATCAATTTTCACAGTAAATTTATTGGTTCAAGGTATCTTAACATGAATTGCAATTATTTTGACCAAGGCCAGGATACAGTCAGCACTTGCTATTATGAAATTCAAGGAAGGTATATTTTTCATTCATTATACTAATATCACTAAGACAAAATTTTGAAAAAAGTAACACAATTTTCACTATATCTAAAGATGAAGTAGAAACAAACAAGTGTATGTAGAGAATTGTTTTTGGCATGGGCATGACTAATTGAAAATGCAACTAATTGTCTATGCACACATGAAGGTAATACATATCCCACTACAATTAAAACCATGTTCTTATTCCATTATTGGCTTGTAGAAATGGTATTAAAATTTCGTGATTTTATTATAAAAACTTGCTTTTGGTGATTGGTACGAGAAAACTATTTTGTTGAAAAGTATATTTCACAATTCTTATGTTTTATAATTAGTACAGAGAGATGCTGAGACCAACCAAATGTTTATAAATTTTCATTTAATGGTATTTTAATTTAAAGCATGCTTCATTATAATGAGCACCAATGTATTTGTAAATGCAGGACAGTCTTTACCTTTTTTTCAGCAGTTTATGCAAATTCATTCCAAAATCAGCTTAGCTAATTCAAGTCAAGGTGTCTGAATAGTTGTCAAAAGTGTATTGCTGGAATTTAACTTGGGCAGCTGAAAATTTACATTCAAAAAGCATCCTGACAGAACTCAACTGAGGAAAGTGACTATATGATGTTGTGCCTGGCATGGTCACTTTCTCAGTGCCCTCTATGGGTAATTTTACATTCTACTGCATCACATTCTGCCAGTTTCTAATGGACAAGCATTACACGTAGGCAGGGAATCAGCTGATTATTGGTGATGAAAAATGGTGAATTGTGCCTTGCACAACTTGCAATAGGCATTGTTGAATAGTTATTCTCCAGATCTGATGATGAAGACACTTTATTTATGTGTACACTGGAAGAATTAAGTGAGTCTGATGAATTCACCAGTGATACGGATCATAGCATTAATGACAGCAGCAATGACGAACTTCAATCTGTGGGTGTGTGGGTTCAAATTCTTACTATAAGAACTGTTGGTAATATTCAAAGTGGTACTGGGCCTACATCAGCACTCCATCTACCACAATTCCCATCCATTGGCAAATCTGGAATGATTGTGATACCTGCTAAGGATGATCTCCTATTGTACTTCAAGCTATTTTTCAATTAGTTGAACTAGTTGAAAGATAAAGATATCCAAACTCTGTGTGCTGCTGAAAATAATTAGGGTGTTTCTGGTAGATTTAGGGGAAAACAATCGACAACCTAAAGGGTTAGGACACAAGCCTAGTTACTGGAGTAAGGCAACCTGCATATGTAAGATCCTGTGACACAGGTTAGTGCCAAAAAAAAAGGCCATTTTCATTTCATTCATTTATCACAAATAAATAAATGATTTCATCCTACCACATGCAGAACCTTACACAAGCAAAGAGTTATCTCATAGGGAATCCACAATGTGGCACATCAGTAAGTCCTCTCTAGAACAAGCTCCACCTTCCTCTTCTTCATCATTCCTTGCATTCACATCATCATTATTGTCCAATTCCATTGCCTCAATAGGGACAAAAAGTTTACTATCCATGTCAAACTCATCAGAGTCTGAAAGATTTGAAATGGCATTCTGGAGCAATGTCTGCACCTTCTCCAGATGTGTCTCAAATTTGTGAGCTATGTCCAAGCGTTGCTGTTTTTGAACTTCTAACAAAACACGAAGGGTCTCCCGAGCCTGATGAGGACGAAATTCATTTATCAAGTGGTGCATGTGGATGAAGAGAAGATTGATGTCTTCAATCTTTTCTTTTCTTTTAGGTGCCTCTGGACATTTGATGAGGATGTCCAACAGATCAAGGAAGTTCACCAGAATAGAATAATTCAACTTCTTCAACTCCTTTTTATGATCATAATTTTGCGGGTATAGACGTCGAATTCCCTGACTTTCCAGAGGTCTCACGATTGCATCATCAGCATGGTAAGTGGTGCCAAACATGGTGTATGAATCTTCAACAGGAGGAGGTGGTTTTGGTGCACGTCCTCTTTTTATGTTTTCTTCTGTGAACAAGTTTACATACTGCATGGGGGGAAGGGGAAGGGATGACACTTGAGATGAGGATGTTTGCTCAGACATGTTCAGTTCTTTTGTCACATACATGCACTTTCAGTCTGCCACAGGCTGAGCTACTAGGACAGTACAAATTACACTCAATTGCACATCTAAAGACACAACAATAGGCTCTGGACTGCCAATTTTTTCCCAAGTTATTCAATGGAGATCTGAAAAGGAACATGCATGGAAGAATGCAAACTACAGGTTTGCATTAGTAAGTAATGAGAGGGATATCACCAATCATAACCAATTTGTGGGCTACTTTATCTCATTTAGGCTAATATACTTCCTACAAGGGGTAAATTAATCTGGAGCTGCTTGTCAACCAGAATGGACTGCTTGACAAAGAACACATTTAATTTGGATTGTTTGAGCTATCTGGAGGCAGTAAGCAAACAATCCAAACACCTAATTAAGATTTTTCAGGATTGGTTGATGGTACACCCCCTTACATCTAGGACTGCACCAATGCAAAAATTCGGCTAATTTCTCAATTCCCAACATCTGTTCTTGAAAGATGACCAATACCAATACCGATCTTAGTGCATGTCTATGGGATAGGTCTTTTTTGCAGAGTTAATATAATCAAGATGACATTAACCCTTTTGTGGTCAAATTTCTTCCAAAATGTATAAATGACAAATTTCAGTAAATTTTCTTTTCCCACTTATAGAGGCTTATATTTTGAGAAATTCCAGTTTTTCCCTCCCCCAAACAAAAAATGTTCATATTTGTAGTGGGAACCTTTCCTAATTTATTATGGTCACCAGTAGATGATGCGCATGTGAAAGAGTGGGAGGAAACCCTTCCAGGGCACTGGGATCAAACGTTTTCTGAGCATAATTATTCCCACTTCCCTTGAAAGAGTTAACTGGAATTAGGTGCATCAGATCTACATTGAACATAAAGTGAAAAACCTCTACAATGACCCTTTTTTAAAATTAGAATTATGAGTCTACCAAAAATCACAAATAGTGCTCCATACCACAGGAACATTAGCCATAAATGCCAGATTTTATTTTTTAAAAAGGTGTCAGGAAGAGATTTATATTACTTCTGGTTTGGGGCATTTGTTGGAATCTGCATAACAGTACTGCTTCAGCATGAAGAAAGCAAAGACCTAGGCTAGGATAGGCTATACTTGATTTGCATACTTGATTAGATGCCAAAAGAAGAGAACATATCAATAGAATCAGTGTCAATGTCCATGTGTTTTTCCCTATGTGTTTGTGCCCTTTCCTTCCCTATTCCTCATTTCCATGTAACAAGATTACCAGAAAGACTATATTCCCTTGTGCTGCTGAAAATGAAAGTCACCTGCCTAAATAGAATGGGATAACCAGGAGGAGAAAGGAGTACTGCTGAAACTTAAACAGCCACTGTCGAATTTGAATGGACTTTTGCCAAAATTCATTTAGAAAACCTATATTATTGAATCCTTCAGTTGCCAGATTTACATCTATGAAACCCTGCTGTTATTAATGTGACAGCTAAACCATAGTTTCCCACTGAGCTCCTCCTCAACTGAGAGCCCTAAATCTAAAGCAGGATTTAAAGAATGACTGCTGGTATGTTGCAGCCATCTAGCAGTGAGGTTTGGGATGCAATGGAATGTTTTTATAGCAGCAATCAATATACCTTCAATCATTGCATAAATAGCAATAATTTCTCCCTAGTAACATCACACAAACCATCCCAAGCTTCTCAGAAGTGATGTTCAAAGATGGAAAAACATTATCAATGCAGGATAAAATTGTCCAAAGATTTAAAGTTCATTCTATCCATGTTAACTGTAATCCTCATTACATTATCAGGTTAAACCAAGGCTGTGTGTGGATACATAACTATGAACCTCCATAATGCACCATTTTGCCAAATTTTCATGCCACCTCCTCTAAAGTACGAGAAATCTGATTTTAAAATACCTTACGGGGCAAACAGGTCTATGGTATTGTATCCGATAAATTTAACACACGTCCGTGATATGCCTAGGCCTACCGGTCTGATCCGGCCCTTAAACACGGAGGTAGGCCTGCCTATTGGGCAAGACCCATTGCCCTGGATTAGGCCATCCATTAGGTCTAGATCGAAGAAAACCCGAAAACAGAAAACCATCTTTCACTCCATGTGAATTATAGTAAGCTCCACCGGTAAACGTAACTAATCGTTGACGGACTCCAATAAGGAGATGAGACTAAAAGCAGAAGCATCCCCTTCCCTTCACCACATAGAAACCACTCACTAGTCACTGTAGTCTGTAAGTTATTGAAGTCAATAAATTCGATTATCTAACGTTATATCCAAACTCAGGCTACCTCTCCTGCACCTCATGTGGTGACTGCCACACTCACTTTGCGAAGCCTCAGTGATGCCGCAGTCTCAAACAAATTTATCACCTGCTCTCATTCTGAATGGGCTAATAGTCAAAACATAAGGGGTGGTGCTAGTTCGCTAAATTCAAAATTCGCGAACTTATAAAAAAAAAGGCAAATTGTTTTATTTATTCGCAAAATTAAAATGTATAAAGTAGATTCACCGTTCTCTGGTTTTGGCTGCAAAGCAAGCTGTTTTAATACCCACGAAACCGATAGGATTTCCCGCAATCGCGAACAGCGATGAAGTTTCATTTTTGCGAATTTTGTTCGCTTCCTTCACGTCTTTTTTAATACTGCAGATCGCTCAGCCTCTCGTCTCCGCAGCGAGACCGTAATTTTTTACGTCTTTTGGTGGAAAATTATCTCGGTTTCAGCGACTGCTGTAGTCTCCAATCAAATGCAGCTCCAAAACCAGGAAGAGTTTAATGGCGATCCATGGCATTTTCGATTCCAGATATGAAGTAGAATCACGTGGTGCATTCAGAAATAGATTAAATCCAATACCGGAAAGTTTTATGCTGCTTTTACCCCACCAAAGGTGTCTCAATGACCTGGAGAATAGGAGTTAAAATTCACACACCTAGTTCTACTGGACAAACGCTTAAAATACTAGCAGCACAATGCATTTCTCTAATAATTAGTAAGAAACGCAGAATGCTTTGGAAAAGCAGAGATCCGATCCCATGGTTCTTATTGAAAGCCTTGGTTTTTGTTTTTGCTTCTTGTTGCTTTAATTCAATAATCAGAAATTAGTTTGGGAGTGGGACTTGTAAAGCACGTCCTTTTTAAGACTGCAAAGGTGTCAAAAATAAAAATAAAAATTCTTCAAATCCCCATCTCGAGGCTCAAGAATTTCAAATCTCAAAGTTCATTAATTAATTACAAAAGGATTGTACCTATGAGACTGTTTATTGAGTGTACCTGTTATGAATATTCGTGCACAAGCGACAGCCTGCAAAAGAAATTCTCTTTCCAACACTTCGTAGCCTTTCAGTGCCGATTGCTTATCGAATTTATCATTGTTTACCACATAAATAAAACTATCTTTCCCCCATGGAAAATTAGTTTTTTTTTATCATCGTAAATTAAATGAGGAGTTCGCGTGAAGCAGACTTGTCTTGAGTTTTGATTTTTTCCCACTGGTTAGTCATAAAACATGCATTTCGAAATTAGGACACTATCTGAGCAGTATCCGAGCAATGAGGCGATGTCAAGTGGCAAAATATAGAAAATGTAGATGGAGATTTGAAGAATACAAATATGTATATATTCTGCTAACTGTGGAATGAGTGACAAACACAACCGACGGCCAATAAGAATCCGGTGCCGCAACATTTGAGGCGGTGCTATTGCCTCGTGGTGGATACAAGTAATGCCAACGTGCGCCATGGTTTGGTTGCCCTCAAATTAGACAATGGTACCGGTCCGAAGGCTCATGAAGCTTGTATAGCAGTCGGGTTTTGGATCTGGTACGGTTCATAACTACTTGCGGGACGTTCGGGCCGATTTCGAAACCAGTCAATCGGCCAATCTAATGGACGCAAACAAAATCAGTACGGGACGAATTTCATGTCCAAGGATGGTAGACATGGAGATCAATCGGCACCGCTCGATAAATCGCCTAGGAAGATGAGGGGCTGCTTGATATCGATTGTTGTTCTGCTATACGCCATAGCGTATTGATGGAATGACTTCCATCAACATGATTGGCGCGAATTGAGTTCTAATGGCAGCTGATGTCTGGGTCCATTCTTGCGTCTATAAGATAGCGGATATATGCTGTAAGCCGTTATTCTCAAGTACACTTAATTTTACTCTTTCAAATGATTGTACCTACTAAGGCAATGAGGTATATCGGTATTTTCATCATACAACGGTATTTGGTTTTCATGATAATCATACCGACCACTTCGTTTTTCGATATATCTATAATCGCCACGGTATGAAAACCAAGGAATACTGCCTGTGTTCATACCGACACCACGGTATGGAAGCCATAAGAAAATTGCCTGTAATCATACCACGGCGCTATACTGAGTAACCTACTCACTTCCAATTAAATTACCTAGTCCTATTATAATTACCTATTCCTTTTATCTTCATCCACGGTGACATCCGCCGCCTAGAGAAAACTGAAGCCTTCCTCATAGTCACAGGAGTGTATTTAATCCGGATTCAAGGACCAAGATCCATCATTTCTGGGTTCGACTTGCTCCTTGACGGTGCCCTTGGTTCGTAAGAGTTGGTGTGTCTGAGCACTTAATACCCTCATAATGTATAGTGAGGATGTGAGCTGTGCCGATATTGCAGATACAAACATCGGCGCCAAACCCAAAGCGACTTCTTGTGTTTAAAGATATTTCTCCCAACATAAGAGCTCCATCAGGCCGCAATCACAATAGAAATACTTTCTCCTCGCGGGGTCGTTTCTTTTGAGTTCATAACTGCAACAGCCAGCTTTCCCCCTGATCCTAGCCGGTATCGCCGAGATCCGGCGGTATGGAACCACAGTACACCTAACAAGAAATGTATCGCATACCGCAACGCCCTAGTATCCACTCCTCCCTCTCCCAGCAGGTCTGAAGGGAGGAGGGAGAGTGCCCTCTGGAGAGCGTATCCAAGCAGAACATCCAATAACCGAAAGCAGCATTATCGAATACTTGAAATGCCGACGAATCAAATGGACGGCGTTTGGAATATTGAATAAATGAGACGAAATCATATTTCGTCGATACAAAATCATTTCCGCCAAAGCTGATTTTCGTGGATGAGTCGAAATGAAGGGAATTAATTCACTAATGTGTGTCAACGACGAGGTTCTATGCTTGCTTTAGGCTACTTAGATAAATTTCGCCTTTAGAAATCATGTGATTCGTAGCACAGTACACGGCTTCATCATATCTGGAACCTTAGTCTAGGATATGTTGCATACATTTCAGATGGAAAAATTATATTTCAGATGGAAAAATTATAATTGAGCACTCTCAAACGAGACAAAATACAACGATATGCACATGTGAGTAACAGAAATAATTTGTTCCTGTAAATCTCTAGTTCTTTCCTCCTTGAATTTGGCCCATATCCAACTTGGAAAATAACATGCTCTCTCATCGACTTTTTAAAATTATATTTTGTGGAGCTGTGATACAGGCTTAGAAATGCGTGTTTTCCAAAGAATGGTGATGCACGATATACAGGGTGGGATGAAATCTTAGATCCAAGAATGAGTCACGTTACGTGTTACGCGCAGTAATGCTATTTCAGTTAATAACCAAAGCACAGTCGAGTGGGAGCATGCAACCAGCCAGCCAAAATGAAGAAAACGTTTTCGCCCATGTAATCCTGCGGCGACATGAATCTTTCGATTCCCAGACACTTCTATGAATGAATCCTTCGATGTATGATTGTTTCCGCTTAACCGTCCGACATAACGTCCATTCGTCAGCACATGTTTCAATATTCCGATACCTACTGGTCCTCTCACTCCATGTATCCGCTCCTGAAGACCTGCATTATTTATACTGGTATGGGTCGGGAACCTTTTTGGCCATGAGCCATATTAAGATTGAGCTAAGTGCTTGTGAGCGAAAGATATCAGAACAAAATAATTATTTTTCCTGAAGTTCGCAACATATTCTTTGATTCTTTGATGCATGAAGAAAATGAGGAACAACCATGATTTTCAGCCATGACTTAATGAGTCATGGCTGAACATGATTTGACTCTTAGCCAATATACAGGGTGGGCCAAAAGTCAGGACAAGCTTGAAATTTTTATATTTTGCTTTATTCATTACAAGATAAACCAGGAATATTACATGTAAATGAGCTATTTATGCATTTATAATTATATTTAATTTAATATTTAATAATTTTAATAATTCATTTTTAATTATATTTATAATAATCAATAAATAAGCTAAATAAAACAAAATATCATATTTCTATTGTGCCCTGACTTTTGGCCCACCCTGTATATATTCCCACGGTAGGTATTTTATAGGGCTGTCACGATAGCTCGATGCATCGATACCACTATCAATGGTTGGAGATATCGATAGTATCGCGACGTATCGGCAAAAGATTTTAAAGGAGAAATGTCCCATTGAATTGAAGCGAGTACAGTACAATTGTCCGTCCGAGCGGGGAAAGGAAAAAGCGGCGTGACCCGAATGGGCTTGCAATTTCTCATCGCAATAAAATTCTGGAAATGCTGGGAATGACGGTACGAAAGACGGGAAGGAAAATAAAAAAAATATAAAAAAAACATGTCGGATCGGAGACAGGAAGTGGGAAAGTAGAGGGAGGGAAGACTGAGAATACCACGTATTGTTACGGAGAGGGAAAGAGAAGACGGACGACGGAAGGCATGAGTGGTCGAAAGAAGCCAGGGAACGGCCGGGAATTGAACCCGGGCCTCCTGATGGCCGGTCAGGTGTGCTACCACTACACCACCGAACCCGGGACATTCCGTCGTGCCCCTCGATGCCATCCTCATCCGTCACATTGTTTTCTCTTATTTCAGTCTTCGGTTTGATCTCATCAGGTGCACGTTGCAGAATCAGACTTTTTTTTAATACTCCCTTGATTTCGAAACGTATTGGGTTGGAAAGAAAGTCTTGCAACACTTTCCGACGAAGCCCTGCGGAACGCCCTCAACGCGAAGCCGAACGCCACCACTCGCGAATTGGCGACTACACTTGGAGTCACCCATATGGCCATCGGCAACCATCTGAACGACCTCGGCTATCGGAAGGTTTACTCGACATGGGTCCTTCATCGGCTCAGCGACTCTGAGCCGTGTCGGTGTCTGCGAATCACTGCTCCTTCGTCCGCACAGAAAGGACCTTCTGAAGGAAATCGTTACTGGAGATGAGAGCTGGGTCCTCTACGTCAACCATAGTCGCAAGAGTCAGTGGCTTCCACGAGGAGAATTGCCGCCACACGAACCGAAACCAGGGTTACACGAGAAGGTTCTTCTCTGCTGTTGGTGGGATTCAGAAGGAATGTTGTACTATGAGCTCCTGCCACCCGGTACCACCGTGACTGCCGTCGTCTACGCTGCTCGACTTCAGAAGTTGGCTGGCGTCATTCAAAAAGAGCGTCCCAAACGCGACAAAGTTCTCCTTCTGCATGACAACGCTTGTCCACATGTTGCGAAGATGACTCGCCAGACGATTTCGGAACTGGGCTGGGAAGTTTTACCCCATCCAGCGTATTCTCCGGACTTGGCCCCTTCCGACTATCACTTGTTCCGGGCCCTCGAGAATCACCTGAGGGACAAGGCCTTCGACGATCGAGCACAGCTCGAAAATGATGTCGGCCGTTTCTTCGCTTCGCAATCGCCAGAGTTCTGGGCAAAGGGCATCGAGCAGTTACCCGTGCGTTGGGAACATGTCATAGACAACAATGGTCATTACATTGTAGACTGAAATTGCATTTCAATAATGTTATAACATTTTGAAAAATTTGCGCAGTGTTCCAAGACTTTCTTTCCAACCCAATACTTTGGTTAATCCCCGCTCTATATTCCTGTCTTTCTCTTTAGTATACAGCATTAACTTTCTCAATTTTTAACTTGCCCTGGGGCATTTGAGAGGTAAACTCAAAGTGAATTTTTTACATGGACGTTGCTTACTCTAGGGCTGTACCGATGTTTTGGCAACCACCGGTATGGCACCGTCGGCAAGTTTCCTATCTGCCGGTGCCTATGTCCAAAGACCGAAGAAAAAAATTACGTGAACGGACTTGGCGGCCATTTCTCAACGGGAATAAGAAAAAATTATGGCTGTCCTGATGCATCCATCGATGAATAGATGTCATCTTCGATAGTTGGAGGCATGGTAGGAGGTTCATTACCCCTTGCGAAACTCACACATTCCCCCTGCACCCCCGATCACAAGCGTGAGATTATGGAAGACAGATAGAGGTCCGCGCTCCGATCGAGACAAGAAAAGATGCAAGACAAACCTCCGCCAGATCGCGGCGAGAAAAAATTGAATCACCCCCCCCCCCCCCACTTTTTGAGAAAAGAAGCCAAAAAAGAAGGCAAAGATCCAGAAATGCATAACAGTATCCAAGAGTTCCCGTGCCCCCCCCCCCCCTTTTCCATCCACGCAACGCTTATGAGCGATGATTAGAAAGAAGTTTGATAGTGAAAAAGGGCAAGAACTCATACTAATACTTGTAGTGGAGTGTGGAGTGGACACGCCGAGCGATATGCTATGTTGTCCCCATTCTAATTCATTTTTTTTAGGTTGGCCTCTTCTAGCGAAGTTTTATTTCAATTGCTGACAGATAAAGCAGTAATTATCAAAGCAGAAATGTGCTCATAGTTAATTCAATTTTCCTTTGGTCTTCATCGGAGAATGAAGCACTCAGAAGGGATCGGAGTCCCATGTCCACTTACAACTTTTCAATGATCGATCATGGCCCAGCTTTCAAATTATCAATAAGTATGAAATGTCAAGTCTGTTGAGATTATATCAATATGTACAGTGCAAAGTTCAGTTGGTAGCTCCAGTGAAATCTGAGATTAGTTTAAATGTTTTAAGTCTCTTTTTGCTACACCATGTACATGTGATAATGCCCTGTGCACATATCTAAATAGGGAGAATATACTACCATGTGCCCAAGTCTATGGTTAGATGAGGAAACTGGTGCAAGGAAGTCCATGAGACTGAAAACTGATCTGTATTAAAAAAAGGCAAATATCTTTATTCTCATGAGTGAGCTTGGAAGACAATCTCACAAAAAACCATGAACTCTCCATGAACTTCATGTACTATTGGAACCAATGTTGTCCCTGACTCAAGGAAACCATGTCAGGACCAGGCTTTCCACTAGGTTCACAAGGATTGATAAGCTTACCAAGCTAGGGATACTTGCTAACAAGCACACTGAATGTCCTATGGGAGGAAAAAAACTGTTACAATTTTTTTTTTAGCAGATTCAAATAGGCAACAGGGCATTTAACAGTGAGTAAGTCACTGTTATCAGTTGCACATAAAGATCGCCTATACTCTACCTATTGATGCCTTTCTTAAGCCTCATGAAGTTCAGGGAGAGAGAAGAATCATGTGGAAAAAATAGACTGCAAGAACATTTGGCACACTATTTGAACATTCACTACCAGGAAAAATGCCATAGTAGGAGGTAGAGGTAAGAAGAGAAATCTTCAGGAAGTCAAAACAAAACTTGGCACACAAATGGCATAGAAAGCTCTGGCAGGAATGTACATCTTATGGACAAATGCTATTTGTTCATCACAGTCGCACTGACAGTCTCTTGACAGTCATTTGAAGAATGTCAAGAGTCAAATGACTCTTGACAGTCATTTGAAGAATACCCTATACACAAGCCTACAAAGTGCTCCTGGGAAAAAAAAGTTCAGATAGAGAGATATTCTGAAATCTTGTTCATAAGAGTCTAGCAGTTGAACAGTGAGCACCACTGATCTTCATTACATGAGTCAAATTTTACTTTCAGAAACTTCAGTAGAGGCCAAAGCCACAGAGAAGGTATAACTAGAATCCATGTCATATTCTTCAAGTGACCCTGAGAAACTTCTTTAGCACAGTAAAGCTATGCATATTTAACAGAATGGGAAACAAGGGGTTTGTATTGCTGGAATACAATTTTCTTGTCAACATTATTATATATGCAAAATTCCAAATAACAAATCTTGGGACTATGAATTCATGCATTCAAAGCAGAACATGATTTGGCACAGAGGCTCAGAAGCCTTTGCATGGCTGATGCAACACAATGTGTCTTCCATGCACAAAAACACTTGAATCACTGCTCATAAAAGGCAACAGCCCCTGTTTCCTAGAAGTAAATGCACTTGCTTTTCTTCTTCATTCTGACAGCAGTAAACCAAGTTTTCGTGATGTTCTAAAGCACAATTGTATCATGTCACAAACATGCAAACAAATAACACATAGTCACTAAATCTGGCATAGTATGAAAAGAAATATCTAGTCTGGTGTCCCACAAATAAAAAAAAAGTTCTGGGCATAGAATACTGTAAGTATAGTATCACTATAGCAGCAAGTAGCACACATCACATCAGCTTGCCATGCAAATTTTGATATTTGTGAATAATATGGAATCAAGTTTTCTCAGTTCTATTCAGGCAAGGATTACCTATCAATTTCTCTTTAACCAAAGTTGAAAATAAAGGGTTGTTTATAGGAAAAGAAACAAAATGAAGCAATCTTTTGCACATAGTTAGTTATTCCTATTCCTACCTTGCTCATTGTTTATAAAGACTTTAGGAACATGAAGAGCCTTCAGTGTATGCCTTTGAGGATTGGAGACAGGATAATATTTACTCTGGCAATGTAGTAATAAAAATTCAAAATATCTCTGACAATTAGTGATGGAAAGAAAGATAGTATTTCATGTGATGTCAGGAATCAGAAAGGCTCATCTTAATCAATTGAAACCAAATTATAGAAAGGAATTCCCATATATTTTGGAAATATACTGCCTTGAAGGTTTGACTGAACTAAATTAAATAAGTCCAATGGAAAAAAAATCAAAGCAAAAAGGGATGATTATTGACTTTACCTTACATTCTTGACCTTAGGATCTCTCTTTTTTCAATTTTGGTTTGAAAGACTTTTCCGGTATAACTCCATCGGAGAAATCATTATTGACATACAAATCCTCATCCTCGTACTCCTGTTCTTCATACTCAGGGCAACTGGAGCACCTGGAGAGAACATCAAACTATGATTTAATACACTTTCAAAAGGCAACTGGAAGGGTAATGGAAAAAAAAGGGATCTAGTGGAATGTATTCAAACCTGCTCTCGTTGATCCCATAATTCAAACAGTACGGGCCAACACATTCACAGCAACCGTCATGAAACCATCGATAACTCTGTGCTCCCATGGAATTGCAGGTCATTCTACACTTCTTGTAAGAAACACACTGAGCAATGTAGCTCACTGTGCAGTTCACAGTCATACGTTTTGAAGAAGACAACTTGGGTTGTGATTCCTCTGTCCCACCTGATGCTGAAAATGACACAGATGACCATTTTATATTGGGAGGAAAAAAAAGAGAAAAAGAACTGCTGTACTTGTCTCTAGAGTTGGTAAAATGTTGACAGAAAAATGAATCCTCCCCATCTTAAATCAAGAAGTTCAGACTTTCCTACTCAAAACACAGGGTGTTCCAAAAGTCAGTAGGAATTGGACTGAATATTATCCAATTATTGCAATCCAATCTTGCAATTTATATGTGGAACAAGCAACATTGGCTGCAGTTGGGAGTAATTGGGTAAATACCTTCAAGAATGCACCTACATGGTTGGTGGACACTTTGAGCATGTTTTATGAAGTTCTTCTGACATATTCAAGATGAATTTTTGCAATTTCCCTATTATGGTATATTTTGAGTATGATAACTGACTTTTGGGACACCATGTACAAATAAGGGCATTGAAATGAATTGACGGGAGTCAAACATAATTCTTACTATGTTAACTAGAAAAATGATTAAGTTCAAGGTTACTAAATACAAGGTTGGAGCAATAAGAGCTTCATTAATGTGAGTGGGAGATGAGTTTAGGAAAGTGCATCCTTGGGATGTCACACAGGGGAGTCTCTCTTAAATGGGGCTCAGAAGTGGCTGGGTTGGTAGCACCCTTGACTCCCATGGCAAGGGACCCAGGTTCGAAACCAAATCAGTTATGGTACTGACCAAATACTTTCCAAATGTAATCAATTTGTAACAAGCACACATTTAAAAAATAATTATGCTCTTCCCATTGAGTTCATTATGAGTATTTCAAGAATTCCCCCTTTTGTCACAGTATCAGCCTGTATATACAAATTAATCAGGTATATTCCCAATTGGAAATTCAGTGAAGTGAGAGGTTAAACAGTCTGTTTAAACCCCTCCACTGGACTCAGAAAAAAGTATTTTACTTTAATGAAGATAATGAACTTAAAACTTAAAAACAAGTATGACATCAGACAATTTCTTTTATATTTTGCAACCTCTGCAGTTAAAAGAAACTTGTTCCATATTGAGAAGGAAATCCCTAGATCACTACTGATCATTAAATTTTATAAATTACATAAGATGCAAATGTCTTCACAAATACTAACTTGGGATGCATTCAGAAATATTCATACATTCTCAGAGTTATCAGGTGATATTCAATCATACATATGGATACAAGTTCAAGGATTCCTGTTCAGATTCATAAATTTGTGTAAGTACAGGAGTCATTCTTCATCGACAGTGGTAACAGTGATTACCCATAGAACAGGATCAGTGTTTCCAAATATCTCAAACTGAGATGCTTTGGTAAACATTAGTAAATAAATGTCACTATGTTGGAACATGAAGTATTTGTTGCTTCAAATGGCAATGGCAGTTTCTGACATCAACAATTACATTCAATCAGAAGCACACCAATTTTACTGAAAGAGAAACAATCTTTGAAAAATGTAAAGTATTATGGCAACCAAAATCAATAATATGGGAGCCAGTCAAAAAACCACCACTGTCACTTCACAACAGGCCGAGGAAAACGTTTGGAAACAATAAATGGTATGGCTTTTTGTTAAGTTGTGATTTTGAGCATAAGGGTTTCTGAAGTTTCACCTTTTTCAATAGAGCTGCTACATAGAGGCACTCACACTAATCACATTCTCATAGTGGGCATATATATAACTACATAATCATGAGCATCAATAATGCAAGCTCATATGCTAATGTTAAAAAGAAAAAAAACCTTTTTTCTAAAACAAAAGATAACCTCTTGATTCCCTCATAAGCCTAATGAAGATATAGCATGGAGGAAACATACTGAACGTGAATGTTGGTTGCTCATCAGTGACAAGGCTGGAATCAACTTCAATAGGAAATGTGTATGTATGCCATCTCTCTTCTGGATCAGAATCCTTAGTTAAAGCTAAGAAAAGACCAGAAGCAGGTGACGGCAAATCATCCACGTTACTAATCTTGCTCATCTCACTCATCGTTACATTGGGCTCTGGACACATCTCTGAAACAGTCAAATATAGACTTGCCTACAAGACAACAAATTTTTTTGTGGAAAATACATTCACAATAAAATTCCAACTAGAAATATCAACAGGTTTAACTGTTATTAAAATAATGTACTTCCTTTGAAGAACATTCTTTTTTAATTAAAATTACAAATAATTCTTGGCAACATCCAGCTTTGAATTTTGAAGCTACATTTCCTAAGACATGGTACTAAGAGAACCAAATGAAGACACCTGGGCTGGATGGCATGACATGAACAACGTCATGAACAGTAACATAAGCCTACCATCATAAAACTAGTGAAATAGTATTACCATAATTCCAAGAGCATGAGATCAACCTTTGACTACCCAAGTTGGACTTAAATCTTCTGTTAACAACTTTTATAAATTTCCAAATCTGAAATAAAATTAATTTATATGCTAACTTTATGAAAACACAAAAATCTAATTTTGAATAGTTTCTAGCTTAAAGTTGATAACTTGAATATCCCTTGTACTGACTACAGAAGTGTGTTCCATCAATATTTGGTTTTAAGTTTGTAAATCAGCTCCCAATCTCATCTTTTTCAAATTTCACCAAAGAGTGAAATTGAAAATGTCAAAATTTGCATTTTGTGGTTGGAATCCAAGGACACAGCAGCTTGCAGAAGGCAGTCATTATTTCTGTTTGAATGGAAAAAGTGAAAAAAAAAGGAGTAATTCATTATGTAACAGTAGCTAGATGTTGAAGAGATCTGCAAGGGAATGTCAAAGATATTACCCCAAATTGCCCAGAATCATATCCAGAATTTTCATAAGCTAATGTAGCCTCATTATTGGTGCAAGTTTGTGAAACAACCTTATTTGATAGGTGATTCATGCTGTCTGAATGTGGGCATGTATGCTGCAACATGGAGAGTAGCTCAAATACATTTGCCCTGCTTTGAGATTTACTTCAGTGAAAAGCAGATAGAATAGCAGCTTTTAAATCCTTATTTTAAGATAAACTTTTAAAATGTACAATACACCTTCATAATTTAGATATTCTGATGAACCTTTTTACTTAAGATATAAGGTGACAAGCACCAAAATGAGGAAACAGATTAATTTAAAGACAAGTTCAATGTGTGTAAAAACCATAGGCTGATGGGTACCTGTCAGAAATGGGGCTCAGATGTTAAAGCTTAAAAATCCTATAGTGAGCTTAAAACTGGCATGAACATGCTCCATAGGTCCAATATCAACCAGGTCCATGTATGTTTTCATTTTATATAACCAAAAAACTGTCATTTAAATTCAAATTAATTTAAATCTTAATATAAAACTTATATTTTTATTATATACTTTTAAATTATTTATATATTACTTATATACATTTTAATATTTTGTCTGTAATATTTTCATCGATGGCAATTACTCAAAAAAATAAAGACTATCTATCGAAAATTTCTTAATTTTTCCATGCCTCAAGATTTTGAGATCAGAAAGCTTGATCATCCAGTTGGTCTAACTATTGGGTTAAGTTTAATTTTTTTTTGTGTCTCCTTGAAATTGGCCTGCTGTACCATTCGGAAGAGAGCAATGACTAAAGAATGCAATCCCAAATAAAATTAAAATAAATTTTTTTGTGGAGATTGTCCAGATTTATACAGGGTGAGTCAAAAGTCTTGACAGATAGGGTACTGAGCTCAATATGTGTTTATTGCCCAAAATGTTACAATCCAGGCCCATGTCCTGGAATCAGTCCATAGCAAATTTGGAAAAAGAATCCAGAAATGTCTGGAGTATGATGGACAACATATAGAATGCATATTGTAACATTTCATGCAATAAACGCATATTGAGCTCAGTTCCCTATGTGTCCAAACTTTTGATTCACACTGGATCATCTCCCTATAAAATTTGTAGATGAAATATTGAAAAAATGTGAACTGATAAAAAACTTTTCTCATTTAACCCTTCCCAGCCTAAATGCTCAAAAGCACCCAAGAGAGAGTACATTCTGGTGATGCATGGCTTTTAAATGGGACCAGGAGAGGGCAAAGAGTGGGTTTATGTTTTGTCTGACCCAAGGTTTGCCTTCAACTTGTGTTTACTGATTCAAAATTATTGAAAATTTTTGCTTGGTTTAGGTTCACCTGTTCTCTGGTTTGCATTCAGTTTGGGTTTCTCTGTTCAAATTCAGGCAGTTTTGTCAGAAACTGGGTTTCAGGAGTTCAAGTTCACAACACATCAACTGAGATACCTACCACTACACCAACCCCTCCCAAAAGTTCATACTTCCATTATTGGCTTCAAGAATTATCTTTGGGGCACCCAGTATTGGCCTCTTTTATTCCATTTTTTTTTCCCCCTATGAAATTCCTAGTATTTCTTCCACTATGAATGTATCATCCCCAAAGCCATTATAACTCATTCATTGATTCCAACAGGTTCTTCTTTTTACATGGTCCTGATTTTCAATGTAATCATAGGTTAGACCTATGTTTATTTGGGCTACTTCAGATATAGCAAAAGCTATACCCAAATATAAAACCCCTGAAAATATTAATATTTTCAACTGTTGATTCATGTGATCAAGAAGCCAAATCTGTTCTACCTGTTTCACAGAGCTTCTGTCAGTTAGCTGTTTAGATTTATATCTGAGACATGAATGTCCATTTGGATTTGCAGCAAAAATGCCAATCAAGGGCATGGATATGTTCTTTCCCTCTTTTTGCTTTTGCAATGGAGATAATTGCACCAAAGTCAAAGGGCTCAAGCTTAAACATCAATGTGTGAGAAAAGGATTATGTCACAACTGGTATAAATATGAAATGGAGGTATACAGCTACCCTAGTCCTTCCAAGTCCTGGAGGAAGTGTATATTCCCCCAACTTCATTAAATGAAGACCTTCATCATACTGTTTTATAAGAAACTAACCTGTATTGGTCCTCTCTTTTTCTGTTAATGTATAATTCACCTTGTTGCCTACTATCAAAACAATAGACCAGAGAACATTGGAAAACCTAAAAGGAAATGGTTGAGAAGACCAGAAACAAAAGAACATTTAAGTAAAATGAGCCTTTATAAAATAACTATTTCATACATTTTCTCAAGTTATTTTTCTCTTTAAGCAATACTTTTTCAATAAATTGAGGATTTCTTGACTATTTTGCCATACATTATCATGGAATCTCTTCTATAATAAGCACAGTGATGTCCATGAAAGCCATACTACACAGGATATGGATACTACACAGGACAAAACATTTCATCCTTTTTGCTTCCATGTGGATCTTGATGACATGGCCAATGAATTGAATCTGCTGACTTTTTAATATTAAGCAAGTTCTGCAAGACCCTACCATATCAAAGGTAACTTTGCCTTTCTATTGTTTCCCCCTAAGCCTAGCCATATGACTATCAAGTAAATTAATTGAACTTATATGGAATCCTAGTTCTCCAAGTAAAGATGCATTTTAAAACTGTACTCTCAGGGATGATAGCTCTCAACATGACATACAACTAGGTCTATAGTGACAATACCTAATGGAAAAAAGGAATACTCCAACACACATACCAACACACGAGCAGCATTCGTCAAACAAATTGGCTAAGCACTGAAAACAGTCCTTGCAACATGAACAATTCTGCAAATTGCATTTGCAAGACTGAGTGAGCATACACTTGCTCACGATGCTTGCACACACTGCCTCGTTGCAGGCCCAACTTGAGGTGAGGGTCCACAATAGTCCAACACTGACAGAAAACACTGCTAAAATCAACTTATACATTTTCTGTCAATCTGCAATAGAAGCCAAAACACTGATGTGACCATCCACACAGGGGAGCTAGATCCAATATCTAGGAGCAACAAAAAAATTCTTAACCCTTTTGGTGTCATCCAGAGTACTTACTCAGGATGCACCTGCATGCTTTCCTGCGGGATAACGATTCGGGTGGATGCCAAAAGGGTTAAATTACTCAAGTTTGGACCTATGCCAGATGATGGTCCTACACTTTAAGTAAGTGAATCATCAAAATCTAAAAATGAAATGGTTTCTGAAATGGGTTCTCATGGAAACCTTTGCATAGAACTCATACCAGGTCTCTCATGCTAAAGTGAGAAATTCCTGTATGAGTCCTATCAGAGGGACTAGCATTACCAAGACTATCAGTCATGCAGCAGGTCTTGAGAGGTAATACAATTGCTATTTGCATACATACATTGTTTCTTGATTGAATTTGCACCCACACCCCTCCCCCCTTATAATGGAGAATGGAGAAAACACAAATTTCCAGAGGTTCTGTTTCATCAGATGGTAGGCATCAACACCCATGTGAATGATGTCACTACATGAAATTGATGGAAGTGCTCCTATAGGGGTAAAATTTCAATCCAGAAACACTGTATACAGAGCTTTTAGCTTCTACAAGATGCACATGACAGACACATTTCAGGTATAATCTCACAAATCCTCCCACTTGGAAGTAAAAGTCTGAAGCAAACCCAAGAGACTTCCAGCAATATGCTACTGTAGGAAATGCCATGCAATTAATGTTTCTATCACCCTCTCCATACTGTGTGATCAGTAAATTTTTTTCTCCTATCCTAAGGAATCCAGATTTAATTTTTTAAATTTGATTTGACAATTACCTACTTATGAGATAAATAGCAAAATGAAAATAAAATTTTCTGTAAGGTATTTGCACATATGGTCCAATTCCACAAATAGCTTCAAGTAAGCCTAGCCTCCTAATCTATACAAATCAAAAGGGGAAATATAGCAGCAAATAACTAGACAAGAAATCAATATGAAAATCTTGAAAACGTATCTCATATTGAAAGAGATAGGTACTTGAGATAGGTATGATTATCTTATATAAGGATTTGACCTTAACTCTGGATGTCAGTATGAGTTGAAATGCTTCTTGATGTCAAAACCATCACCTTCATTTTTTCCATGAATATTATATCCCTTGATATTAGCAACACTTCGGGTCAAAGATGGGAGCACCTAGGCTTTGTTGGAGTTATTATGACAATACTGAGCTTCAATTTTCTACAATGACCCAGTGGGAATGGCACTGTCTTCAAGTCAGATTAGAGAAACTGAGCTTGATAAGTATGCTAGAGGCTAAGCATGAACCACAAAAATATTTTTTTTACAGGGTTTGATTGAGAAGGCTACATTGCTCTTTGATTTGTTTACATTGGGGTGCACAACTCAAAAAGACTGTGAGGGCCATTGACAATATTTACTCATCTACCGCAGGCCACAGTCTGGTTGGCCATAATTGTAGCCAACAGGGCAGGAGGCATAGTAGCACTTATAATGCCACCAGTCATGGTGGGTTATGGGCAAGGGTCTCGCAAGCCACGTGCTGTGCACCCCTGGTTAATATAATGATATGCTTACCCTAATTCCAGCTAAAGTTTGATTGAAGGGCCAAAGGTAGCACACAAAGCTACCACTAAAATGCACTCAACCAGCAGCTGTGCTAGGGCTACTGAGAAATTGTTTACATGTCTCCATATAACATCAATAATTCTCAATTTTTAAATGAAATTTTATGAGCCAGTTGATGTGCCATTACTGAGGAAGGAGCTTCAGAGGCTCTTTAATGTTCACTGAAAAAGTTATTCCTTGCCTGATGGGGAATTGAAATGTTGCATTATTTAGTCCTTATTTCTGGTGAGTTTCATTTAGGTACATATGGTATGGCATTTTCATACAATGGCTGGCTAGCAATTGATTACTTTGGAATATAATCTAATCAAATAAAAGACATTTGTGCTACTTTTTGCTTTTTTATTGTGCTGTACATGTACCCTTCTGCCTATGGTCCAGAACTGGCTCAATGGGCTGGTTTGTACCAGAGGCTTACTCTTAAATGGAAATAATCTGTGATAGAGCTAACTTTACAATGAATCTGATTGAGTGAAAAAGAGAGAGAGTACAGCTTTATTAGTTTGAGGCACACAAAAAAGCATGCACATGAAAACATGTATACCAAAAATCCTACATGGGATGGCTTGATGATGATATGAAGATTAAACAATTGTGAAAAAAAGAAGCTTCCCTGTGTATAAATCTTGGGTTTCACTTATATATTCAAACAGGTGGACATTAACTTATGTCACAAACTAGGACTGAAGCAGTTGGACATTACTAGATTAAACAAAACAATCCAAAAATGAAAGAAGTACACAGCATAAAAGAAATAAAATTACTCCAATAATTGTTCAAAGAAAACAAGTTTGGTAGTGAACTTACTGTTGATGTTGATCATTAAATATATCCATTGTAATGTAGCTCCTCTTAACACATTGACTGCCAAGGTTTGCAACACGCTATAGATCTGTCGGCCACATTTGGATGACATGGTAGTCAATGTGTTAACACCATGCTTGATTTCAAATTTGCTATTTTTTCAATCAATTCTAAGAGGTTTATTTGGTATTTTATCTTTAACTTTACTAAAGTCTTGAGCATATTAGTTAATTCTATTAACACTATTGACAATAAATAAGGATGTCACCTCATCACAAACATTAACCTATAATCAAAGTGCATTGCAATGCTTCAAAGAGAACTGCTCAAAATTTCATAAGCATTTGAGGTTCCATAAATATGTCAGTAATTTGTTATATCTGATTGAGTTCTTTATCGGAATAACTTGCAGTTTTCCGTAGAGCTGGATGCTGAGAAAAAAGATGAGCTAAGAAGTTTTTGCAGACACCAAGATTACATGAACCGCTTATTTATTTAACCTTTCATTCAGTTAAGGTTGAGGTCCATCCAATAATGCAGGCTAGGCTAACTTAGTCCTAAGCTGAGTGCCGATACAAACTAAATTCGAGGTATTACGAAGTCTAATCGAAAATGCATTCGGGTGGATCGAACGTTTGGCTTACAGGCGACAATAGTAAGCACGGAGGAAATATTTTCCAACTCCATTGGAGGAATCCCTGAACCTAATCTCTTAGGCACGGTAGACCATGACGAAGATATGCGAAGAAGCGGGACAATCAACTCTATCTGAAGCCAGTCATGAGTGGGCACTATACAGACAGGCCTACTGCATTCCAACATGCCACACGGGACAATCTCACAGGTGCGCGTCGTGAACGAATGATGGGTGTCCCACCTGCACGCGGATCGGGCGAGTAGAGTTGGGGTAAGGGACCCACACTCAGTGCATAAACCCAAATACTGGCTCCTACTCCCCGTCTTTCCTACTCTGCACGTAAAATTTAATCACTCATGACCTTCCAATTAGCATACCACTGCACGTGCATCGATGAAGTTTGAACTGTTTTCATGCCGTGGTATTTTGGCTAGTGTACTTATGCAAGGTGAGCACCTCTTCCAGACGATTCATGGGATATTTTCCATGAAGTGCGGAAACAAAAGAAATGGAATTTCAGCGAATCGACTTCCGTGATAACGTCAGCGATCTGCAACAAAGGTTGGCCCTCAGCATTCCACAGGAATAGGAAGGCCCAAGAAGGTGAGTGGAGAAATGACAGCAAGGATCCTCGGACGAGGAGGGGTGGAGAGAAGTGAAGGGGAATTGCATTTTGCATGGCCATGAGCACCAAGGAGGGGAAAAAAAGGCGAGCCGGTCACAGGTGTTTCGCCCGGAGGGATAATGGACCATGCTGCGTCTCTTGTCTCCAGTGCCACAGCAAAATGGAATGTCTCCAGCTATTCTCTCTCTCGCACTCTCACTGGAACATCCTTAGCCGTCCGGCTAAGGATGCGCCCTAGTCGCCGTTGATCACGATTTCTCCTGGCAAGGAAGTGTCCAGCTCGTCTGTGGTCTTTGTCTTGTTTTCGGACCAGGGGAGGGGGCATGTGCCAGCCTCTGTCCCGTTTCTACATGAATTTGATTTTTCTTTTCTTGCCCGAGATCCGAGGAGACTCCAAATAATGGAAGCAAGAGAAATTGAATTGTCCTCAGACCACATACCTTCCTTTCATCCTTAGACACACGGATGCACACAAAGGTCCTTGTGACGTTGGTCGTTTGGGTAGCAGTTAAGACTAAATGTATGAAATGAAAGATATGAGCGAAATGCCTCATTAAAAGAAAATGGGTTTTCCCATAGGAACATTCGTAATGGTTGTTGCGGAAGTAGCAAAAGCCTAGACATACGCAGACAGGGTTTCACAGTCAATTCATTTTAATATAATGCTCTATATAATCTAAGATGAGGTTCTGGGATTATGGAACGCGGCACAGAACAGAACAAAAATATCTCAGCACAACTTCACTAGTATCACAGCTTCAGCTCACGAGATTAAGGTTAATATTGAGGAAAGGTAAACAAAAGCTTAGTTTACTCTCAATCCAACTCGATTCGCGCCTGTTTCATGATTGGCGGAAAAGACACCCAGTCGCGCGTCCACCATTGGTGAAGCGAGCGACCGCCCACCCATCTTTTGGGCATACTTCATTCCTGTGGTGTCGACTGGAACGAGGAAGCAGAATTGGATTTAAGAGGGAGCCAAGAAAGGATATTTTGTTCGTGATGTTATCTGAGTAGCGATGAAACTAAAGGGGGATGAATGCCCTCTTGGCAGGGGCATGTTATGCATGCAGTTGGGAATACAGGGAGAGGCCCCCCCCATAATTTCAATGTATATTGGTGTTTCACATGCCAGAGCAGCTCTGAGACTCAGGGCAGGCAAAAAAAATTGGATGAATCCGAATATCAAATGCAGTAGCATGCTGCTCGATAGCACAGCAGTTCCTTCCCGCTCGTCAGCAGCGGGACTCCCCATCATGACCAATTTTCAGACC